CCGAAAGTCTTGGCTCGGGCTTCACAAGTATCAAAAAGATGGCGAGACCTCCTCAGTGACGACATGACATGGAAAAATCTTTGCGTCAAGCATGACTACGGCCGTCGGTTGTCGGAAATCAATACCCCGTCACCCGTCTTGCCGATGAGGTCGGTTGCTCATACTCTTACGAATGCCGACTACGACATGGTGACCAGCAGCAGTTTCCCCGGTTCATATCCGCTTTCCGGCCATGGCTCTGGTTCTAGAAGTTACGACGGCACCACCAAAGTGCGACCCAAACTGCGATCGTACAAGTCTCACTTTAAACAGCGATATCTAGTTGAGGCTGCGTGGAGATCTGGCGGCACCAGTGTTCACAGAAACATCACTCAAGAAGGCGGCGTCGTTACGAGCTTGCATTTGACTCCAAAATATATCATTGTGGCTCTGGATAATGCTAGGATCCATGTATTTGATACTAATGGAGACTCCCAGCGCACACTGCAAGGACATGTCATGGGCGTCTGGGCCATGGTGCCATGGGAGGATACCATGGTCAGTGGTGGTTGCGATCGTGATGTTCGCGTCTGGGACCTGAAAACCGGGTATGCTCACTCTCTGGCCAGAAGGATCTAAACAAGCTAACATGTGCCTGTGTATAGTGCTTGCCTCCATATACTGCGGGGCCATACGTCCACAGTCCGATGCCTCAAGATGGCTGATGCGAACACTGCAATATCTGGTTCTCGAGATACGACTCTTCGAATCTGGGATATAAGGACAGGATTGTGCCGAAATGTATTAGTTGGACATCAGTCTAGCGTGCGCTGCTTGGAAATCAAAGGCGATATCGTTGTATCAGGCAGTTATGATACCTTCGCAAGAGTGTGGAGCATCTCAGAAGGGCGATGTCTCCAGACCTTGCAGGGCCACTTCAGTCAGATTTATGCCATTGCTTTTGATGGCAAAAGGGTGGTAACAGGCAGTTTGGATACCAACGTCAGAGTTTGGGATCCAACTACTGGGTGTGTATTCACATAACCAACGGTCCCTATTTACTTCCAACTAATGACGTCCTTTTAGTGAATGTCTTGCCATCTTGCAAGGCCACACATCGCTGGTTGGGCAGTTGCAAATGCGTGGGGACACTCTTGTCACTGGAGGATCTGATGGATCCGTTCGAGTCTGGTCACTTGAGAGAATGTGTCCCATCCACCGCCTTGCGGCCCATGACAACAGCGTGACCAGTTTACAGTTCGACGACACCAGAGTTGTCAGTGGTGGAAGCGATGGCCGTGTGAAGATATGGGATCTTAAAACTGGACATCTTGTCCGAGAGCTCATTGCTCAGGGAGAAGCTGTCTGGAGGGTTGCATTCGAAGACGAGAAATGCGTCGCCCTGGCTTTGAGGCAGGGTCGCACTGTGATGGAGGTAAGCAACGTTTTCCAGTTTTGTAGAGTCAGTTGTGGACAGGTCTAACGATAATGTAGGTTTGGTCATTTTCACCACCTGAGGAACAGCTCTATGACCGGCCGCTCTCTCTTCAGCAGCGCCTACTCGAGGACCCCAACAGGCCTCTGAGCGCCATGGCACTCGATTATAAGGCTGGAGACCCAACTGTAGCGGGTCCAAGCCGGGAGAACCAAGATGTTGACATGCAAGACGCTGGCGCCGCTGCAGGCCCATCTACCGCACCGTTACAAGGCCGAAATAAAACGTTTTTTCATGACGACTAGTGAGTGGCATTTCCTGCCAGAGGAAGTCTGGTGTCTTGATGACACCATGTCAGCAATTTTAGCCGCCTGATTCATGCATGATATAAGACCGGAACCGAGGTCACACGAAACTTGTTCTATCCCTTTTAACAATTCTGCATGAGTTCTTAACCTTAGCATTTGGCGTCTGGGGCCGCCGGGCTTTTGACTTGTTCATATATGGACAGCCTCCAGATTATAGAAGGTGGGCGAGGCTTTGTGGGAAGCATGTTACAATAGGCGTTGTCACAGCATTTGAAACGTGTGTCACTTTTTTATTTACTATGGGCGGCTTTTGGGAAATATCATACTATACAATACTACGCATGAGGACACTGGAGAAATATTGGGTTCTAGGGTCAAGCTGATCATGAATGGAGTAAGAATGAGGACTCAAGGGGGCGGGCCGGGGATGGCCCATGCCAAGGCTATTATTACGGGTTGATGGGAGCATGTTAGCCATAATACCATGATACGAAACTGTTTTAAGATATAGCTAGCAAGCTACAGTCAGAACAGGGTCTTGATAAAGACGTTTTAAGAAAACTAGTAGTCATGAGGATTGAACATGTCCTTTTTCGAGGCTGATTGTCTGCCATGGCTGGGTCTGCTGAGGGTTTGCTGGGTCCATGTCAGGTCAAGTGGTCGGGCTGATGCCATTCGACTAGACGTTTCCACGTTTCCATTACCTTACCCATTTGGTCCCTTATCTCCCAGGCTTGTAGCAGCTCTGCTCTGTGAAGTGGCACAGGAACGGGCTGCCACTTCCAAACCCCTGTACAGTACCTGCAAGGTCTGCAACAAAATGGCGCGGTGGTCCCGATGTCGCATCACGTGCGGAAGAGTCTAGCACTGTTTTGGACTAGCGTGATCCAACAGAGAGCTCTCAACGCTCAACGCCGTGAAATTTCGGAGAGCTCCTTGTCGGCGGGCGGCGCAGATTGACAGCATTTCATCCTTCAAGACCACCATCCTCTCACCTTTCCCATTGAACAGAGGCCATCACCATATCGATAGCGTCATGTTTTCCAGAGCTCTCAGAGTCCAAAGGGCCATGCCTATGCGCATCAGGGCAGCCCAGGCACCCTTTGCCCTGGTCTCGCGATCTGTTACCACTGACGCTGCCTCTGCGTCTCTTCACAACTCTGTCCCTCAGGTAAGACGCTGTACACCTGCCACGGGTGTATTCTCCAACACCATTGCCGCAGAATATGCCTAGAAGAATGCCACGCAACGAAGTTCCCTCAAATTTGGCAATTGGTTCACTGACGAGTTTTTCCGACGTAGTCCGAGGACGAGCCTTTCCAGGTCGCCCTCAGTGATGAGAGCTTCGAGACCTACGAGCTGGACCCCCCTTCTTACACCATCGAGGTAACCAAGAAGGAGCTGAAACAGATGTACTCCGACATGGTCACCATCAGGTACGATTGCAGACACCCCTGATTGAAAAATCGGGGGTTGCCTTTGGGAGGTTATGCAATTTGCTGATAATCCCGCAGGCAGATGGAAATGGCAGCCGACCGCCTGTACAAGGAGAAGAAGATCCGTGGTTTCTGCCACTTGTCTACTGGACAGGAGGCAGTTGCCGTTGGTATCGAACACGCCATCACCAAGCTCGACGACGTCATCACCGCCTACCGATGCCACGGTTTCGCCCTGATGCGCGGTGGTACTGTACGATCCATCATCGGTGAACTGCTCGGACGACGTGAAGGTATTGCCTACGGAAAGGGTGGTTCTATGCACATGTTCTCCAAGGGATTCTACGGCGGCAACGGTATTGTTGGTGCCCAGGTTCCTGTTGGTGCTGGTCTAGCCTTTGCCCACAAGTACAATGACAGCAAGACCGCCAGTATTATCCTGTACGGTGATGGTGCCAGTAACCAGGGCCAAGTGTTTGAGGCTTTCAATATGGCTAAGCTCTGGAACTTGCCTGCCCTCTTTGGTTGCGAGAGTGAGTTTTTTTTTTCCTCTTCCCCCCCTTGCTTTTCTCCCTCGCAGACGTGAGGTGAGACCTGCCATAGGACCGTCTTAGCTAACTCCAACATTAGACAACAAGTACGGTATGGGCACTTCTGCTGCTCGATCATCCGCTTTGACCGACTACTACAAGCGTGGACAGTACATCCCTGGTCTCAAGGTTAACGGCATGGACGTCTTGGCTGTCAAGGCTGCTGTTACGTATGGCAAGGAGTGGACTGCCGCCGATAAGGGCCCTATGGTTCTCGAGTATGTCACCTACCGATATGGAGGTCATTCCATGTCCGACCCCGGCACTACCTACCGTACCCGCGAGGAGATTCAGCGCATGCGATCCACCAACGATCCCATTGCCGGACTGAAGCAGAAGATTTTGGACTGGGAGGTCACTACCGAGGATGAGCTGAAGAAGATTGACAAGGAGGCCCGCAGCCATGTCAATGAGGAGGTTGCTATTGCCGAGGCTATGGCTGTTCCCGAGCCCAAGCCTTCAATCTTGTTCGAGGACATCTACGCCAAGGGAACCGAGCCTCAGTACATCCGCGGTCGTACTCCTGACGAGAACTACTACTTCTAAGCGCCCTGTATAGGATTCTTTTCTGTCTTGGCAGGGGACCTATGAGAAATTGACCTATGTGCGGAGTAGTGGCGATTATAAACAAAAACAACCTATCTATAATGACTCCTTGGAATTTTCGCCTTTTGTACTATAACCCTTCAGATAGAGGGCCGGAAAGCTCGAAAACAAGCCTTGTGTTCTCTGTTGTTTCAATTGAATAGTTAGCAGGGTGGAATCGATCCAAATTTGGATATATGACTTGTGATGGATGCTATGAGAAACCTTGTGTTTGCAAATTAAACAGATAGGAGGAGTTATTCCTGGCAATGGGCATAGTCGTGGATGTATGGATGTACCAGTCGTAAACGGGTCTCGTGTTAGGCAACTAAGCGGGCACTTCATTCTCAGGCCATATCGATGTTTGCATGGTTCCAATTTTTGGTGGGGCTCAGGCAGCGCGAAGCTCCAAGCACTCACACGTGATTCTACCTCGCGACGTGCCTTAGCTCCTGGTCGCGAAGCCAATTAACGCGCTTCTGCCTGGCAGCGGCGCGTCATGGTAATAATTGGCTTTAGCAATGGCACCATCTGCCGCAGCACCACGATCACTCATTTAATTCCACATCCATACTCGACGATTTATTTCACGGTGGCTACTTACAAGAGCCTGGGAAATATCTTGCGCCGGTCTCTGGTACAATTGGCACTTGGAAGACAGCGTATCATGGCGCCGCCGAAGCAGGCGACCTTGGGGTATGTGAAGGGTCAGAGCACTTTGGGGTGCGTGAATTGGTGATGAACGCTATAAATTATGATGAATAGCAGTGTTGTTGAAATGCTTGCACATGAACTCAGAAGTACTAATTGGAATGTTTTTTTGGCACCTGTAGGAAATTCTTTGGTGTGAAGAACCCGGCACCACAACAGCAGACGAAGCTTACATTTGCGACGAAAGCCCGTGCTGTGGAGGGGGGCGACGAGGATGCGAGTGCGAAGGAGAATACAGATCCCGATAATGGTGAGTCTCTATTTAACCGCGACGCTAATAATACCGCTATGAAACAGGGGATCGCTGACGTGAGCTGGTTAGATTCTAAGAAGCGAGCCCGTGTGCCAAGTCAAAATAGTACCGTAAAACCCGAAGACGACGAGGACGATGGACCTGTGGTGAAGCGAGTGAGAAGAAGTAGAGTTAAGGTCGAGGAAGACGAGGATGATGAGCCTGCCCAGTCGGTGCCCAAGAAAGAAGATAATGTCAAGGATGTGACAATCAAACAATCTGTCGAAGAGGTTCCCAAAATGGAAGGAGACGCCAAAGATGTAAAAATCAAGAAAAAGAGCCAGAGTCCGGATCCCGACCGCAAGCCCCTCAAGACGGCAGATGATGGGTTCAAAGAAGAGGCGGCTTCAGAGTCTGGCTCAGAGGCTGAAGAAGATGCAGACGTCGATGAGAAGCCAGAAGTTGCTGCAAAGGCAAGGGAAAAGGTGCAAACACAGCTCCAGTCCAAGACTGCTCAGCACCCTTATCCTGATTGGCAACCAGGTAGCCCTGTTCCATATGCAGCACTATGCCAAACATTCTCATTAATTGAGATGACGACGAAGCGATTGATCATTATGGGGCATTGCTCGCTGTTTCTCCGGCAAGTTATGCGACTCACCCCGGACGATTTGCTCCCTACGGTTCTTCTCATGATCAACAAACTTGCACCTGACTATGCTGGAATTGAGCTCGGTATTGGTGAGTCTCTCATCATGAAGGCTATTGGTGAGACTACTGGGCGAAGCTTGCAAATAATCAAGGCGGATCAAAAAGAGATTGGTGATTTAGGTCTCGTGGCAGTCAAGAGTAGATCTACGCAGCCAACCATGTTCAAACCCAAGCCGCTTACGGTAAGAGGCGTGCACCAGGGTCTGATGAACATTGCTACTGTTACTGGTAACGGTGCTCAGGGCCGAAAAGTCGACGGCATCAAGAAGCTCTTGTCTGCTGCCGATGCCTACTCTACTGCCAAGGCAGACATTACCAAGGACAAGGGCGGCCCAAGTGAAGCCAAGTTTATCATCAGGTTCCTCGAAGGCAAGCTGAGATTGGGTCTTGCCGAAAGAACCGTGCTGGTTTCTCTTGCCCAGGCCATCGTCTGCCATGAGGCTGGGCAAAAGGGCAAGGTTCCCAGCACCACCGACATGGAGAATGGAGAATCTATTCTCAAGACGGTGTATAGGTATGTAACCACGAGAACGAACCAAGCTTTTCTTGGTACTAAACTGTGTGTAGTGAGCTGCCTAGCTACGATGCCATCATTCCAGCAGTTCTTTCGCATGGGATCATGAACCTGAGAGAATGCTGTAAGCTGCGTCCTGGCGTGCCCCTGAAGCCCATGTTGGCGAAACCCACAAAAGCCATTACCGAAGTACTCGATCGATTCGAGGGTCAAAAGTTCACTTGCGAGTACAAGTACGACGGCGAGCGAGCTCAAATTCACTACGTCGCCAGGGATTCAGATCAGGAGTTGAGCCAGGAAACCTCTGGAGCCGCCAAACAAGCAGCCGATGGAGTCGCTAGCATTTTCTCCAGAAACTCGGAAGATTTGTCCAAGAAATACCCCGATATCCTCGCCAAGCTGCACACTTGGGTCAAGAATGACACCAAGAGTTTTGTGTTGGACTGTGAGACGGTAGCCTGGGATGTCTCTGAGAAGAAGGTGCTCCCGTTCCAGCAGCTCATGACACGAAAGAAAAAGGACGTCAAGCTGGAAGACGTCAAGGTCAAAGTATGCGTGTTTGCCTTTGACTTGCTGTATTTGAACGGTCTCCCCGTCGTGGAGAAGTCGCTGCGTGAAAGACGAGAGCTGCTCCAGCAGTCCTTTGCGCCAGTCGAGGGTGAATTTGCGTTTGCGACCTACATGGATGGCCAGGAACTAGATGAGATCCAACTCTTTCTGGATGAGAGCGTCAAAGCCTCATGCGAAGGCCTGATGGTCAAGATGCTGGACGGAACTGAAAGTGGATATGAGCCCAGCAAACGCAGTCGGAACTGGCTCAAGGTATGGCCGGTCTCAGCCATCATCAAAAATGAAAAAGAAGAGAAAGCAATTGCTAACATCCTCCCCCAGGTAAAGAAGGACTATCTCGCCGGCGTAGGCGATTCGCTAGACCTCGTCGTTCTCGGCGCATACTACGGCCGGGGAAAACGAACATCCGTCTACGGCGCGTTCCTGCTCGCGTGCTATGACCCGGCCAACGACACCTACGAAACCGTCTGCAACATCGGCACCGGCTTCTCGGAGCAAGTCCTCGAAGAACTGCACGCCCAGTTGTCCGAAATCGTCATCGACCGCCCCAAGCCATTCTACTCGCACTCCGCGGGCGGCCAGCACCAGCCGGACGTGTGGTTCGAACCCCGCTACGTCTGGGAGGTGAAGACGGCCGACTTGACGCTCAGTCCGCGGTACAAGGCTGGCTGCAAGGAGGGCGTCGACCCGGCGGGCGACAAGGGCATCAGTCTGCGGTTCCCGCGGTTCATTAAGATCCGCGACGATAAGAAGCCGGATGAGGCGACGAGCAGCAGGCAGATTGCCGAAATGTATAGGAAGCAGGAGAGCGTGACGAAGAATAAGGGGCCCTCCGTGGATGATGATTTCGAGTACTGAGTCATTGCAATATTCGCGTCAGCTGGGGGAGATTCGCATGTTTATTGATGTATTACAAAGCGGTTGGCATTTTCCAATTCACCAATGCGTCAAGTATGTTGTTGGTTGAAGTAGCTTGGTGGAGTGTTTCCTCGGCGTTTGTGGCTCACATACATGATAGGGGGTCGGTGTGTGTTTGAAGCAAGCATATACATTCAATGTGTACGTCTAATCGCTGCATAATACATGATCAATGAAAAGTCTATAATATACTCGCCGCATCATCTGTATCCTCGACCCTCAACAACCCATGTTCCTCACCAGTGTCTTGCTCACGCTCATTGCTGTCCAATCCACTAGCTCGCGTATTGCCTGCTGGCGCAGTCCCCGTTCTCCTCGTCTCATCTGCCCCGTTGAGAACGTACCACACATCCTTTTTGGTAAGGAGACCCTGCAGAACGCCGCGATCAGCGAAGAGCACGTATCGAAGACCGAGCTTCTGAAAATACGTCACTACGAGGTGCAGGTCCGTACGGGACGGGAGCGTCAGGGGAGTCTGATCCATCCACGGACGAAGATCCAGTATCGTCCGGGGATCGGCAAGCGACTGATGCGAGAAGAAGACTTCTGTCTCTGTAGACAAGGAACGGGGTGGCTGCGTTGCAGTGCGGATGTTGTAGCTTAGTTCTGCGCGGGATATGTATCCGAGCAGAATGGCCTCGCGGGGGTCCGAGATGACTGGGAATCCGCGGTAAGCGTGCATCTCGAGGATCGTGTTGAGAGAAGAAATTGTGTGTCCGGTGGCGGTAAGCACGTTCAGATCCTCGATCCGGGTCATGATTTGGGATGCAGGGATGTCGGGGATGGTCATTTCTTCGGAGTTGTCGAGGAACGGGTACTCATTGAAATGGATCCACGACTCGTAAATGCCACGGCGGGAGAAGGCGTCTCCCACCCACTTGGATATCATGACGGCTACCATGATGGGCAGGACGTAGGTCAGCGCGCCGGTGAGTTCGAACATGATTACGACAATGGAGACGGTCATTCGAGTGACGCCTGCCAGGGCCGCAGATGCGCCGATGATGGCGTATGTTCCTGGGGTGATGCACGGGACGTCTGGTGCGCAAGAGGCAAAGAAGACGAACTTGGGGTGGTTGTGGACCCAGATTTCCATTATAATTCCCACGGCGCGGCCTGTCAATGCGCCAATTGCCATGGATGGAAGGATGATGCCGGCGGGAATTTGGAGGCCAAAGGTGATGCTTGCGAGGAAGAAGCCCAGTACCGCCGCAAAGATGAGCAGCACGACGGTCCCGGCGGATGCTGTGCCTGTTCTACAAAGGCCAATGGGGTCGTCAAGAACACGGGAGCATTCCGAGAACAAGCTCGACACGAGCTCCGTCGACTGGACTTTCATGTAAAAGTTTGGGTAGTTGATGAGAGCTGTGAGGAGAGCCACGGCAAGAACTTGAATAATCGGTCCAGGCAGCCAACTTCGGGTCTTCTTCCAGCGTGCGACAGCCATGTTGGTGCGGATGAAAAGACCACCGTAAACGCCCTGTTGCGTGTCAGTTTCGTACTTGGACTCAGAAAATGAGGGAACTATACCCCAAAGATGCCCAGGATGGCATAAGGAATAATTTCGAAACCGTGCCAATCCACGCTGTACTTGGTCTGATACAAGACGAGCTTGCCTGATCGGAAGGGATCAAAGGCTTGTAAACAGACGGCTGCTGTCATGGCACATACGAAGCTCTGCCACATGGTCTTATCCGGAAAGTAGTACGACAGTTGCTGCAGTTCATATCAACACCGGCGTATGAGGAGGATGAGATGTGCTTCGGAAGAGGGAGCTTTACCTCGAGACTAAACAAGACGCCCCCAATGGGCGAGCCAAAGGCCACAGAGATGCCAGATGCGGCGGCTGCCGAAAGAACCTCTCGTTTCCGAGCTGACGCTTGTTAGACCGGACTGCAGCTTCGGGCTAGTTCAAGTGAATCTGACCTTCATTTTCTCTAATATTGGGGAACAGTTTGATGAACAAGTTTGCGCAACAGCAAGCTACGTGCACCAACGGGCCCTCCTTTCCAAGCCACATGCCGGACGCTACAGCAAGCACCTAGAGTCTCATCAGAGCACTGCTCACACATAGATGAAGGACAAAACATACCAGACCAATGGATTTTGTGATCAACGTCCAAGTGCCTAAGAATCTTCTTATGACAAAGCCACCCAGAACTGTCTTGAGCTCAGGGATGCCGCTATGCTTGGCATACATGGCATATTCCTGTACAAGAAGAGCAGCACAGTATGCCAACGTTATCTTGTAACTTGGTTAGCCAGAGTATGGAAATAATTTCAAGATGCACGTGGAGATTCTTACAGAATAAAGGAGATAGAAGAGGTACTCGACAACCCATTTTCCCCCAGCAGCTTGGACACCAAGAGCCTCGCTCCAATACTTCCATCCAGCACATTTGGAACCTTGATCATAGCCATAACAGCAAAAGTTCTTGTTGAGATAGAAATGGCCGCCCTCCGGCCCGCTGGAACAAAAGCCTAGTTTCAGGTCTCCCAGCCAGTCGCTTGATACGTTTATTCCCGCAGCAATTGCGCCCACGAGCAAGCCCGTCAAGATCAGAATAACCCAGACTTGACTGGCATCTATAAAATGTTGAAAATAGCCCATGATTCCGCTCGCGCTAGATGACAGCACACGCATTCGCTGTCGTTCTTTGGTGTACTCGAAGATCCAGTCAATGGCCGTCAGGTCCTCATACCCGACTCGTCGGCCAGGGCCTTCGGTGTACCAATCGTGGGACACTCCATCTTTGGAACCCGCAATAAACGCGTTAGATTGCGTCCTTTGCGGCGAACCTGTGACCACGGATATATTTCCACCGCGCTGGTGCCGCCGCTGAGGAGACGGGGTGTCTTGTCGGCCGGCTGACGGCGAGCCTGTGAGGGATGAGAAGAAGCGAGATGGACCAGACAGCACCGACGGCTTCGGCTTGCGCTTAAAGGACAGCGGGGTGTTCAAGTCCTGGCCAAAAGGGTCGTCGTCGAGAACGTGGCCATGGGCGGCAATGTCGTGGTCACTCTCTTCGTCGAGGAAGTCGAGCTCGTCCCTGTCGTCGGTGGATGGCGGCGCGCGCGCATTCGGGGGTGAACGAGACGAGGATGAGGCAGAGGCAGAGGCAGAGGCAGAGGCAGAGGCAAATTGATCGTGCTGGGCGGCTCCAGACATGATGCGGCTCGTCCCATTTTCCAGCGGCCGTGGGATGAAACTGGGATGGGTTTGATGTTGAGCAAGTTTGAAGTCGCACTGCGTCGCCTTCGAGTTGGCCAAGAAGAGGCGTGGCTTGGCAGAGGCATCAGTCTCGCGCATTGACGGGGGACATGGAATGTAGCGCTAGGCGCCGCTCTGCAGGGGGCATCAGCCGCCACTGACCCAAATAGCGGGCGCGATGAACAGCACCGAAAGATCCACTGACATGGACATGACGCAGCTGGTTGGGCCCACATGCAGCCTGGCAATTCACACCAGACTTTACATCAACACGACGTCAACCCACGCTGATTGGGTGCTTGTCGTGGGTTTTCTTGCAACATATCGTTCATCACCACGTCAAACATCGACTTCCAGTATAGCAGCCATGGTTTGATATACATTGCAGATACAAAATGACTGTTTGCTCGAATTCCTGAACACATACGGCTCCATATGCAACTCCTTTTCGGACCCGAAAATCCAGCCGCGGCAGAAGCAGCCTCAATGAAATCCTACTCACCCATATCGGACTTGAGAAAAAGACTTTGAACGTCAACTTCATCAAATCAACATGGATCATCAATCAGCCGCCCAATCCTGCCAATCCAGCCAATCCTCACAAGCAGACTCCCCGAATAGTCAAAATCCCACAATCTCCCAAATCCAAGCATTTCTCAGGTCCAAGGACGACACCCAGCGCTTCGTCGGCCTGGCTCTCCTCAAGTCTGTCCTCGACAACACGCCTAACCTCCGGCAGGATGAGCAAGTCGTCAAGGCCCTATGGGACAGCATATCCCCCCGGTTTCTGGACAGACTCATAAAAACAGGGTCCAAGCCCTCGGGTGAAAATACCAAGGAGATGTTGGACCTCGTTGTGTCCGTCATCCACACATTTGCTGCGCTGCTGCCCGAGTCGGCGAGGAACGAGGATAAGTTCACGGAGAGAATACCTGGACTCGTGGGAGCTGTATTGTACAGGCATGTCACAGACCCTAGATAGATTCCTCTCCTTTTCACTTATTTGTAAATATGCAGAGCTTGCTAACAGAATACAGTTCTGACGAGACAACGGCATTGCTATTACAACTTCTTCACACGCTCGTCAGCACGCCAGCCGGTGCAAAAGCCTTCATTGGCACAGGCGATGTCAGCGCTCTAAGCGAGATTGCCCCAACACATGCCGTTGTTATGGATATCTTTTGCTTCGCGTGGCTGAATGGCATGGCCATCGTTGTAGAGAAGCACATGTTGATCAACCAAATTGTTGATACGATCCAATCGCTCGTGTCTTCATTCTCGGGTACGGATGGTGTCACCCTACTCGAATTCCTGGGAACTTTTTTGAGACAGGCTGATCCAACTGTACGCCACCTCGTCCTTCCGAATCTATTCCCAGAGAATACGCAACTAACCATGATGCCAGGTACTCCCTCATGAACCTGGATGGCTAAAAACAGCCGTCGGCTTCATCCAAACCCTCGTCACCAGTCGTCCCAATACAGCCGCCAGATCAGCCTACACCAACGCCGCCGCATCCCTTCTACAGGCCTACCCACAGTCAACACCAAAGCTACTCTTCGCCGAAAACACAAAGGACGACAAACCATTCGGGTACCTCTTGATAAGCCTCATGCTTATAGACATCCGATCATCTGCGCCAACACTCCTCGAACAACTAAACAGTCCCGAGTACGCCAAACTCTCCCGTCGACTAGCGTCCGCCTTTGACGTTATTTCCATCTTCATCGGACATCTTGTCCGATGTCTCGAAGACGAGTCCCTCGACACGCTCATCATGTCTCCAGACAGTCTGTTAAAGCTGCGTAAAGGCATTTCAGAAACCATGTCTGTGACAGTAGAGTACCTCCGTGACAGGTGGGATGCCACATTTGCCGGAGCAATGGGCCTGCACCCCGATGCGAGAGCTTCCAATGCCGAAACAGCATCCGGCTCGCATCGAACATTGGCATGGGACTCCATGGTAAATACAGCCGATGAGGATCCATTGATTTTGTCGGCGGTGAGGGCGCTAGCGCTCTGGCTAAGGGAGGACGAGAACGAGACGCTGCGAAAGGAAGCGACAGGTTTGACCGACATGCTAATGGAGCTTTACCAGAGCAGTTCCTCAGAGAAGCTAGACTTCCGAGCCGCTATACTGGTGGGCATGGAAGCCTTGGTCACCCTCCCGCAAGGGCGCCAGTTGTTCCTCCACAACGACGGGTGGAGGATTCTGAGCAAAGACCTCATTAGTCTTATTCAAAGCTCCAAAGAGATTGACCGTGCAAACGCCTCGAGGGGCATTGAAATCGTGCGGGTTTTACTCTCGGTAGCCGAGGAAGAGTCGTCAGGTACGTCAGAGGAGTGGATGGATCTCATCACCGCTATGGCAGCATGGGATGTGCCCACGCAGAGCGTCTCCCCGCTAGCACAGGAGTTGCAGGTTGCTATTTTGCAACTATGCTGTACCTTGTTGGTTAGTGCGAGCGACGGCATGCGCAGCAGATACAGACAGTCTATTACTGCGGTTCAGGGAAACGCCGCTGAGTTGAGGCGGGAAATCGGCAAGGACGACGAGTTGGCCGAGGCGATGGAAGACGTTGTAGATACATTGGATGGGGTGACGCTAGGAACCAGGTAGGTAGTCAAACCAGAACACCAAGTCGAAATTGTTACAACCCCGTCCGACAAGGCCACTTGGGTTCGTATCGAGAGCGCCGTGTGTTAAGCAGCCCCAACTTGTTGGCCCAACGTAGTAGCCGCCTCTGCAGCCCTGTCCTTGCTCCGCGCAGCCTCTGCCTTGGCCCTCCTCTTCCGCGCCCTCCTCACTTCGATCTCAACATGCTGCATCTCCGCATTGACAGACACCAGGCGCGGGACGACGTCCTCGACAGCCCTGATGGAATGGCGCTGAGCAGCCCGCAGCGGCATGGGCGTCAGAATGCCAAACCAACGAAGAGGATCGCACATCTTCTTACTCTTCGTCTCCTCTTTGCCGTCCTTTTCTCCCAGTGTGCCCGGTGACCTGGCGGATTCGCCATCTCCAGACGCGTCATGAGCTTTCTCCGCGGTTTTCTTTTCGTGCTCGTCCCCTTCCGCCTCTACAAAGGTGGAATTGTCCAGGGAATTTGCCGTCACAGTGAATCTGGGAACCCCGTTTTCGACGTTGGTTATGCCAACCCGTCGGCTGGCTCTCATTCTCTCATCGTAGTGATCCTGGCCATATCTCAGGCCACGTTCGCCGGAAAAGTTGGCCCTAGCGATATTGTGATATACGTCTGACTGGAGACCGGAGAGATGCTTGCGCAGGGTTGTGTATTCGTCTAGCAAGGTGAGATAACGCTCTAGGAGCTGGTCGACGTGGTCTTGGTCTTGGTCCGAAGACATGGCGGGTTTTAGCCCGAGCGGCGACGTGATTCAAGGTCGGGTGGGGCTGAGAGGGGTGATGAGAGGTGATATGAGGCTACTCGACTTGCACAATAGTCCTCGCTCTGGATTTTGCCTTGAAGTATTAGCCTGTTGGGCTCAATAGTGTCTTGCACGGGTGATGGCAAGCACAACAGGGTCGGGTTGAGGCATCCAAAGTCAAACCCCCCCCCGGCCTTGCACACACACTCATCTTGGCATACAATAAAACATACTTCGTTATTCATGCTCCAGTCTACAGCGTAGATTCTAACAGTTCATGACAAGGTGTCTTCCTCAGTGGCGCGCTGGCTCATCTTCTTCCACAACGGCGGCCCTCCGATGAAGGTCGCACACAACATCGACGTGATGCCCGAGATGATTGCCAAACTCCACCCCACAGTTCCGAATCCCGCACTTTCATTTACAAACCCGCCCAGCAGAGGCCCTATCATAACTCCTACAGAAAATGCAATATTGTACAATGCATAGCCCAGAGCGATGGGTTTCGCTCCCCGATCTTTGTATCGCCCTTCGATGGCATATGTAATTTCAGCCGTGACGGGGCCAAATGTGAAGGCGACCCCAATACCAACCCCGGCTAGGAGACCGCAGAGCATGACTTTATGTGCCGTAGTATTGTCTGTTACGAATCGAAGGCAAACGAGGAAAGGAGTATATGTCATGAATCCAAACGCAGACAGCCACCGGGGGCCGTATCGATCGCAGAGGTGCCCTACGACAGGGCCAAGACATGTAGGAAAGACCAACGGAAGAAATATGAGCCCTGCTCCTACAGAATCCCATTGGAATGCCGCCTTAACGAAAATCGGAAGGGTGCTGTCAAATGCCGCTAGTACAGCAGCTTCTGCCACAGTTCCCCAAAGTGCAGCAAGAAGTCTCGGGCTGGTAAACAGTCCGAACATCTCCTTGACGGTCAGCTGGCCGGGTTGCTTTTCACCACAGAGGTTTTCGTCGTCGTATGGCTGGCTTTGCAACGTCTCCTCTGCATCATCTGCCTTTGAGGACGTGCTGCGGCTTGGTACGTGGGTGATTTCAGATTGCATCGTTTCCGCTTGTTGTAGCCATTTCGCCGCATTCTTCTTCTCAATCACCAAGAGACGAAAGGCAACATCAACGCCAATCAAAGCAAAGCACATTGCCCATACTTGATAATAGCCACCCTTTGCGAAAACAACGCCTCCTAGTAAAGGTGAGCTCAACGTGCCCAAGGCTAGGGCGATGCCCACCCATCCCATAGCCCAGCCTATTCGTTCCGTGGGCACTGTATCGACGACAAGAGCTAAGCCAACTGACCACGTCAGAGCACTAGTCATGCCTTGCAACATTCGGCCGAGCATCAACATGGCGACGTTTTCCATGAAGCAAAGGAGAAACGTAGCGGCGGTAAGGATGGCAAGCCCAACGAGCATCGGAGTTCGTCGGTTCTTTGTTCTATCGGCGAGAATACCCCAGACGGCTTTACTTGTGTCAGTTGATAGATTTCCCAAGTGTGTTATGATGCGGCATCTTTTTGTTTACAAAGGATTCACTCACGTGCGGAAATGAAGACGGCTATACCAAAGGCCGCCAGCGAAACGGAGATCCAAAATTGCACTGTGACCGCTTAGCATGTGCGAATTATTTTTTGGTTTTGAGCGGCTACCTGAAGAAATCCTCCCTTACCTTTACTTTCACGAACACCAGCCCGTGACTCCAACTCAAATGGTAGTACAGGCACGATGACGGCATAGGGAAAGATATCCTAGGATCACACTTTAGCACCAACTTGCATATTCGGACTTTTCCCAGACAATACGCACAGTAAAAACAGCAATTGCCACCATCAAAAGAATAAAAGTCACGGATGAGCGCACTTCCAAGAGCCAAGGCCGTTTACCCCTTCTTGTTATCATGTCCCAAACTCTCGGTATCGTCATTTTGAGGTGGTATATCTTTTGATTTCTCAATTTAAACAAAATATATCATATAAGAAACTTCAAGGTAAGAATAAATATTGCCCATTCTAGGGATAATCTTTTTTGTTTTCTTTTTTGGCGTAATCGGCAATTAATGGTCTCGAGGTATACTTGTAAAGGTCTGGATCTATAACGAGTCTTGAAAAGAAAAAAAGGGTAAAGAAGCTGGGATGGACTCCCCAGAACAGCAATACAAAGAAAGAGAGACGGCCTCGCGTATTAATAGTATCATGCCACAGCGATGGATTACGTACGGCTAACGGGCGATGCTTGTATAATATAAGCCAAATAGGTTTCCTTCGGTTATATAACTCCGCGGGTCCCGAAACCACGTTTTGGTGCAAACTACATGATGGATCAGCACACAACTTCGACTACCAAACACGGAGCTGTTTGAGAGATTCGGCAGCGGAGGAGGAGCCTCAAAGACGGGTTCGGAGCTGCAGAACGTCTGGGTCTGTGTGGTTGCCGTTGTACGTAAAGGGGGCTCACGGCCGTCCCAAGGAAGATCGGTCTGCGGGCGTCCGAATGCTTATTCTTGTCTGACTTGGATTGCGCAATGCCGTCAGGAGCCCCAATTGCAGTCAAAGTGATGGACAGTTTGTTGACGCTTTGTTTCGGTTTGGTGCCGTCTTTCCGGACCGCAACGCTTGAGATGAAAAGTATATACATGTTCAGCCAGTGCGCAACCTCCCGAAAGAGACCATGTAACGCTACGGAGCTTTGTGGATACTGCAAGTACGTAGGCGTCAGGTGCGAATGTGACGGTCTGTCGTCCGTGGCTGATTTTCAAAGGAGAAGACATTGCTCAATTCTCGTCACGGTGAAGTCGTCGGGAAAGGGGACGAAGGGAAGGAAGGCATCACCACAGGATTGACTTCAGCCAACTTCCTAAACCGGATTTGAAGAACTGTATGCAAAAAATCCGACTTGGGTCTCCTTGCCCCTTCTTGCCTAGCTCCGTTGTCCTCCCTTTATAATATTTTGCACTCTTTACAAAGACCTGTTCGGAAAGACGGCATTCTTTAAGCTTCATCTCTAGCTCGACGTCGTGCGCGTACGTGGACCAAAGCCATGGGCACATGCCCGGCATGTCCCCAGCCACGTCTGATTGTGTAAGATGTCAATACCCCGGGCTCCGGGTTGCCGAATCGCCACGGCACTTTGTGTGCCGCCTCAGAGGCGCTAGATCCAGAGGCAGATCGTTTATATGGGCCGGACACCAACTACGTGGCAGATGGAGTAGCATCGTGAATGGTGGTCAGACCTCCTACATTTCATCGTCAGAAAACATGTCATGCGGTGCTAGAGAAATGATCTAGGCCGTCTGCGGGCAAGCAAATGCTGGGAGACAGTATACAGCCAATGTCACACCGACATATCATGACTTCAGCCTTCGAGTGGAAGGATAGTGTCTTGCGTGATCGGTTATTCGGCACCACGAGGGCTAGTTTTAGTTGAGGTTCCATTTTCCGAGAAGCAGAATGCGTCTGCCGAGATATTTAGAGGAGTACGTTTTGCAAAACCTGCTATTTGGAATGCAGACCCTTCCGTCTTCGTTGCCGCTGGGAGGTTGTTGCTGACAAAGAGCCAGAGTCTGACAAAGCGTCTCGGTTACACATGGTTACTTTCGACAGAGTAGGATATTACTACTACTCCCCGTTCCCCTATGCCATGAGAATCTCTGGCAGCCATTGTCCTGTCATCCGGTCCCTGCCCCCGAGCCAGTCAGGGACCACTCATCACCCGCTTATCACCCGGTTACAGAATTCATGCTGGTCTTGAGGAAAAGATTTCAAGTGAGAATCGAACGATATGGGCCGGGACATGCCTTCGTTGCAGCCCCAGAGTTGTACGACATGACTTCAGATGCATCTTGTAAAAAGGAATATGGGTGCACCGGGAGTCAAAGTTCCCATGCTACGCCATTCATGTAAAGAATCATACGCAGTTTGAGAATGCTGACGCTAAGGCATTTAACGCAGAACAATCCCGGATTCTAGGGTACTCTCTTCGCTGCTTTGCCACCTTCACCTTTATAATGTCCTGCCTGCCACGTGCAAAATGGCCAGAGGTGCTTATGCAACAGCTTCTTTTGCGACGAAAGCATTGGCCAGGGCATGATTGTTTAATGAAGGACCGTTGGCAAGGTATAGGATGGCATGCGGCCTTGCATCCATGTCTTCCTGTCCAGCTGCAACCTTCCGAGACGGGTCCTCGAACGAGTCGATCTAGCGTTTAATTTCAACCGCCTCTTCTTGTTCTTGCGCCGACGGATGCCTGCCTCGCGCAGCAAATCTTTTTGAAGCACGGTCTCGGCCCGGTGGATATCACCCTTGACGATGCGGCCTGTAGCCCTGTCGCATATCACGCGTAGCGTCAAGTATGAGAATGGTGAGTCCCGGCTATGGCATGGACTTGATCTCTTCTACCTCGCTATGCTTGATACAATACACATAAGCAAGCCGAACAACCTGGAACGGTCAATGGGCAGGGACCGCTTCATCGATATGTCCGCTGCGGTCGTCAAAACTGTTCACATGCGAAAATTATTCAAGAGAGCATCCAATCTCCTGCAAGATATACATACGCATATATACATCGCCAAGCCTATGTCAATCTATCACATCATGCGATAGTACATACTCCGTACCAAATACGTGGTGCGCGAGATGGAGGTAGCATGCGAGGGTCTCAGTCTCCCTGCATCCTCCCTCGACAATACTAACCCAATCAGACATGGGGACTCTTGCAAACATGCATTGTGTATGACAGTGAGTGAGGGCTTTGTCACAAGAAACAAAATTGATGAACGAGGAATCCCAGTCGCCACGGTTGTTTGAGTCCCTCAAAGCCTGAGCGTTTTCTGGGGTATCTTCCCTCCACGGCCTGCGGAAGGAACGCCAGTGATGGAAACGTGGCTCTGGGACTCCATGTCAAATATACCCTGTAGTTGCAAGGTTAGCACTACCCCTGGCCCACCGAGGGAGGGTACGAATTTTGAGTGCAGATCTCCCTTTTGTTCAAACGGTTTTTAGCCAACTGAATCTTGGAAACAGCAAATTGTGTTTGGCGAAACTGGGCAGTACGCCGTCTGATTGGCGCTGTCGGGCGGGTGACGAAGTCAGATGCTTTGGCGAAAGCCATCAATTGATCCGTGTTGGCTACCTAGGTCCTCCTCAGTGTGCCCGCCTGCATTTTTTAGGAAGACTCTTCATGACGAGACCCAGTTGAACTCTGACTGGCATTGGTGAATCAACACTACTCCGTATTGATTTCCGTATCGGAATTGCCATGTTGGGGTCGAGACGACTGCCACTGCGGCTTACTCCGGTATTCGACCAAATACAAGATGGATGACATTACGACGTAACAATGAATCCTCGATCGAGAGGGATTACCTTTCAGATTTGACGTGACCGCCTGAGCACGTTTTGACTGGCGTCTGGCATGGGGCGCTCCTTCCGCGCCAGACAGATAGTCCCGCATATGCGCTGACTGCGTTGTACTCGCCTCATCGTGCTCTGATCTCGAAAGGCGAATAAAGGCGAATTTGTACTCGACACTCCGTACTGCGTAAACAAAGTACTACTAGAAAGTCCTGCATGTCTCATGGCCCTTCATGTCCTCGCGCCTCCCGTTTAAACATAGCGCAGCGTCGTACATCACACACCTGCAGCCAAGCCATCAACGGCCAAAGAGCCAAAGAGCTTCATGGACTCGGTCGTCTTGGCCTATTTGGTTCGCGCGAGAGCCCGCAAGCTGCAAGCGAGCAACTTCTACGTCACAGCACCTCAATCTTCCCAAATGGCTTGAACGTTGCACCGGCCCGAGGCCTGTCAGATCTCTGCCAGTCCACCACACCACTCCTACGCTGTTACTAGCCCAATGACCGTTGAGGTCAAGAGAAGGACGGGTTCAAACGCAGACCGTTGGTCGGTCCGCAACGCCAAACAGCACATCAGACACCCCCGGCGCTTTTCAGAGCACTTGCAGCTGCCCCGCTCGCCTCTCACCCGAAAGACACCCCATTGTCAGTTTGAGCAAAGAATGGGGAGCTTAGGAAACCGTTCGACCGACCGGGCCTCGAGGCCACGAGAACACGCATACTGAAGCAAAGAGGCATCAAGGCGACACCTCGCGGCACAATCATGGCTCACGCCGGTATTCAAAGACCTTTGTTGATCAACGTCGCTGTTCGGTTGCACAATACACAAGCACAGAGTAGGCAATAATAATAAGCTGAGACAAACATGATATATACCGCAGCCACAATCACAAGCGTCAGGGACCGAGGGAAGTAGGAGGACTGAGGAGTTAATACAGAAGGCTCACAAGCTCACATCACCGCACAGCACAGCCGCAGCCACTGGATACTCCACACAGGCATGCATACAATGCCACAAAGCCTTGCTAGCAAATTATGTCGACGTTATAAAACTCGGTGTACTCGATGCGTACGAGGGAGACAAAGAATCAGAATGTTTGGACGGCGCAGGGGAGGCTAGGAACACTTATTGAATTCTGTGGCGTATATGGGACCGAGTACTGTAAGAGGTGAGAGAGTGTGTAAGAGCCGCCTCGGTTTCACGGGACGAGAACAGAGTAGCGTCAAACACTGCCTGGCACATTTTGGGCTGCTGGGGTCTCTGTCTCGATGACGGCATGGGTTGTGACATAGCACCCTGGGCAATTTTCCAGACAAGACGCCTAAAAGACAATTCTACACATGTACATACTACTACAGCCCGGGCGCGACAAGGTCTGGGGAATAGACTGCCGTACGGAGTAGTACTATTACGTGGTGCGCCATACTCCGTATACATATTACGGCACAATACAAGATGGAACGCCAAGCACGGTTCGGGCGCAGAGCGGCGGAAGAGGCAAAGGCCTCCAGGAAAGGAGGTTGAATCGGGCAGGTTAAAGCGGGTTTGTGCAGTGCTTGCATTCAAATGCGCCATGGTGTCGAGTCGGGTTCAAGTCCAGGTTTTGTTTGCTCACTCTCATCTACGTACGTATGTACGCTCTGGGTGCAGATGTCCTTTGAAGGAGGAGAGTTGAAGTCTGTTTTCTGCCAATCTGGGGCACAGCTGGTCGAGTTGGTGGATTGTGCTGCTGCACCAGGACGTTTGTGCTGCACCAATCCAGTCTGGGTGCGTTTCGATTGGTCCCAGAGTCTTTACTTTTGAGGTCTTCCGCATGGCCTTGGTCGGGTGAAGTGAGCAGTCAGCCTGGTGTCCTTGGGCCATTCTGCACCCAGGTCACTTGCTCGTGTACACAGCGAGTGCTACTTACCCAGGTACTCCGTACCTAGGCCGTTGATAGTATGTATGTACGTGCTTGCGTCCCGAACTCGACAAGGAGCTTGAGCACCTCAATGTCGAGCTGTTCGTGCTTGTCTTGACTCTTGACCACTTGACCGTCCCCTTGTCATTCGCCCGCTGGCCCACTGGCTCCTCTCGGCCGCACCTGCCACACGATGACGGGCCCCTCCTTCCTAGGAAGCCTGCACTCTTGTGCTCCTGTAATACTCGTGTACTCCCTCCCGTACTCGTGCGCTCCTGCACTCGTCCTGCACCCCCCGAGCGCTTGGCTCAACTTCTCTGCTCCCCAAAAGGGCTTCTCAAGGGCTCCTCCGTCCTCAAGTGCTCACCGTGTCTGAAGCTTGTTCCTCATCACCCAACGTCAAGTCAAAAAGAGCCCGCGCTGCGACTTTTTGGCCTTTTGCGCCTCCATCTCCCAACCTCGTCCTCATCCCGACTCACCTCGCCTCGACTCGCCTCGACTCGCCTCGACTTGCCTTGACTCGACTCGACCCGACCATCTCTCGCCTCTCATCTTTTCTTCACGAGCTGTTTGCTGCGAAAGCGCTGCACCACAACCATGGCCGTCGTCGCAACCATCAAGTATGTCGGTCGCCATCCTTATCCTGCTGCCTCAATGCTGCATCCATGCCGCCGCATTCTTCACTTTTTACGCCCTCCACAGCGTCGTTGCCTGTTACCTCTTATCTGTTGCCCGATGCCTGTTTCTCTCTACTAGAACGCCCGCGCAATCTCCATCGCCGCATCCTCAACGTCCCCTGCTATTTATTGCACCCTTTGCATCACTGAAATAGTACCTCACTACGCTTGCTTCCTTCGTCCCCGACGCTGAGGGTGCTGATCTCCTCGAGGCCGAAGCAAGTGGCCTGTGCCGTGCTAATACTAGTTTCCTTTCTGTCCACATGCGGCCGTGCTCCACCATGCATCATGCATCAGACTCTGGCTAACCGCTCGTGCAATTGTTTTTTAGATGCGTTGTCGTCGGCGACGGTGCTGTTGGCAAGACGTGCCTTCTCATCAGCTACACCACCAACAAATTCCCCTCCGAATATGTTCCGACGGTCTTTGATAACTATGCCGTTACGGTAATGTGAGTGGAGTAGCTGTTTTTTTTTTTCGCCTTCGCCTTCGCCATGGCCTTCAAATCCACTCGTCATCCCCGGGAAACGCGTCGAGCCAGATGCACATCTCCGTGCCCTATGTTGCTGAGGCTTGGGCGCGAGAACCAGCATAGATCGGCATTTGCATGTGTTTCGTGGGTGCCGTGGCCAGCTTCCGCGACAAGGCAAAGGACACAAGCATGATGCCCACAAATTCTAACTTGATCGCGCCATAGGATCGGCGACGAACCCTATACCCTCGGCCTATTCGATACAGCCGGTCAAGAGGATTACGACAGACTACGACCTCTCTCATACCCTCAGACGGACGTCTTTCTCGTCTGCTTTAGCGTTACGTCGCCTGCTTCATTTGAAAACGTCCGCGAAAAATGGTTTCCCGAGGTTCATCACCACTGTCCTGGTGTTCCTTGCCTCATTGTTGGCACTCAGGTCGACTTAAGAGACGATCCCAGCGTTAAAGAGAAGCTCATGAAGCAGAAGATGACGCCTGTTAGGAGAGAAGATGGTGAGCGCATGGCTAAGGAGCTGCACGCTGTCAAGTATGTCGAATGCAGTGCGCTTACGCAATTCAAGCTGAAGGATGTGTTTGATGAGGTAGGTTGACCACGGAGGGGGCACATGGCATGAAACCACGCCTTATCTATTCTATCCCTGCGTCTCTAAATGAGATAGGTTGCTGACTTTTCCAATTTTAGGCAATCGTCGCCGCCTTAGAACCGCCGATGCCCAAAAAGAAATCTCACAAATGTCTAATCCTTTAAGGATACCCCATGCCGCGAATAAATAAAGACAAAGGATGAAATTGAAGAGAGAGGGAAAGAAACACTCATATACCTCACTTCATGAAATGATGCGGCCTTGGCCTTCGTATATTGTTACATGGCCAGAAGATGAAATAGGCCTTTGGCTGGCCTTGAAATTTAGACACCAGCGAACAGAGGCGAAAGAAATAGCATTGGCTGTGGCATAGCTGCCGGATCAAGGAGCAACAGAGTGCGAGAGCCCGAGTATATGTCAAGGCAGCGAAATGAAGTATCTCATATTTGGAAGACAGAACGTTTTGGCTATGGTGCTCTAGCAGATATATTGTGCTCGCGGAATCATTTGGCCGACACAAGCCGCGATGGCAGTGGGCTATACTGTTTCAGACATGGCTTTGCTACATTGTTATAGGGCTGGATAAGTAAGCTTCCTGCTACGCTATTTCGGACACTGGTCTTTTCGAAGAGGGGATCTGCGGTGCTACCTGTTGTTACTCTGTATTTTCTGTTGGCGGGACTGGGCAACTTTTTTTTATTTAACATTTCCATACATTGATGCTTTGATAGGATAGTTTGGCGATTGGAGTGCAATTATATCGAATTCTTGTCTCAGATGATGTATGAAGTAATTTGTAGATATATTGGCGGATAATTATATTTCCGCCGTTGGCTCCTCGTCCCTTGTCCAGTCCTGACTTGAAAATTGCTGCCACTTGTACGGAGTACAGTGAAATCTGATGGTATTATTATCATCAGTTCCAGTGTAGTTCTACGGCCGAAGCTGGGGGACATGAAGTACCAGGCAACTACCTAGGTAGGTAGCTACTTAGACCTACCTACTAAGTACCTAGATAGGTACCTAGGTAGTTGACACTTGACATATATGGCTGCGAGCGTGCGCTTGTGACGAGCGGTATCCCACATGTCAACTCACTTTTTTTTTCTGCCTTTAATGTTTCTTCCCCCCCACCTACTCTCTACCTAGGAGACTTCCAACCAGTTCTTGACTCACTCTATTTGCGCAGCGTTAGCTCGTTCATCGTTAAAGGTGCTCAGTCGCCCAATTCCCGTGGCGTCCTGATATCAGCACGTCGTGTGCTCTCCTGCTCTTCTACAGCTTCGCAGACCGCCTTGGGAGGGCACAATGGTGGAAAGGGGGGTTGGACGAAAGCGGATTTTGGCCAAGTTGGCCGAGTTGGAAGCTTAATGGGCTTACGAGGTAAAAATTCATTTTCGATTCGAATAATGGTGTTATGATGTGGACGGACTGTAGACGCTTTTAATTTATGGATTGATTACCCTGAACTACGTCACATGTTTTCTGATGTCTCTCTACGATTTGATATTGAATCATCGGCGTCGCCTTTTACACGACGGTTTCGTACTCGGCCCGGTTCACCATCACCTACTACAACATACAAGCTCAGACTCGCATTGTCAGTCCTCGATCGTAAACGACAAAATAACTGTCAAGAAAGGAACAGAGTGCCCGACTTAGTCCCTGAATCACCACTAAGCTGCCTTCCGCGGCTCCAACCCCCATCAAAACTGGGCCATAATCGACTGCGGCGTCATGCCAATTCTGACAACATTTGATAACAACATGATCAGGGAGCAGATGCCCCAGGGGCCCCAAAGAGCTAACAAAACGAACATGTGTGCCGTTTCTGAGTGGGATGCGAAGATTGTGACGTTCGGGGGAATCACGGCTTGACGGTGGCGACGTTGAGGGCCAGAAGTCATAGTTCCTCATTCCGACAGTATTTCCATCTAGTACTTACCTCTCGCTAGTCCTCACTCCCTCTAATGAGTGATAGAACACCTTGATACTTGGAGTCCAGCGGCGTATCCACTTCGATGGGACATAACACACTTCACCTATGGCTCTATGGTATGGACGATCAGCCAGGAGGATCTGCTATCCAACGCGAGTTCTGAGAATTCGGTTCATGCTGGACTTCGCATGCGTCTCGGCGGGGACGACTCTACGGATATTGAAGATGACTCGTCGCAGGGGTGGATGATATTGATGATCTAGGCATGCGCAGTATCATGGACAGGATTATGGGGACAATGGATATAGAAGATCCTGTCCATTTGTGCGTAGGTATTGACCTTCCTTGGCCCAGCGGCTGGACGGCTCGTAAACAGATCCTAATAATAGGGGGAATGGTTGAATTTGGTAAGAGACGAATGTGGAGGAGGAATCTCCTGCTTATCACAATAACAAGAAGGAGATGAGGTTGGCTGCGGCGTAGGCCTTGTGTGAGGTGAGGTGTGGAGTTCCATGATGATGATGAAGAGGACGGGGAGGATGGGATCGGAGAGCGTGGCTGGCCATAGTGTTGTGAGTTAAGCTGTCTGGGCCGGGAGGCACCGTATGAGTGTTGGTTAGAATTGGCACCTACTGGTGTAGGCCTTTTTTAACTAGTTTCGCCGGAAGTTGTGCCCCAGAAAAATTCATGTTTGCAACAATGCAATTGATTAAATGGTACTCGAATACTCTTGAGCTGGTGTTGATGGTTAGCTGGTTGTTGGGAAGCCAGTCTCATAAGGTGAAGAACAGTACTATGCAACTTATTTTTTGCAGTTTATAAAAAAGCTTCCTGGACGTGGAATATAGTATGCCGGGCTGAACAAATACCTTTTTCTAGGTGTATCGTGGGCATTTGCTAAATCTTGTATCCCAGGTTGTCATCTGCGTAACAGCCGCACACGACCACGAGTGATACCACAGCCAAGGCATGCAGCCAGGCTCGGGGCCTGGAGCAGACATCTCAGCTCGCCTCGTGCTTGCTTGGCGTGTTTAGAGGAAATCTGCCGTTTCATGAGACTGTACTCCGTATGTATTTCACAGTTGACTTCGATCAAGCCTGGCTTGGAACAAGCTGGCGGGGGAGGGGGGGGGTCCCGTCGTGTTCTCTTCCTGCTCCAGTCTTGGCCAGCCTCTCGCCACGCCCGATCCTGACCCGGCTTTGTCAACCTGAAAACAAAGCATGAACCACGGAGCAGATGTACTGCACTAATGGCCGAACAAGAGGGGTCTGAAGGGGCTGTCGCTTTGTTCCGATACCGAAGCCGGTCGCAGCGTAGGGCAGTAAGTACGAGACAGCGTGTTGACTGTATGTAACATGTCAATTGTTTTAGCCGGGCCGAGCTTGGCCTATTTCGGGTGTACAATGTGGTTCTATGCCTGTCTGCCTTCGCATCAATGACATGCCAGCCATGTGACCGCATGCCGGCCATACCACACTAACAACGGGAGAGACCCCTGACTCGGCCTTGGCCCTCTGAGGCTTTGATGCAGTCACAGGTCCACGAGTTGAGAAAATGGGTGACGCTGCATTGATGGTCGACCCCACAGGTTGCCCGATCTGCCACAAGATTCGGGAAGGGAATCAGGAGCTGCGGCCAGGGCTCAAGAACCCCCTTTGCGGTTTCAAGGCAGGTAAACAAACCTGCGAGAGATGAGAGGTACGTAATCGCACAGGCGAGAACGGACAGGGAGGAATGCGGACAAACGTCAAACAGTAATAGTCTCCGTCCTGACCATGACAGAAGGGACGTGGATGGCGGACGTTTCATGCCCAGGCCGGCACCGTAAACAAGCTGCCCCAATGATTAGGAACGGGTCGAAGCTGACTTGGCACGAGGACACGAGAGATGAGAGCACGGCCTCTTGGTTGGTACTGTTAGTTCTGTGCTTGTCCAGCATTTAACTTGGTCATTACTGGTAGTAGTAGTACTCACAAGACGTACTCTGTACTCTGTATTCTTAGCATCATTTGCATCTGTGAGCGAGCGGCAGTTGGAACAGGCTTTTCCATGTCCCCAGCCCACTTCTTTCTTCATGTTGGCCGGATTGTTGCAACAGCGTACGGGGTACATACGTAGTGGTTGTACCCCGTATTGAATGAGCGACAGTCATGTTGTGCATTAACCCTCATTTCGCACATCACAAAGCCCCCGCTGTGATGGGGTAGGAGCGATTGGGGCGCTGCGGCCTTGGCTGTTAAAAAGGCAGTTCAGTGTTGCTTCTTGCAATAATCAAGTGTTTGTTTCAGTGTCGCTTCATCGTGCTTGTCGTGGCCGCTGGCACAATGGAGTCACTTGGACTGTGTTGGGGGACCACTCCTTATTTGCCTCTTCAATGCATTCCCCCCTGCCTGCTTGAATCATGCCCAGAAGAAAGGAAAAGAAGAAGGGCATTATTGACTATGCACTCTGTAGTACATAGAAGATACGTACACACAATGGTTTGATGGAGATGCGGAATATTCCGTGGTCGCCCACTGCACTGCCGGAACTTAGGGGCGCGTGGTGGCCCAATGCGAAGTATTTTCCAGGCTTGGCAGACAGAGTCTACGAGTGCTTGCTTGCAATAGTACATTCTTGCTGCGGGAACATGTTGTGTTGGATGCCTAACTGATTGACGCAAAACGGCGTAAAGATGCAGAGAGAACAAAGAACTTGGAAAGGAGAGAAAGAAAATCCTCGGCAGGTTGAATGTCAAGCCGTCGGCAGGCAAGGGCTACAGATGAAGCAGGAACGAGACCAGCCTCCATTGCTTGTTTCCTCTCCACGACCTCCTATGTCGCGGGCACTCGTCATGGTTCTCGACAAAGTACCTCTAAGGACTAACCTACTTAAATACCTGGTACCCCTTAAAGTACGGAGGAGTAGCATTAATTTGCGATGTCTGCAATTTACCAAATACCAAGGTGCGAAGTGCTTGGGTAATACCGGCAACATGCCATCATGTCCATCCCGTGTGGCGGATGCTCAAGAAGAAGAGAGTAAGAGAGTGTGGCTTGTGCATGCGTGAGTGTGTGTGAATGACATGACATGACATGTCCACCACTTCATCTACACCATACTGCCTTCCGGATACGGACTACTATTGAATTGGATGCAAGAGATTACGATTGGCCATGGTCACACTGTCAGGTAAACTGCACTTTGCGGTGGCCATGTCTAACGTTAATATATCCCCGGGCCTGTGACATTGGCTACCAAGAGCGCCGCGTACGCCATGCGTATTTGCATCAGCCTCCGGTTCGTTCATCCAAGTAGGTACGTACTCGATACCTCGCTTCGGTTGTATTCCATACAGCATAATGCCGAGTAGTACTATGCAATTCAGAGGCTCGACATCTGGCGAGCGCTTTCATTGCTCCGTGCTCCGTATTGTATGTACATACTCCGTGGTCTGGACAGAGTAGCATCACGGCATGCCCCTGGTCTTGGACCTGGACCAGGACCTGGACCATCACCCCTGCCAGGGGTTCATTAAACTAACATGTACGGAGTATCAGCGGGCTAATAGCACTGCTAGGAGACCAGTTTAGGCAAAAGCACCCACACTCATGGGTCGTTGGAAATAACGTAACGAGAACCATGAGAACGGCATCAACAGCGAATTCAGGCGACAGAAGCTCAAGCGCTGGTTTTTTTTCGGCTTCAAATCGTGTCTGGTGCTTGGTGTCTTTCAATGTTTGTGCCCGCTCGATCACCTTGAGCATCGCTCCTCCGCCATGTCACTCTTGCCCCTGCTCAGTCCCCTTCGTCTGTTGGCCAACCACAGCTTACGAAACCCAGCCCACTCCCCCTAGTCCAGGCACGGCGTCGGGTACCTCATCTCTCTCTTCACGAATGAAGCGTGTCAAAGTGCCCGAGACCCTCCTGTCAGGTACTGGGTACCCCGTCACTCAGTAATGGGTACTGCCAATGTGCCGTTGGAGCACCTGCAGCATTCGCACTTGAGCGTGTGCTAGATTCTGGGCTTAGCCGCTTCTGAAAGCTGCCAGAAGTGCATGTATTTGTACATGTCAATAGTAGAGACACTGGCCTTGCGCCTGGTTCCTGAAGCAAAATCCTTTTCTCCTCGATCCTACAGAGCTCCTTGCCCTCGGTACGGTTCTCATCCCCATCCAGTCTTCTTTTTCCTCTTCTTCTTCTTCCTCCTACTACTGAGTAACCCTTATCCTGCTCTATTCTCAACGGGTGCACGCTCTGTTACCCAGTCTTTCTTCTTTTCATTTCCCTTCATCAGTTTTTTTTTAATATTCGCAACTCCGTGCTCAACCACGCTTTTGCCCTTTTCTATTCTTCCGCCTTGCCTGTTTCTCCAACTGTCCAGGGGGACGGCCCTTGTTGACCATACACATATCCATTGTGTACCGAGTACGGGGTCCCTTTTCCTCTTCCACCCCCGGCCAGCTCCACCACCGCTTGAGCATCTCTCATCTCTCACTCGCTCTCCCTACGTCTGCTTCCACTCTGTACCCTTTTTCAAGGCAAGCCTCAGGCCGTCCAATCTCCTAGGTACCGTCGACCTCCACATAGTCTTTTGTCGAAGCCGCCTCTGTTGTCTCCGACGATTTACGCGCCTCTGCCAGCTCTCGTGCTCCAATCTCTTTCTCTCCTCCGACCGTCAAAATTGGTCTCTCTGTGGGTGATTTTGCTCCAGATGCAGTTCTTTTTGCACATTTTCTTTTGAGACGCCAATCTTCTTCATCTTTTTGACACTCGTTTCGCCTATTTTGTCACTTTTAATTTCCTTCATTGGTTTGCCGCCGTTCGCCGCGCCCCCCCCCCCGTCGTTCGACTCCTTGGTTCCATATTCCTTGGCCACGAACAAAGACCAAATCCACGTCTCAACAGCTTTCGTCTTCTGCGCACCATCTCTTCGACGTAATCGTTCTAGCTCGACCTCTCGCTTCAACATTCGGCTGTATGCTTTGACCGGCTATATTCCGTGTCCCTAATTCGGACGACTTTTGACTTGACACACAAGTTGCTTGCCATCTTCACGCTCATTTCAGCAGCCGGGCTTTACGTCCCAGAAACGATTTCGCCCCTAGGTGTCCAGAACACATTGATACCTCTACTCGGCGTATCCTTCAGACCAGTATCCTCTTTATTCGAACAGAATTACTTTACATACATGCGGCTTTCGTATTCCAGAGCCATTGACTATATATTTTGTTCACCTTCAGTTTAATATTTCTTGCTCCTCTCACGCTACTTTCGTTTTTTGCTTCAATCAACAACAGGCCCATTCATCTGCCAAATCCCTTGTGAAGCCAGCTCTCTCAGCTTCCCGATAACCGACCAAGTCGAGTCACACTAGGATATCGAGGCTAGCTCTCGCACCTCTATTTCCACGTCTCGACCTTGAGCGTGCCTTTAACGGGGCACATTTGTCTTTCAAAACGGCTGTTCTATCGCAAGTCGGGCGGGACTCTCTTGTCCCCCCTCATCTGCTTGGCATGCAGGACCTCAACGGGCACATTGGCCAGGGTGCCAGTGCAAATTCAAACGGCCGATTTCAAGGCCACGTATCAAAGCCTTCTAATAGCGACACTGGATTCTCTCACGGTGCCTTCACGTCCAACATATCTGGATTTGCTGACCGTCACCCCCGTCGCGGCAACATTCCGTCTCTCAACACTCAGTCCATGAATCAGAATCAAGTCGCATCTCCCAATGCAAACGACATGACTACACCTGGCACTGCGTTCGATATGCAATTTACTCCTCTCCTCCCCTCGCAGCTTCTGCTTGGAAGCCCCTTTCAGCCCGGAAGCCCAGCCGCCTTTGGAAGCAGCCCTCAGTTCCAAAACTTGTCTGCTTTCCAACAGAGCCAGCAGCAAGGGGGAAATAACACTCAGCATAGCGGGGGTGTCTCTAGCCCTGTTCAACAAAATATTTCGCCTCAGTCATATCAGGCCATGGTGTCGCCGTCCACGTATGGCGCCCCTCAGTTCTACCCTCCTCAGTCCCCTACTGGAGGTTTCAACATGCAATCGGCAATGCAGCCCGCTTCCCCTGTTTTGGGATCTTCTGTCGTGAGTAGTTCCAGTCGGACAGTCTATCTTGGCAACATTCCCCAGGACACCTCCGCCGAGGAAATCCTCGGCCACGTTCGGAGCGGTCAAATTGAGTCAGTTCGTCTCTTGCCTGACAAGAACTGTGCTTTTATCTCGTTCCTCGACGCCAGTTCTGCGACGCACTTCCACTCTGATGCAATCTTGAAAAAGCTCTGCATCAAAGGTCAGGATATTAAGGTGGGCTGGGGCAAGCCATCTCAGGTCCCCAATTCAGTTGCACTGGCTGTTCAGCAGTCCGGCGCCTCACGAAATGTCTACTTGGGCAACTTGCCTGAGGATGTATCTGACGAGGAACTTCGTGAAGACCTGGGCAAGTTTGGTGCCATCGACACAGTCAAGATTGTGCGGGAAAAGAGCATTGCATTCGTCCACTACCTATCCATAGCCAATGCCATCAAGGCAGTCTCTCAACTTCCGCAAGAAGCAAAGTGGCAGGCTCCTCGTCGTGTCTACTATGGCAAAGACAGATGCGCCTATGTCTCTAAGACACAGCAACAGAACGCTGCGCAGTATTTAGGCATTGCCCCTGGCTATGCACATATGTTGACCGGTGCCGATCGTGACCTGATCTCCAATGCTCTTGCACAGCAATCCGTCGCTGCAGCCGCCGTAGCAACCACTGCCGGAGGAATCAACAACCTAGGAAACCGTACGATTTACTTGGGTAACATTCACCCGGAAACGACTATTGAGGAAATCTGCAATGTTGTTCGTGGGGGTTTGCTGCACCACATTCGATATATTCCTGATAAGCACATTTGTTTCGTTACCTTCATTGATCCAACGGCCGCGGCATCATTTTATGCGCTGAGCAATCTCCAAGGCCTAATGATACACAACCGCAGACTCAAGATTGGTTGGGGGAAACACTCCGGAGCCCTTCCACCAGCAATTGCCCTGGCTGTCAGCGGTGGTGCATCTCGAAACGTTTATATAGGTAATTTAGACGAGACTTGGACTGAAGACCGTCTTCGTCAGGACTTCTCTGAATATGGAGAAATCGAGCTTGTAAACACGCTTCGCGAAAAGAGCTGTGCCTTTGTCAACTTCACAAACATTGCCAACGCAATCAAGGCAATTGAGGCGATTCGTGGCAGGGATGAATACAAGAAGTTCAAAGTCAACTTTGGCAAGGACCGCTGTGGAAACCCCCCTCGACAGACGCAGCAGCAGGGCCAGTCTCCTCGTCCTGAGGGGGTTGCTTCCCCTCCGCCAGGCGGTTCCCAGAACAGCGGCTCGCCACCGAATGGCTCGACACCTCAGCAATCTGCTACATTGTTCAACGCCCAGAGCAACCCTCTTACAATGTACTTGAACCAGTTGTCTCAACAGGCTCATCAACACCAGCACCAACAGCAACACCAGCACCTGTCTTTGCAGCAGAACTTACTCTTCAACACGGCCCAATCCTCTCCTAATGAGCTAGGTCTCGACATCCCACAGCAAGGATCCCTAGGCGGGCACGGTCAATCTGCCTCCATCTCCAACAGCTACGGTCCCAATGCTACTTCGTCTGGCGCCACAACTATCGGGGGACTTCTTGCCCCAGGCAACGCCCGTGGTTCTCACAGCCGGGCTGTCAGTTTGCCTGTGCTTGCCCCTGGCTTCGAGAATGGCGGCAATAGTCCAAATAGCTTGGCTGGTAGCAACGGCAGTGACGGAGAAAGACGTGGCCATCAGTATCAGTCCAGCTTTGGTGGATTGGGAGGCACAGGCTTCGGCCTTGCTATACAAGGTGGTCTCAATGGATGGGTAGAAGAGGAAGTGGCCAACTAATTATTTCAATCGTGTCTAAGCAACTTAGACACCATATTACACCATGACCAGGGAAGGGGACTGATCATTTGGCTTAATCGTTATAATTTCTCTGGTGGAGTCTTCATACTTTTTTTCTTATTCTGAATTATTCTTTTTTTCCTTTTGAAAAATCACTCCAGCTGGGCCATTTCTGCACACACAATTACCTTTTCATACGCTTATTTGTCTTTACTTTTGATAATTATTCTTTGTCAGTATATGATGATTTTATTCTTTATTTCCTCCAATTTAGCTACCCCGTTGAGGTAGACTACAAAAGAGCATTAAACACGGCAACGTTTCACGCAAGGAGAGCCGTGGCCAGGCAGAAGGATTCGCCAGCTCGTGCAGCGGCTGTTGGCATGATCATTGGAAAAGGTGGAGTGCAAAGATTAATATGTGTCTGCGCGAGAAGCGGATAGAGACTTGGTATTTGGGAGTGGCTTTCGCCTATACAGGATGGGAAAGCGGGAAGGAAAAACAAAAGTGCGACCTATAGTGGTAGAAGTAGTGACAGTACTGAATGCAGAAGCAATGTTTCGGGGTCCACACGGTTTAGCTTGTTTTTCAAGGAAAGGTCCTCGTGAATCTAATTCTCCAAAGTGTTTGACATTAGACAACATCTGTACTTGGTGCCGGGTTCTATCCTGAGCTCATATCTAGCTTCGTACTTCATCTGCTCCTAGTGCTGCCTGTATTTGATGCCAATGCCCGTAAATATCAGTATCTTAAGATGAAACCACCCAACGCCATATATCATGATGAAAATAAAAAACAGGGAAAGACAGCCTTCAATTCAACAGAAAGACATCGTGCCATGTGCCCCAAATAGTCATTCATCATGCAGGGCACTATAACAACACGCCAGTATTCTAAAGTCAGGTCTCAATAGCCAGCGGGTTCGGGTTTCGCAGGGAAAGCAGAACCTTTGATATTCAAACGACATTCCTGCTTCCAGTTACGGGGTGTGAATTTATCTACTATGGACTTGAATGCCTCCTGCCGGGTGGGTTAGTTCGCAAGGACTTGGGACTGTTACATATGCGAGGGGCTTACCAAGGTGCAAAAGGATTCGTCACCATCGAGGTGTTTGCCTGCGATCTTGCATCCGGGGATAGTAACAGGTCTGTCGTTGTAGCGGAGACGGACGTAGTAGCCCTGTAGCCGCTTCCTTTCTCGCTCACTCAATTCGGGAGAGGGTTTGCGACCGATGCTGTTTGAAGTCGAACCACTGAAAATGGAGGACCACCACGATTGACTTGACGATGCACTGTTGGTTCCTGTACGCTGGAAGAGCTCAATTGCAACGTGGCTGGTGAATGGGGGCCATGCCTCTTCGTTTAAAGCGCCCAGGCTGGCGAGAACGCCGGCGAGAGTTGTGTCGTGACATCCGCTGAGGCCGAGGCGGATTCTGGGAGGTGTGCTGGACTGCTGCTTCAAGTCGTTGTCAGTGTTGGCGGAATCTTCGGCACTTTCGACCATCCTCGAGACGATGTCGCCGAGCAAAGCGCCGATGCCAAGTGTTCTATACTCCTCGCTCTCCTTGTACCCAGAGTACCACTCTTCTACACCAATCTTTTCCAGGATATGTTTGACTTTGGGGTCGTAAAATTCTTTGGGAAGCTTTGTCTCTGGGCCATGCGCAAAGGTCGCATTGACGGTGTCCATGATGCCGCTCAGCCGAGGGCGTGAATCCACAGCAACTTTGGGGCTTTCATCTGGCATCCATTTTCCAATTTTTGCGTTGAGGTAGGCCATGTCTTCTGAGTCGTTCCACCGGTCTGCAGCCCGCTGTGCGAAGGCTCGAGCCAGGGCGGCAAACCGGCGACAATTGGAGTCATTGGGGTATAAGGTTTCGTCCGCGAGAGCGCGAGAGATGATGGTCGGCGGAGAGAAGTTCTCGGCACGGGTGTGCAATGGATATAGTCCATTGAGAGTCTGCTGCAATGATTCTAGGGCACGGGGGATAGGCGTAGATCGAAGATAGATAAAGTCGGTGTTTTTGACGCCGGCAGGCAGAAAGCCAAGCTGGTCGACATAGAGCTTGCGGAGCCTTTGCCCAAGCTGGAACGTGGTGGCACGGCCGCGATCTGTCAACATTCCCATGTCGCAAATATCATCCAATTCGCCGCTTGGCCCGGATGCCATTACGGGAGCATCGTCTGGCCCCATGGTTTCGAGCCGTCTCTTCCACTCCAGTACTGAAAAGCGGTCCGTGTTGGGGTCGAGAACGGCATTGCGGAGTTGTCTCATTGCAGAGCAGTACGGCCAGAATGGTGCCAGGCCAGTATTCGTGAACCGCGCGTTGACGGGCGTACGCTCACCATGGCGTAGGAGGATCTGGACTTGATGGAGGCGGAGCTGAGGCGGGTAGAGTGTCGTCAGCTCGGCGTCGCTGTATGGCGCTCGGGGCACAAGTGTGGTCATGGTCGAGTACTTGGTAACGGTGAGCGAGCGAGGGGTCAGAGACAACCTGGGCTGGTACAACTGGACGGACTATACTGCTTGAATCGGTTCCCGTCAATGAAACTGGGGCGAGAGAACTAAGAGGCCTTGTCCGGGCTCAAGGTTATTGCCAAATGTTGAATGATCGGTGCGGCTCTTCAATGTTCGTCAAGCGTGGTGTTCTTCCTGAGCATGGAGAGAAGGTGTGTGTCTTCCGGGCCAAGCTGGGCCAGCTAGATCGGCGAATCAATGAATGACGTTGGGGAACGGCGGAGACTGTCGGGTCCGGAGCCGGACTTTCAGGCACAGCAGTAGTAGAGGTTCAAGGGAAGGAACGCCGCAGCCAACGGAGTGCCCCGTTTGCACAGTCGTAAGGTGACACCAAGGCCGGCTCTTGCCTCATCAAGCTTCATTGAGGGGAAGTCTACCTTCCTTCACCGTACTGTGCGCTCCTTCCCGCCTTCCAGTTTCGCAGCTTGCGTCGGCGCTTGGGAAGACTGAGTTGTGGCTGCCAACTCCAGGTAGGTACTTAACTAGGTAAGTAAGCCGATCCTGATGAGGTTGGAATCCATACTGTTAACTCCAACACCATTTGGCCAGCCCTATTGCACTACGATTGCTTCACCACCGACGCCAGAAGCCCTGATTGCATAATAGGATCCACGACGTGCATCGACACCAAGCATCTGCGACTTGAGTAGAGGAGAGGGGGTCCCCTTCCCACATCATTGGATATGGCTTGGACATACAAATGTGCTGACAACACGGAGAGCAATACCAAAAAGACCAACGGCGCCGGTGGCTATGGTCGGAAGAACCCCACAGAGTTGAAGACCATTATCACATGCAATGGACGAGTATCCCACGACAAACCAAGACAATGAATTGTAGGAACGCAAGCACCTCTGGATGATTGCAGGGGCCATACGCCAAGCACCCAAATTGCAGGCGAGGCGGGCCTGCAAGGCTGGCCCTTGCATGTTCAACTCTTGTCTCAACGTCAGACGACGTCAACGAAATCAGCTGGCAGCGATTAATGGGCTGCTGGAGGCCATTTATCACGTCGTCGCCACACAGCCTACTCTCAGGCCTCATCCATCGCTCTGGGGGGGGGGCTACTATGCCATCCATGAATTGGCCAGAAGGCGGCTTCAAAGCAGAACAAAAAATAAAATGGCGAGTGTTTTCGCCTTGGGTTCTGGTGCTGCCTTGTTCGGGTGCACCGGACTTTTGGAACGACGAATTGTATCCAGTCTGGGCTAGCAAACTGACTCTGGCTTATGCTCCAACAGCCACCCTGGCCCTAGCAGAGCCCAATGCAGTTCAGCCCAGATAGACCCATCCGCGCCGGGTTTCCGCTGTAGCCGGCAAGACAGGGAAGGATACGGTGTTGATTATGACGCCGACACAGCCAACGGCCCTTCGCCTTACCCGAGATCCACTAGCTCGAAGCCTGCACATAGAGAGCCTTGTCGCCCAGCTGGTGGGTGGCTTTGTCGCCCATAACACACAGTCTTCTCATGCTTATCCTTCAATTCACTCCTTCCTTGCTTCCCGGTCAAAAGTCTTCTGTTTCGCCCCTACATTGTCTGTTTTTATACTCGGATCAGCTTCTTCGATTGGAAGAATCAGTCTAGTTATACCTGGGCAACGTTGGAAACGAAGCATTCATCGACCCCTGCAGTGATGAACAACGGAGCACTCTCATTGGTTGTGCGTAGCCTTTGAACGTCGCGAAAACTGAGTGACAGCCCTCATGCTGTCGTCGACTTGAATTAGCCTCTCAGACGGCATTGGATTGGCTCCGTCGAGTTTTCCGCTTTTGTCTCCGCGCAATCTTCGAAATCACACCAGCTTGTTGGCAAATATGAGCATCACAAATCAGCTAGATCTCCCGCGGCCGGATGAAGCGGCTAGGATGTCATCACAAGTGTCGGCCTCCGCTGCTGAGGGAAGACAAGTGAATGATATCCCAGATGGTCTTGAAGAGGCTAACTTGTCCGATGAGGCCTCTATTGAAGACCAAGATGAGGCGCAGGCTGCTCTTCAACCAGCTATTAGCGCTGCGGCCAGTCATCTGACATCTGCTCAGACTCCGGCGGCGGAGAAGGCAGCAGCTCTTGAACGGGTACCTGGGGGTGGGTATTTTGACAGCGCGATTATCGAGGGCGATGAAGAGGATGAACGCGAAGATAATTACAGTCCTGACGTTGGGACACTATCGGAAATAGCCAAAAGTTCCCGGCTAAGAGACGAGGTGGTGGATGATGGCCAAGTCTTGGCCGAATCCAGCTCTCAAACACCAGATCAACTACCAATGCCTTCGCCATGGATTTCAAGGCCAAAAGACTTTGCCATCAGCAAAGACACATCTCGTTCGCGGCAAACCCGAGGGGTGCTCGGGTCCGCATTCAGCCCGACGAGACAACATCGTTCACGATCCACTGGACAAGAAGCTTTTAAGAAACTCCAAAAGGCGTTCCCATCTCTCACCGGCCACGGCAATCTCTTACCTTCTTTGCCAACTTCTTTTCTTTCAAATTTCACGGGAGACCACAAAAATAGTCTAAATCAAAGCTCCAAGTTGGCAAGTCGCCCTCGTCCTAGGTCCTTTACACTGACCCAAGCATCCACAACCAACCCTGCCCATAGCGTTGGGTACTATCCTGAGAGTGAGCAGAATGATAAACACACGCCACTGCCTTCTACCGCATCAAGGACCAGTTTGTCCTCCAGTTCGCGGCCACGGCCTCCCGTGTTGCGACGCGTTACCTCCGACGAAAGCCTCCTCTACCACAGCTTGTCAAGACAGTCTTCTCTAGGAGATGACAATAGATTCAGCGATGTCCGAGAAATGGTCAATATCCGGTTCATGGCCATCAGAGATAGCCTTCCAGACGTACCAAACTTCAAGATGCCCAGCTTTCCACGCTTGCAGGCAGCGTCCCGCATGTCGTCAATTTCACTTAACGGCCTGTTTTCGAGCTCGACTGAAGAAAACACACTTAGTCGACAAAAACCAGATATTGGTCCAGATGTACCCATTGCACAACCGAGTCAGGTGCTACCTAAGTCAAGCGCTTCGTCGGTGGCGATGGATCGTGCCTTGGAAGATCTCACCGGTGATGTAGTTATCTTGGGGGGCTATCGTGGCTCCGTGCTTCGATCAGCGGAGCCGCCACACCAGCAACTTTGGGCTCCGGTTAAGCTGGGCTTCAACATGCGCAAAGCAAACCTAGAAGTAGGCCTAGAGGATGAGGATGAAGAAACTATGGAGGAACGCATCATTCCTTCGGGCATGCTCAAACATATCGGCCCGGTGGATGTTTCACGAAAGCTTTTCAAGAGACTCCGGTCTTCTCCAAATGTACGCAATGGAACTCTCCGAATATGGGACTACGGATATGATTGGCGGCTGAGCCCTGCCTTATCATCAAAGAGATTACAGGAGTTCCTTGCAAAGTTGCCGTCTAATATGCCTGGGACACCCCCAGAGTCTCGTGGAGCTATCGTCATCGCTCACAGTCTAGGTGGACTCATCACAAGACATGCTGTTAACTTCCAGCCACATCTTTTTGCAGGCGTACTCTACGCCGGAGTCCCTCAAAGATGTATCAACATCCTAGGACCATTCCGCAATGGTGACGCAGTCCTCTTCAACGAGAAGCTGCTCACCGCACAAGTTAATTTCTCGATTCGTACATCATTTGTACTGCTTCCCGATGATGGTTTCTGCTTCATCGACAAAGAAACTGGAGAGTCATACCCAGTTGACTTTTTCAATGCTGATGATTGGGTCAAGTGGCGTCTCAGTCCCTGTGTGGCACCAGCTCTACCGCCATATAGTCGTGACAAGCAGCAGGGATTAACGTCTCCATTGTCTTCTCTGTTCCCGAATTCGCTTCTCAAGACGAAAAAAGCGCCGGAGGCTCATGAGACCCAAAACATTGTTTCTACCACCAGTGAGACCCACTATCACGGAGTCGCTCCGCTCCCATCTCCACCGCGTTCACCGTCGCCTCCCTCAGGTGCTCAGAATACTTTGACGATAGATCAAGAACGATATCTGAAGTACCTCAGACGGACGCTTGCTGCTACTCGTAAATTTCGATCTGAGCTGGCACACTCTGAAAAACTTGAATCATCCAATGCCTATCCGCCACACGCCGTTCTGTACGGGAAGACAATTCCAACCGTATACGCAGCCCAAGTAGCAGGACGAGAGGCTATACCTTGCGCGGATGCTTATGACGATTTGGTTTTTCGCCCCGGAGACGGAGTTGTTCTTGCACGAGAAGCTATGCTGCCCGCAGGGTATTCCATCGTCCGTTCAGGCAGAGTCAGCACGGAGAGGGGCCACCTTACGATGCTTGGAGATCTACCAGCGGTAGGTCAAGCGCTTGAGGCACTTCTCAAGGGTCGTCGGAAAGGGATTGGTATGGGAGCATAAATGGCGGTCCAAGTCACGGAATCACCCTCTTCTTCAGTGCAGAAATTTTTAAAGGATCTAGCTCTCGCAGCCGGATGTCATGTCGATGAAGCTGTCACCGAGCTATATCAAACTAGGTTTTTGTTTTATTCCCTTAAAGCCAGCAGTTGTAACAAACCTTTACTTACGACGGCTTGGTTATTTCGTATGGATGGCCCCCAACGTTAAATTTGCCCAGCACGACTTGCCAAACGTCGAGTTTCGCAGGATGGGAAACATCTTGGCACCCACACCATCACCGCCCTCATCCAACCACATCTTGGCCGTGAAATGTTGTCACAAATATCAGAGAAAGCAAGCAGCCCAGACCATCCAGCCGGGGACACTACCGAGCGAAGATCGTCATTAGGGTATCTCAAGAGTGATTTATAGTTGAATTGAACGTCATAGCCTTACATTTTGCAAAAGGAAGGCATGGGTACATCCTGTCGTCAATTAGCTTCCATAGCTTCCAAACCACTACATACCGTAGCTGAGACGCTTTCTTTTTCGTATGATGCTTTTGGGAGATACCTCTGGCTAGGCAACAGTATTTCTGCACGAAAAATTGACTGCCTCATGACACTCCAGACACGGGACAGGCCCCGTAAAAGTTGACAGCCTGTTGACACCCACGATATGAATTGTCTCTTCCAAACGATGTTCCAAGAATAAGGTAGCATCCAGACGAGACGGGTGTGATTTGAACATTGAAAAAAGAAATTGACGCAGAAACAGATGCACGTTAATATCGCCGATTCGCAAGACCCCCAGAAGGAGAAAAAAAAAATGCAAGAATTAGCAAGTAAAACAGAGGTTTCGAAGCTAACGCTTTCCTGGTACATGGATAGAGTGCGTGTGATCCAGTCAGTACTCGGAGATTTTATGCATGACGAAAGCTGCATGCGCCCCTGGGGGAGAGGGGGGTGTAAAAGTTAGCAAGCGTCGATCCAGCCACTTTTCCGGCTCATCCCATCATCACAGGTTTCTCATGCAGGGCCGTGCGTTCGTCCTGATTTAAAAGAATTGCAATGGAGCGCGCCCCCCTGCTCCTCTCCTCACCAAGTTAGTTATCCCATGTCTAATGTCCGAAACAAGTAAGTAACCTTGTGTCAAACACGGAGCAATCATGCGGCTCAACAGTGAGCAAAAGTAAGCAGGCAACGAGGAACGGCCGAGGTTTTTAATAACCATTTGTCTTAGATGCAGAATATTATTAGTCACAAGTAACCGGATCGATACATGAAGTAAATGATTTCATTGCATGTTTACGAGACAAAATACAGGCCAGCCTGACAGCTGTTTGCCGCTCGCCTTGCCATGTTGATGGGCGTTTTAGATATCCCAAGACGAATAATAAAATGAGATGGAAACGAAAGAACAGTTTTTCCCTTGTTCTGCTAAAACACCAGACTTGATATTTGTCTTTTCCGTCCTTCCAGGATCGTTCCTTGCCTTCCTATAATCATGTTCCTCTCTCCTCAATGCCACCGTGGCAAGCGTCAATTAAATCATGCGCATGGCTGCAAGACAAGGAAGCCGCGGCGCTCGTCTGGCGCCTGGCTGTTACAGGCTCATTCCAGGTGCAATTGTTCCACTGCAATTCGCCTCCTCCCGTTATCAATGTCGAGCGTGGTATCGTATGTATGGATGTTGGTATGCAACAAGCACAAGTAGCCGTGGTTCTGCCATCTGCGTATGCGTGTCTGAGGTCTCTAGAGACATCCGACTCCAACCTCGGTGGAAAGACTCCGACGCAGGGGTGGGAGGGATGTCGTGTGTCACGGGCGGCGGAAGGGGGGAGGAAAATGGTGGTGGTGACGGGGGGGCGAGGATTGGTGACGATCTAATTGCCCATCTTTGTAAACCGGATAATTCCTGTCAAAAAGCCATGGTCAAACCACCACACTTCAATCTCTACAGTAGTACAGAGTACTACTCCGTACGTATGTATGTAGCTTGGTGAGTCAAGGGATGGACCGGGTTGTCTCAGCTTGACTCAACAGCACACTTTTGCTTTTGTACAGGTATCTCATCAGACTTGGCGACTTCATCCGCAGGCTGTCTTTAGTGTCTGCAAAGACACAATTGTCCACGGCGGTGGACGCCAGTGCGAGTCTTGTTGGCAGACAGTATGCATGGCCATTTGAATCTGGCGCGCCATTCGCTCCTCTGTGAAAGCTGGTTGAATCGCCTCGTCTTGTTCACGGGGCACGAATATGATTTGTTCCAATGCGGGCATTCGTGATGCCAGTTGTTTGATGACGTTGGTTGTAAGGCTCGCGGCCGCCATGGAGCTGTACATCTCGTCAACCCAGAACAGAGCATCGCTAATGGCAATTCGGCGCACGAGAGCCAACTGCGCCGGGTCACACATTGACATGCAAGTATGAAATTGAGCATCAGCAGCCATGTATCCCTCTCGAGGTCCGAAGTAGAGAATGTCGCTCTTCGGATTAAAGATGATATGTCCTGGGGTGCGCACGAAACCAAAGGCGAACCGGAAACTCTTGAACGTTTCGGCTCGAGACTCGGCGCACACATGCATGTTGACGGGAATCGCAGCATTTGAAGTGCATCCAGTAAATGAGGTGGTGGTGGTACGGGATTGCGGATTGCAGAGCGATGGTGATTCGGCGCCGCAGTGTATCGACACCAGCCTCAAAGAGGGCAGGGTTAGATTCCATATTTTCAGACGAAGCTCTGGCGGAAGTCGGGAGAATAACGGCTGCATGCCCGTGAGAGGGAAGAGAAATGTCGTTAGCCTCGAGAGCCCACGGGCAAAAAGAAGAAAAAGAAAAAAAACGACCACCGCCGCAGCTAGGATATATGCCTTTTATATCGCCCACCAGACAGACACATAGCATGAGGAATCCAAATAGACTTACGAATTCAGCAGGTTTTGGAGCTACAGCATTCTTGACAAGCTTCAGCGTCTCGTTGCTCTTCTCGGGTATTCGAACTGCAGCAAGCCTTGTCTGATGGCAGAAAGCTCCCATTTTGCCCAAGCAAGCTCTCAATGGTATGTGACGCTGGATGCAAGGGCTGCCTTGAGTGACCCCCGGTACCAAATTAGCTTGTAGTTTGTGGCAATGGACAAAATGTAACGGCGACGGACGTTGTGCAAACAGAGGTGAAGCGTCGAGCCCCAATGGCGAACAGAAATAGAAATAGGCGTGATTATTATACTCTTCAATGTCGTCCTTCTCCTCTCGCGCTCTCGCTCTCGCTCCCTTTCCCTTCACCCTCCCCGTTGAGGGGTAGGCGAGTGGGGAGCTATTATACTCGCGAGGGCAACTAAGATATGTCTAGGAGCTTCTGCAGGCCGAGGGACATATGTTGACATGCCGCGTCTAGAGCTAGAGCTACTCCTAGCCCACAGGCATGTTTAAATTACGGCACCGAGATGGACACCCAAAACTGCCACTGCCGAAAATGGCAAGACAATGGACCTCTCGGAGACGTCCTCGTTCCGCCTTTGAAAATCGCACGAGACGGCGCAAGCGTTGATTGCTTGGATCCTGTTGGCCTGGGTCCTGGGTGTGTATGGAGTGTCCGGGGCGGCGGCCACTCGAGAATATCCTCCTCCACTCTAATACTCCAACATTGCTTGATCCCCAGTTAGTTCCATACTCCGTGTGCCCCTCTTCACGTCTTCAGGTGGACCAGGGTTCTGCGTTCAATGTTCGGCGCTCCTGGTCCTGGCGCTCCGGACAGTTGAAGTCGCAGCAAAGTCCGGTACTGGCTCCTGCTGCTGTCAACCGCCAAGTGGATGCTGGAATTCCCCCGAGCGAGGCCTCAAATCACCACTGGCGGTGCACGGGTCCGGGCTTCGCTGACTTGTTTGGAACGACGAGGTGCAACTACCGTCGGCTTGGACATGCATGGGGCTGCCGGTGGCTTGGGAAACTCCCACCCGCTCGTATCCAGGCCAATGGGAGATACTCCTGTTGCCCTCGACTAGTCTTAGCGGACACCTCGTTGAACTACTCTTGGTGAGCTATCTCTTCTTCGTCAGTGTCATCATAGCTTAGATTGGTGGTGGATGAGACACTGTTCGAGCTGGCTCATTAAGACTCGGTGCTAGCATGTCAACCCTAACAATTCTGGGCGAGTTCTTTTGCCAGATCAGCCCGTTCTGTGCCATGTCCTTTGTAGCGACACCACTGGTGGTAGACTTTAGATCGAAGCCTACCAAGCCGTCAGGGATTTACTATGGAGGCCGGTTCCGCCGCAAATGTGACTGTGTTTGTGCTCGTGAGAATACCCTTTGCCAGGAGTGCCTAGTCCCGCGATAATTATCGGGAACGCCATCAACGATGTCTTCTCCGACTTGTGAAACATGTTCAACGGCGTGGGGGAGGGCTGCCAGGGGTGATGCAGTCGTGATGCAGTGATGCGGTGATGCAGCCTGAAGCCCGAACCATCACATATGGTAACAGAGGAAGACAAGAAAGCGCGCAGAGTTCGACTCCGGTGGCAATCAAAGAGAATCCATATTTTGCCCGCTGAATTGCAGGGAGAGCATCGCACTCTCCTTTGTTCTTGCCACCCAAATAGCAACCTCTTGTCCTATGGCACAATGACGCTGTTTGCTCATGCACCAGCCACTAACACGGTGTCGAATAATGTTTCCAGCAATGTCTGGTCCCAGAAACCTGGATGATGGGCGCGAACCGGTGCGACAGCGCCGAGCAAGGTTCTGTGATATGGAAGCTTGTGGAGTGGCCTTTCTTGCAGGGGTGTAGATTGCGGTCCTCTCGAGGCCGTCGCTTGTGCAACTTGCTTAACGGCAGCGCCGTCGATCCCCTGTTTGCAGTATGGAGTGTCCTCGGAACAATACGGCGTGGCGCACCTCTAATAACCGTTTTCTTGTCCATGAACATTCAAAGTTTGCTGTCCGTATTGGATTACCAACGGATTTGATGATGTCCCCAGGATAGCTTGACGGTCCTCAAGTTGTATGGAGCGTGAGTATAGTGTTGGTCCTTTTAGGAACCATATCGCGCCCAAAAAGAAATCAAACCCTCTTTTTTTTCTTCTGATTCTCTAATACTAATCCAAAATAATACCAGGGTGACGAACTGTCGGGACTGCTTGCAGGGGAAGGGCACACGGCCTTTTGAAGACGAGTCGGAAGCTGTGAGGTCATGCCCTTTAGACGCTGGGTAATAGGTCAATGCCAATCCCCAATCAGCAACCCAACTCTCCCGTAAATTATTGAGGTACTATGCAGGCCCTCCCTTGTCTACCCAGCTTGGCCTTACTGTATGTATGCCTGTCCCTAAAGGAGGGAGGGGGCCGGCCACCAAACCATGCCCATGCATGGTGTCGTAATAGCTCCCGCTGTCAGTGCCCCGGTGTGGCGAGGATGGGTGGGGGAGAAAATGGCCCTGACTGCCAGTCTCCTTGGATTAGGGATGCAGTACTCGCCGTGTACGGATTATCAAATATGTTATTACCAAACAACATTGAAGCAACGGAGTCCGGCATTTACGGCCAGGGTTTTGATGCCATTTTTATTGCATCAGTGTTACAGGTCGACCTGTACGGACGTTCTTGCGGGCCTCTAGGGTAGCATACTCGATGATAATCTTGTCTGGTTCTATTCGCATTCAGACACCACGTGCATGAATACATCATTCGTGGACCACAGTATATACGGTAGTTGCCCGGGGTAAGAAATTTGGTGTTGGCGGAGAGCCAGAGAGTCGGCCAGCACAAATGACCGGTTTCACCATGATTAATGCTGTACGGGGTAATGACAACTCCGATGGTCGTTTAGCGGGCCGAATATTCACTCGTGGAGCCCCTGCCAACCACAAGAATCGAGCAGACGGACCATGGCGGGCTTTTGCTAACGCAGTGGTACCGTTTGCACCGTGCTAGCAGTTTTGAATGTTTGCTATTGCTCCATCAGCCAGTGTAAGCGCCTGACGCCTGTTCCACTTTGTTCTGATGTTTCGTACTCGGCCCAGCTTGTGTCACAGTGCGACCGGGGCAGTCGTTCTCCTTAGTCTTTTCCCCGTACGGAGTACATGAGAGACTCTAGCCTTGTCTGCACGCCATGGGTTTGTCACCAACAAGGCCAGGGTGTTGGGGTACGGTTCCTACCTACTAGTGGTTGCAGGTCTTGTGTCACAGCCGAGACAGTCGAGGCAATCAAAACAGAATGCCAGTGCTCCCTCCGTACTCCGTAGTCGTAACCATGTCGTTGAAGGGAAATAGTAGTAAGAACAAAAAGCACTCTGCCAAAGGAGTGAGCTCATCGGCCCGGATGGTATTTGATAACCCCATCCGAAAAGATTCGGCGTTGCACGGGCCTGACATGTCAAATTAACGGTCGGTGGTAGTGGCAGCAGGGAGGAATGAATGGGCGAGAAGAAGCCAGGGCACCTGACATTTTGATCAAAGGGCCAAAAGGGCACAAGGACAAAAGGGCCGTCTTCGCAACCTCAGACCAACCGGCCACATCTCCGGTGGATGAAGATGGTTGGTATTTTGTCTTTGTCCTTGTCTTTGTCTTGGCCGTGGGTTGCCGGCTTGCGCTGGCTCGTCGAGTCAGCCAAGGACCTGGGACGATCGTCTGTCGGTCGTCAAGTTACTACGTCAAGTCGATGTCCTGGCGCGGTTTTCGATGGCAGCAATTTTTTGCTGCTGCCTGAATCTCGCGACGGCCTATTCGACGTTGTCCTGCAGCGAACGCACATGCCAGACGAATCATTCATGTGGGAGGGGCGAGCACCACTTCCCGGAGGAGCCACCGGCCAGCCACCTGCCACCTGCACCCGTGCCGGCACGCTCCTTCCGTCGCTTGTCGGGCAGCAACTACCCCAAGCCCCCTCCCTCCCCCCACCCAAAAAACAACGTGCAGGTCAGGGGAACAATGAAGCAGGTCACTCCTTCCCCCTCTGAGAGGTTCCAACTTCCGGGCCGTCTGGTTTTTGCTGCGATTAGGGCATTCCTCAACCTCTTACTGGATATAACTACCAATGAAGTCAAATCTCGGACAGCTGAAGCACTTTGACAAATTATATAGCACAGAAGCGACTGGGCAATACAGGCTTGTCATCGTAAATGGAAGGCAAGGCTCATGCAATACTGTGGACTTTCGTATCAAACCATCCATGAAAATTGACAAGTATAGGCCATACCGTGGCACTGGCCATGGCAAACATCAACTGATAAAACAAAATAAAGAGTGCAAGTGATAAAACGCTGACGTGCTCGTCAAGCACTGAATCTCGTGCTAATCTTGGTATAGTGTTGTCTTGTCCTTGTTGGAAATTGTGAAAGATGAGCATCGGAGAGCCGCTCTCGTCGACTTTCACAGCACGAGACTCGACTCCTTATCCGATCATGGGAGTCTGCTGGGGCGAGGTGAACGCCAACTTCTGGCTACGTTGGACCACAACCACTGCTTGCGCGCCGGCCACAGCACAGTGCACCTCGTTTTCACCTCCATGTATCAACCAGATCAAATGCATCAACCAACAATGATTTGGCCCCTGGTCCCGCCCGGCGCTTGCCCTTGAAAGCGACCTTGGCATCGCCTCATGATTGGTCGCTGACCTGGTGTAAGCGCCATGGCACACTTCAGATGCGTCAATCCTCGCACCTTGATCTGCCCTCTGGCCAATCCCATGCCAAGCAGCTTCCACCTCGGTCAGCCATCTCGTGCTCGCCTTGAGCCTTGAGCCGCCTCCGTGTCGAGCGCGGTTATCCTGCATGGCGGTCAGGGCCGCGGCCAGCGAGTCGGGCATCCAATTGGTCTGAATAATAAGAGATGCCAGCAGTAGCAGGAGTGTGCGATCAAGTCCAGCGGCAATGGAACACTGTCCGATATCTATAACACCCGTCGACTGCCCTTGCTCCTTGTAGACAACACCAGACTTCCAATCTTGCTGGTTTTCACCACTTTCTTCTATTTTCTGTTTTCTTTCTTTGCTTTTTCGGTATTTCATTTTCCTTGTTTCTTCCATCTCTGACGGACCGTTTCGTTCCTCCATTCCAGAAAACATGTCGTCGAGCCTCAAGAACGAGCTGTCATCCTCAGACTTTGAGGTCGATTCCAGTGAGATTCAGTCTCATTCCCGAGTCCAAAAGGTTAAGCTCATTCATAGTCTTCGTACTGGCTTGACTGGCCTGGCGCTGGCTGCTGGCATTGCCATCCTGGGCCTCTCCGCAGACACTCTGTCTGTATACAATGCCACACACCTGCCAGCCGACTTTTTGTTGTCCCTTTGGCCAGAGAGCCTTGACATCAGACCGACCACTTCGCTAGTTGCCGGTAGTGCGATAGTGACGGCTATGAATGTGGTCTCTTTGGTTGCGAGCAAGAACGAGTTTGTGAGTTGTCACCATCACGAGCGAACAACCTCAAAGGTGGCTGCCAGAATCTTCTAACACGATTTCTCTACAGGTTCGAGGTAGAATAATGGCTCATTCTGCGGTCAGCCTCACGGCGCCTGTCGTTGCTTTCATCGCTTCCCTCGTCGCCATGGTCTTCTTCTACGCCATCAACGCCTCCACGACGGTCGTCTCATTCCAGAGTTGGACTTGTCGCTGGAAAAGTGTACCCATGAGCACTCGTCCCTATTTTGGCACTTTGTGCAGAGAGAGCCAGACTTCCCTTGCACTGGCTGTGCTTCTCGTGCCTCTGGAGTTGCTCATCTTGGTGACGGCTTGCTTCCAGGCAGTTATGGAGAAGAAGGTGGAAGTTATTTTACACCTGCGGGACGGCTCGGCTTCCTCGTAATTTACCAAGAAACTACGTCGTGGGACCAAGGATAACGTCTTTTTATTTTCTTCATGGCGCCTTAGTGCTTCGCTACCCTCGGGAGAGATGATTTCATCTGTTGGAGGGTTCTTTTTGGGAGCGGGAATAAAGCGTCCGAGGCCACGTCGGAGGATGCACCGGTATTGTTAGGCGTGTTTTTTCCCTTTTGCACATTTCACAAGTAGGATTGAGTTGAATGTTTTGGCAACGTAATGAATGATTTCTAGCGCTCAAAAAATTGAAAGTCAGTATACCTAGTTTTGCACTTCCCAAGTAGAACAGCCAACATCATCACTTCGATCCCATGCAACTTCGTATGCAAGATTAGACGGTACCTCGTGGCACATACATGTTTCAGCAGCAGTGTCACGACATGAGAGTAATGCGAGTCATCTCGTAAACAGTTGTTGTTTCTATTCCCCGTCCAGGTTCCCACGTCTTTTGTGTCATGCACAGCGGATGAAAATCACATGGGGCAAGCCTCAACCGATGGCCTCTATTCATTCGCATGTATAGCTTTTCATTCCGTTATGGCGGTCATCACAAGTTCACGTCTACTACACCCTGCTTCCGGTCCTCTTATTTGGGCGCCATGCACTTTCAAACAGCTGCCACAGCCGTTCTGAGTGATGGAGCAACTGGCAGATTCCTCAGTGTTCGTGCCTCGTGCTGTTTCGTGTTATCCTGAGAGAACTTTAAAATGTCCCAGAAATTCTTCGGAGGACTGTCACATCCTTCAAGCCTTTAATGTTACTCAGCATTGTTCACAACCCCGAGGTCTTGTGTGACGAACCCCCTCCAGGAGCAGAAAAGTGCACCAGAACCATGGACTGGCGTCCATCGAGTATGGAGCAGAGACAGGTCATCTCCGTCGATGTGCTGCCATTATTTCTTTTCTTTTTCAACGTATTGAGTATTGAGAAAATCACTTCGGAAATGGCAGACATCTCATCTCCAAACTCTCGAAGAATGCCGTCTCCAGCTGCAGATGGGCTCTATGTGCCGACCCCTATGATGCATGAGCCGTCTCGGCGCACCCCATCTCCCAAGCTTGCCTACACTGATAGACGGGACTGTCAACACATACGAAGGTCTAGTTTGGAACCGGTACTGAAGGGAGAAGTGAGAACATCCGAGAATAGACGGCATAATGTTGGTCATGGTTCTGGTAGCGCTCTGCCAAAGCCAAACCTGGCAAAACCTCGCGCCCCGAACTCAGGGAGGCCAGCCCATAGCAAATATACTGGCTTGCGGCGTGATTTTATCTTGCGAAGTGAATCACTCCTCTCCGTCGAGGTAAAGACTAATGTTGTGGTATGCATCGCCATCTTCTGCCGCCAGACAGTACAATGCTAACAATGTTTTTTTTAGATTACCAACGAGTATCTCTTCATGAATGAACTCACACATCATTTGTCGATCCGGTACAGCCGCCCTACAAGCTCAATCGCCATATCTTTACAGCATGGGATGTGTCTGCTCTTCGGTGGCTCATTCGAGCCAGCATACATCATGACGATTACTGCATTGGCAGATCAAGTCAAGGCCGATACGAACAGACGAAATGCAGCGTTATTCCAATCCCATCTTCAGCAAGCTCTCAGGGTTACCCCAACACGCGGTCTCGTCCTATTTGTGCCTATTGTCGAGGAATGTTCAGCAAACGGCGGAGCCGCAGCAATGGGAGCGTCGGTTGGGCAAGGTTTGCAAGGCCATGACGACAGAAATGGAGAGGGGCGAAGATCCAAGGTAAGCATCCTGCTGCGTGTTTTCGGAGCTGATTCCGAGTGTCTGATTTGTCTAGTCGCTTATTTTGCGGAAACCCGCATCGATGACATCCATGGCGTCTCAGCGACAAGATAAAACGGTGCCTCCTGTTGATGCCATACCACCTGCAGCGGTTCCAACGGCCAGTGTGGACATGATGATTTCACCAGAGATGAAAACAAGCAAGAAACGGAAGAGTTTTATGCATAGTCTGTTCATGAGATCACAAAAGGAAGTCGAAATGAGCCAATGACTTGGTGGGAGATGGCTGTTCAGTCTCCTCCCCCCCCTTTCAAGCGCTTAGGGTAGCGACAATCTAAAGGTGGTGAGCACAACCAGACCTTTTCCACGGTTCAATGAACAAGTGTAACAAACCTCGGGCAGTCCAGACCATGGAGTGACATGGCCCTTCCTTGCCGGCTGGAGGCGCCCCATTGGCAGAAACGTGGCAGATTCGATACGGCGTAGATCGCCGCCGGTGAGCAGGAGGAGCTGTCAATATCTGAGGTAGTGGATGTCGTGGTGGTGGAGGCGTGCATTGTAGCTAATTCTCAGCACCACATTGCAAGTCCCAATGGGCCAGAGAAGCTGTTTTCTCTCATGGCTTCATTCTTTCATGGTCTCATGATGGGTAATGAGAGGAGGCTTGGGAGACTCGGCGATTGATCACACGGCAGTTGACAAGGCAAGAATAGATGCAATGGTACTCCGTAATATGCAATTGATACCTTTGCATGTACGGAGTAGCCATTTTTCCTTTTAGTGGCTGGCCGCATGCGTTTTGCCACGATTGAGCGGGTATGTAGGCTCAAGGATGCCATGGGTAGGCGTTTCCTGCATCGGTCCTGAAGTCAAGGTGTGTTGATGTTCAATCAGACTATGTCAACCAGGCAGTTTCTGGGTTGGCTTCCAATATGCAGCCCGTATTGGCTCCAGGGCTGGTCCTTCCTGCACCTGCCTGGTGCTCGTGTTTCATTGCCGGCCCGCAATTGACCGCCTGCGGAAAGCGGAAACAGGCAGGAGCTACTCATCCACAGGTACCTGCCTCCTGCCAACAGGAAGCCAGCCAGTCAGCTAACTGCCTTACCCCAAACATTGAAACCTCTTAACCGTCCAATGGCAGATTCCATCCTCCAAGCTCCATCACTTCAACGGCCTTGAGTCCCATGCCGCTCTCTTTATCGACGAGGCCTCAGGGTGCACCACCAACCATCGCCATCTCACCCACAAAGAAATTCGATTTAGCAACGCGCCCGAGTGCTCAAAAACCAAACAGCGGCCAATTTTTGTGGATTTGACAACTCGATGCAGAGTACTTGTTTGCGTACTCGTCCTTCTCTCGGCGGCCCTGGGGTCCATCATTTCAACCTCGCTTGAGCTTCAGCTTGACCTTCGATGACCCCTGGTCACATCGCACTCAAAGGGCTCTGTTGAAGCTGAAAAATCTTCTGGGCTTGCAGACACCATCGACTCTTTCATAGGTCGCGGTGACCCTGCGCCTGCTATCGTCTCCGGAGAGCCCAGAGGCCATCTTTTAACCATTGGGAGCACTGCCTCTCCAGAATGGAGGTGAGTGGCTGGCATGCTGAGATGTTTTTGTTTGTTGTTTCTATTCGCATTGGTGCAAACCACTGGTTGCCTTCTTTCTACCAAGTGTGCAGAGAGGAAAATTACCATTGGTTTCGCAAGCTCGGCAACAGCTAAATATTCGAATCTTGCTTCCGTCTGTCCTGGACTGGTCAGATTCATTCATCCCTGATACGCTTTCCAAGCTGCCGAGTGGCGTGCTAGATAGGGGTAACACAGCGGAACAATTGGCTTGCATCTTCGCTTTCTGGCCACGCCACGACGATGTTTTTCTTTTGGACCGTATGGTCGGGCTAGCGTGATGCAACCAGTGGGCTGCTAATGCTGTTGCAATTTAGCTGCATCGCTCCGTATGCATTTTCTCGTCGGGTTCTAGGACGATCCGAAGACCATTGCAAGGAGACCTGTGCCATGGAATGACCACGTTGCGTTGCGGCTTGGGCCGAGCCTCAACGACATGCTTCTTCCGGGGTCCATGCTTCATTTGATGCTGATCTGTTCTAATGACTCGCCGTCCGCCTGGTCGCAAGCGCATCCAGGCTAGGACAAGGCAGGGAGGTGTGGCTTATGTCGCTTAATGGAAGACGACATTATGACAATACTCTGTTGCTGCCTTGGCCCAGGAGCGCTCTCACATCTCAGATAATCCCGAGTCTATCGCTTCTCGTGAGACTGTGGCGGTCGCCTTGAGCGACGAAAAGCCATACGACTTGGCACTTTGGGTAGCAACATTCCTTTGGCTTTGTGACATGGCACTCGCTTTTGTAAGAGTTGTGTTGACTGTTGTTTGGTCGTATGGTGGACGATGGCGAGAGTCTTTTTAAGTATATTCGGGAGGCCAACCACTTTCGCGTTCACTTACTCTGCACCCAAATTATCAGCAAGCGCTGGCTTAACCGGTGGCCGTTCAGTTTGTAATTTTTTCATTTTTTATTTCCTATTCCCTTTCAGCAATACTGCAATACTTGCTTTGGTACATACTTTGCAATGTCGCTAAACCCTCCTCTTCGCGAAACTCTACTCGCAGAGTTGGGCGATGATACGAACTTGACAGCTCGTTCGTCCTCTGGCATCATGAGTCCAGCCGAACTAACCTTGCAACGCATTCAAATGCAGTCCTCAACTGGCGCGCAAAGCAAAGATGCTGCTAAACGTTTGGCAGTGGCTAGACGCGGTGCATCCACCATAGCTCTGGCTCCTAAGGGAAAGCCGAGGCTTCTATTGATGGGTCAGAGAAGGTGAGTGTTATTTGTGTCGGTGGAGGCCGTAATCAGCATATTCACAACTCTGCAGGAGTGGGAAATCCTCTATTTCGAGCGTTGTATTCCATAAACTACCTCCCAATGAGACCCTTTTTCTGGAGTCGACAGCACGGATACAGAAGGACTCTATGGCGTAAGAAACCGTAAAAGTCTATTTTAGGTCCATTGCACTGTTGACAAAATCGCTAGATCCTTCATGGACTTCCAAGTCTGGGACTTTCCAGGACAAATCGATGTTTTCGACAACGCCAATTTCGATATGGATGCAATTTTTGGTGAGATAGGCGCTCTAATATGGGTGATCGATGCCCAAGACGACTATCTCGAAGCTGTATCCCGCCTCAACGCCACTGTTCTCTTTTTACAACGCGGCTATCCCAACATCAACATCGAAGTGTTTATACACAAAGTCGATGGTCTCTCCGATGACTACAAGCTTGATATCCAGCGCGACATTACCATCCGCATCCAAGATGAATTGTCTGATCACGGATTCGAAAATGCGCCAGTTACATTTCACCTCACTTCCATTTATAACCATTCCATCTTCGAGGCCTTTAGCAAAGTCATACAGAAACTCATCCCTCGCTTAGGGACGCTGGAGTCCATGCTTACCAATCTCTGTCGAACGTGTCGCTTTGAAAAGGCATATCTTTTCGACGTCCTTTCTAAGATTTATATTGCTACTGACAATGCAACGGCTGACATGGCAAGTTATGAGATTTGCAGCGACTATATTGATGTTATTATTGATATTACAGAGGTATATGGTACATGGCAGCGTAGTGACGAGAGTCGCAAGAAATTGGAAGGAGAGCCGTGGAATACCAAACTTGATGAGCAGATTGGCTGTCCTACGGCCGAGAGTTGTCTCGTGTTGCATGATAGCAATAAGCCCATTATGTTGAGGGAAGTGGATCGTTACCTGGCCCTGGTTGCGATTATGAGAGATGATTCATATGACAGGATGCCCTTGGTCAATATGAATGTTGAGGCAGTCGTAGAGGGGTTGACGGAGTTCTTCAACATTACGAAACCACGGAAGTAGCGTCACTGAAATCAAGAGACTCTTACGTGCGGTCAGGTCATAAACTCAAAATATATCACTCATAATTGGAGATGACGCCAACAACTAGGGGTATTTCATATTGCTTTTTAGCGGGTTAATTGATCGTCTGTTTAATCAGCCCCCGTCCAAAGGAATGACGTCAATGCGGGATTGTAAAAGTCCGCCATGTTGTCCTGTTACTCGATAACAGGCATATTCTCACAGGCAGCTCTCCTCGAAGGTCTGTCTTGTCATGGACTTCCATTCGAACAGGTCGCATGGCGTATTCGGGGGGGATCGCAAACTCTTGTAAATCAGCTAGTTCAATAATTGGTGTATCACCCGGGGATGAGTCGTATGCCTTGTATTGGAGGTGGTCGGATTCGAGCGGGACGAGGGTGACGATTGAAGTGTTATCTAGTTGAAATTAGAAGGTGCCAAGATGTTATGCAAAAAAAAAAAAAAGTTGGTACAATTACCAGTTTGAGTACACAGTAAGGCCAATGTCTCGTCATTTAAAAACTTCAAGTCGACTAGTTTTTTATTGGGGAGACGAATGCACGTCGATGTCGTCTGAGAACTGCTACTAATGCCGTTCTTGATGTCAACGCCGGATCGGAATATGTACACTGCTTTAATTAGAGATTTGTTTTATTTGTTGTCCATGTCCACCGCTGGGTGCTTGCCTTCATCGCTGTATGATTTTGATGCTAGCGCTGTGTATATCCTGCCTGCCTGTATGCTAGTTAGTTTACCTGTCTGGAATCAAGAGTAAAAGTTCGGGGCAACTTGCATTCCCGCTGGTATGGAATATGAGGGTGTCCATTAGTGCAATGGGTTGCCCGATAGACAGCTTGACAGCCTTGCCGAACCGTACGCTTCGCTTTGTTGCTTCTGCTATGTCCTTAAATATTCGACTGGAGCAAGTCGTCACGTATGATACTAGGAAGTCTACGTGCTGGAGAGCTTTTCGGGATCCTTGTCCTGACTCTTGTTTCTTCAATTGCGCGTCAAGAATGGGCAATATGCCGACACCGTCTTCGATATGATCGAAGTCAGCCTGCCAGTCTTCCTCGGAGACTTGGTCAAAGTATACATCAAGTGGACTATGGGTGAGATAATTCTCAATATACGTGAGAACCTTTGACGTGTCCATAGTTGCCTCTTTTTCGGTGAGCTCATCTGCTGTTGTACTAGATGAAGCTTGACGATCAATCTGAAATCGCAACCATGTAGAAAACGCGTTGAAATGCTCCAGTTCGTCCATGACATTGGATAGAATCTTGTGGCCGACTAGACCCAGACAAGCGATAATGTCGAGAAGTCTGTTGGTTTGAGTAACCGAGTATCCAATGTCGTCTCTGTCGTCATAGAATTGGGCCAAACCACGTAGACGGCTGAGAATAATGGTACAGCGCTCTAATGCCGGAAGGAAATTCTCGTGGACTAGGCTGCGGAGATTTTCGAGACCGGAGACGACAGCTTTGTCCCATCGCTTGTGACCCTGTTCGAAGGATTGATATTAGGACATGTTTCAGTTCCCTCACGTTGGAGGCCGGAAAGACACCTACACGTTCTGCGAGACTATCAATCAGCCATTCTCGCACTGGCCCGTACGCATGTCCGGTGACGACAGTGTGGTACAGTGCTGGAACGATGCTTCGGGGACCGCTTGGCAGCTCTTCTAGATCCCCTTGCACGCTGCGCAGAAATCGGCTTGGTAATTCTCGGGTATTCTTCCATTCGACTTGCATGTGGAGTTGGGTTTGTTTGATATATCGCAGCAACTTCTGAAGTGTAGTCAACTTGGAAGCCAGCAGGCACAAGTTAATCGGGGATGACGAAATGAAGGGCAGGTCCATCGGGACTAGGTGGAGGTATTCCGGCTCCGTCTGTGTATGTGCAAAGACCAGAGCGTGTGTTGATAGCCGAGGATGAGCAGCGTGAGAAATCATGTATGGCGGCGTATTTAACGACTCTGACATGGGACTGGGAAATGTGCCAATAAGAAAGGAATCGTAAATGTTTAGCTGCAGCTTGCCATCGTCCGTCCCAACTATCATGACGTTCACTTGCTCATATTCCTCCCGCTTCGGCGGTTGAAACAAGAATTCAATCCCTGTCCGCAACGTGAATACAGTTGCATCATCACTGCAGACAGTCGTAAGTCTATTGTGCACTTCTGTTCAGAGAATGAGACTGGCCGTCACTTACTCTGCGCCAGCACTACTGGTAGGCAAGGGACTGATCTTGGGAAGGGCGGTGTCAACCTCGAGAAAAGTAAGCTCCTGGGGCAAATTAGGAGGCAAATTGTCGTCGGAAGTCGTTGTATTTGTGAGTATACCATCCTTTGATTGTATCAAGAGGTCTCCTGGTGATTTACTTGCGACATTGCAGGTTGCCCAGCCAATACGGGAGATGTTGGCCGTTCCTCCGCACACTGGGATGTGATGAGCAGCTTTATTCGTTTCCAAGCCCATAAGCCTGACAACTCCGTCGCTCCATCCTACTGCGAGAAATTGACCTAATTGAAATCTGTTAGCCACCGTCTGTGTAGTGTAGGCCCAACGCTGCTGAAATGTAGTTACCGTCTGGTTTCCAGGTCACGGTGACCACTTCTGACGATTGCGTCCCTGGAGCCCCAGCTTGGTGGATTTTAGAAACAGCTTGACGGGGAGGTCTGTAAATGAATAGGTTTTTGTCGACAGCATCCCACGTGGTAGACAGGTCGAGCGTGGGACAACTTGAAGGGAAACCCACGGGGGCTTTGGACTCGAGCTCAGTCTCGCTGTAGAGTGAGAGCTGTTTCCGCTGAGCCATGACGGCCGACCAGGCGCCTTTTCAACGAGTCAAAGACGGCTCTTTTGTTACACAGCTCATAGCTAGGAAGCCTCGATATCGTGTCAACCAGCTGGCGCGTGGAGTGCAAAGTCTGGATAAAAATAGAAACGCGTCGTCGGGCTTGTGACGTGGTGGTGTTCGAGAGTTGGAGTTGCCCACCTTGTGCTTGAGCCATTGAATGAAGGAAGGAACCCCCACCATTCTTGTCACTTGCCCAGCCGACGCAATACCCATTGTCACCATTGTATGCACTCTACTACACGTGGACTTTTAATTTTTGTTCCCTCTGATTCCTTTCAACATTGTCTATTATCCGAGACCGCACAAGTTCATCCCGACACAATTGTTGAACCTACTTTTGTTTTTCAATCGTGTCGCCATTCCGCCTAATACTGACATTTTACACTTGCTTGCCCAACGTGTTGTGTCGTTGCTCAGAAACTACGAATCCCCTTGCCATCGTATATAAAGCTAGCTTTGACTCACTTCACTCCATTGATATCTATCTACTCAACAGAGTAGTTGTCTGCGGTGGACTTCACCTCTTTCGAGAATGTAATCTCCTCATCCTCATCCAACAGGGACACCTTCTTTACCTGTGCATCTAGTTAGCATTTCCTCGCTGCTCAACTTTCCCATGTTGTTCGGGAACACTCACATCAACATCTATGTATGGTGTCGTCTTGCTGAACCTCACAGCCATGGGGAAGAAATCGTTCTCATCACTGCTCTCAGCCTCGAATTCGAAAGCACCGTTGGGGTTCTCGTCGTCAACTGAGCCAATGTTCCATTCCAACATGTCTCCAGAGACCTCATACGCCGCATCAAAGCTAGACACGACAGGCTCGCTTCCTGAATAGGGTATGACAACGCTGACATCTCTCAGCGCATCGCCGCCGGTAAGCTCATACTCGACTGTGACATTGTATTTGCCACCATTGTCGTTAATCCACACAGTAAAGGTGATGGGGCAGGAGCTGGCGTCGTCCGCCTTTGGCGAGGCTCTCCATCGCAAGACAGCAACTGAGTTGTTGACAGGGAACCCACGTGCTGTGTTGCTCATTTGAATCGTCTTGGACCCATTGAATAAATTCTTGTCCACATTGGGATGTGTACGGAATTGTGCGCCGTGAGATGTGACGGCCTGCAGGCCAAGTTTAACCCTGGTGAGGCTGGGATCGGAGATGCGAAGAGAAAGGTCGCCGCTAATGGACAAGGTGTTGACAGCACCTTCCCTAGAGAGGTTGGCGCTAATTGACTCGGAGATGGTAACATGGACAGCATCGCGGTCAAGAGTCGATGAGACCCGGGGTTCGACGGGTTCGGTAGCAGCAGCCGCCGTGGGAGCTACCAGGGGAGTGTCATCGATTTCGCCGCCCATGTCGCCGCGAACTCGCTCAAACATGTCCGTGGTTTTGGACTTTTTGCCCAGCTGCATGCCCTTTCCTTTTGGTGCGAGGGGCCTGATTATGGGTTAGTCGGGCACGATCCCATGGGCAAAGCAAACTTAGAGATTGAACCAACTTGTTAAACGTCTTGTTCTTTTCAGCCTCATATGAATCGTACGAATCGGCACCGCTAGGTCTTGAAGGAGGAGTGTAGGTTGGATAAACTGGAGTTCGTGGCATTCCCCGGTTACCCCTGGCAGACTCCTTGCGCTGCATCTCAAGTTGCTTGGCCTTTCGCTTTCGCTCTTCGGCAGCCTCAAGCTCTTTGTTCTGCCAATGGCATTAGCATGCAAGACAACAGACCCCAAAAATTCATGGTATGGCGGCAAATGGCGGATGCGGTGGCAGACGTACTCTGGCAATGATCTCCTGGATGCGCTCTTCATGACTTTCCATTTCTAAAAAGGTCTTTATCTGGCTTATGGTGAGGTTTTCCCGGTACCCAAGCGTAACCAGCTCATCAAAGGCACTGAGAAGTTCGTAGGCATTTCGGACAATCTCTCTCTCATCAAGAGTTCGGCATGCGCTGGTAACGACCTGAGCGAACAGGTGCAGGGAGTCGATGTCCTGGAGAATGTTGGACTGCTTGTTGGTGATGAGCACCATGTAGAGCTCGTCAAGCGGCTGGTAGACAAATCGAACATTGTCCTGCTCAACGGTAGTGTGCTGGGTGCCGCTGTCGGCCAGCTTTGGGAACGAGGCGAGGAGGGCTTCTATCCGCGACCGTGGCATCTCTCGAAACTGGCGGGAAAGGACAGCTTTCCCCCCGCGGGTGCAGATTGACGCCGCGAGAACGACCTGGAGAGGGTTAGCAAAAGGACGGGGTAGCATGGGTTCTTTACAATGCGACGCGCACCATCTTGAAAATCCGTATATGGCGACTTGGGAGTGTTGAGCTAGCTGTATTCTTGGACGGGCTGGTTGTTTCTGGCACTCCGGTACAATGACGGGCGGGCGTCTCTCAATCAAACTGGCCAATATTCCCAAGTCACCCAGTCCCCAAGTCGGCAAGTCATCAAGTCAGGTGCGTTGGCTGACGGTGGGGCAGAACCTGCCTGGGAAGGGGCAATCAAGGGAGGTCGGCGCGTTTGTCAATACGTTACGCACCAATCTCTGTACCAGAACCTCCACCAGATGTAATATGGGCTCCTAGGTACCTAACATACCTAGGTAGGTATATGTACCTCTGTCTACTCCGTACCCATCCTGCCTTAGGCAGAGTGTTCCCACTCATTTTCTTCTGTTTCCGCTCTTTGTCTTTGGGCAGAGATCCACTCCATCTCCCTCAGTCAGCTGCTAGGTACCCAGCTGCATTCATTCCGCTTCCGTGATCAAGTCGTGACTGCAACTTTCGTTCTACACTGCTGAAGAAAACGTATCCCAGCGGAGCAAATACTTTTATCGACGACACTTCGTCACCCTAATATCACCTTAACCAATGTTTCGCACCGGGATTTGTGACAAACGATTTAATTACAATCTGCAAGCAGCCTAATCCAGCGTCAAGTTCTTTCATTCGGCTGCCAAGCGACGGCGCCATTAGGAATCGTCGACCAGCTCCGGACGCCTGCACATCGCCAGTAGCTCACATTGTTTCTTTACCATTCGCTGGCCTCTCTCAACTTTGCGAAGCGTTTGCAATCACTCGCAAGCCGGGGATAGCGAACAGGCCGGGCTGTCCCGTCCACATGGCCGAAATGGAGGTAAACGCGGCACCTCAGTTTGGCCGTGACAGACACCTAGATGATGATTTAATCAACTATGACAGTGATGCTGAGAAACACTTGGGCTACAATGAAACTACAGAAGCGATGTATGGTGCCGAAACCGTCGTTTCGGCGAAGGCCAGCCTTGAAGCCCCAGATGAGGATGGCGCTCGACATGAAGTGGACTTTTTTGAAGGTGGCGAACAAGACCAGGCAGGAAGTCCCAAACTAGAGCTGGGGACTACAGATGAAGGACACGATGCGAACCGACAAGCGTCCCATGAAATAGACTATGATTTCGACGAGCCTACGCACCGCGATACGCCTGCAGCCATCGATAATGGTGATGAGAAAAGAGCTACGCCGGAGCAGCGGCAGCTGGAAGAGGTTGTTCATGACGAGAAGGCTCAGGGACTTGGAGAGGCAGACTACAAAGCTGATGATCATGAAATAAGCTGGGAACAGGGGGACGAGCCGGTGGAGGAGGGCTTGCGAGATCCTGAAACCTCAGCTGACAATGGCGAATATATGTCTCCAAACGAGCTATCTACTTCCGAAACAGAGAATCAAGCTGCTTCTGTTCCATATGATGGTGATGCGGCCAGAGCGGACGATTCCTATTCTGAGCAACTGGAAACAGCTGGCGATGGAATGGGGGACGATGGGGACCTGCAGGATGACGCCGATCAAGATCTTCTCTTGGATCTAGAGTACTCTGATATCGAAGAGAATGGGGTTCCAGCTATTACAGTGCAATACAGGGGTGATGAATTTCCATTCTTCTCACTCTCTTCAGAAGGCTTCTTTTCCCAGCTTTCAGTTTTGGACCATACTTTCGATTCAGTCTTGAGTGGTTTGCGACAAGAACTGGCCAATGAACTCCATCCTGAAGATGATCTTGTATTTCAAGTGGACGAACTTGGGCTAGAGTTTGCAGAAGTAAGTATGGGCAGTGAACCAAATACGAAGCATTGACAACTGACAACCTCATAGTCATCACCTCCTGAAATTCTGTGCAGCATCAGCTTGAGGCAAATCCTTGAGGTTTTTGAAACTTTGGTTAAGAACTGGGACCCTGAAAGCAGTCGGCCACTTTACACCTATCTCTTCACTAGACCCAGTGTGGGTAGACGATTCGATTTTTTAATTGAGAGTGCTTCTGAAGGCAAGGGGTTGGATGATGTTATTCATCTGTTCCAATCGGCCGTACCACGCACTGCTGGCCTTGGAGATATCTCAGCTGGCGAGAATTTGAGTGGCCAGTTGGACCATGATGACAGCTCTCGTGAAGACCGCGCGGTACAAGATGTTGGGGACGTTTTGAGTGACCGAGAAACGGGCGAGAAAGACTTGGAGCGGCTCGTAGATGAAGACTCACTGTCGGATCGACAAGAAAGCATTGGAGAGGATTATGAAGAGGATGAACCTGTTAACGAGCTCGAAGATTCTGATCCTCAGTATGGCAATGCGATGGAAGAACTGGCAGAAGTATCCCCGCATTTTGATGAAGCTGTGGTCTCGGGCGCTCTCGCTCCAGAAGACGACGTTGGAGATGGTGAGGGGGACGATGACCAGCTACTCGGTGGCGATTCTCAAGATGCAGGAGACGAGGTTCGCGATCTGATTGACCCGGATTTCGACGAGCCCTTAGAAGTGGCCGATAGTAACCTAGCCGGGCCGGTCGAGCAATCTACACAGGATGATCTCGGAGACGCCAATGCAAAGTTTGGTGCCACGGATGCCAGTACTACGACGACGACTTTGAAAGATGATGGGGAGGCGGCGTCCACGCCAGTAGAACTTGCGGCTCTCGATGCCATCATCGACCAAACCACCGTGGGTGACCTCGTTGAGCAAGATGATCTCGCGGAAATTGATTGGGGAGATGAAGCGGAGCCTCATCTGCAAGACGAGGTTGGTGGAGAGGAGACATCCGGTGCTGTAAAACGAGCCCGTGGTGACGATGGGTTAGGTGTCGACGATAACCAAAGTAAGTTAATATGGTCGTCTAATGCCGGACAGAGTTAACCATTCTGTAGATGTCAAGCGCCAACGTTCCTAGTGAACAGAGGAAAAAAAAGCGCACATGTGATGCTAACATCTTTCCCCCAAACCCCCCTACAGCTATATATTATCAAACGGCCCCCCTTCTCCTGAAATGGCGGACTGATAATGCAGTCTGACTAAGATACGATTGTCATCTGTTTAAGGATTGAACACAGGTGTCAGCATTACCTTCAGCGCAACCAGAAAGATGATACCCCTATACTCACTTGCCTGCCGGATTAGTTGGAACCAAAATTCATTTCAAAAAGGTAAGACACGGAGACTTTACTAACAGTTCAAAGCAGCTTCCCCCAATCGTATGTGGATGTGCGATGGGCTTTATGGGGATCTTGTCTTTGCTAGGGAGGAGTATGTTCTCGGCCTATTTGACTATCATATTACTTGAGACATGATTTCATTTGAAGATGAAACGATTTCGGGTTTGGTAGTAGATTACAGGCAGCGAGGAGGAGGGGGGGAGGCACTTTTTTTGCATCTTGAACATAGGTTGAAAACGAGAGAACAGGCGAAACGAAGACGGGCGGACGATTTGTATTATCAACTACGAGGTGAAGTATACTATCAATCTTGCTCCGGTGAGCTCCTGGACCGATTCTTAGCTGGCCGCCCCAGAAGTGCGTACCAGCGGTTTGTTCTTTCAGCCAGGACGGCGATCCCCAGCAGTATGCATTAGCTCGGCGTTGGTAGGATACCGATTATTTCGGATTAGATAGGCGAGGCAGGTAATTTTATTCGAGAGGCTGTTCCCCACAAACACTGTAATGTAAATTCCACGTTGACGGGTACATGATGCTGCTAGCCGAATCCCTGCCATGTCATGTCAACGATGGAAAGCTTGGCATTTATCGAAATATGTACCAAGTAGAGAACTGAAGGTGTTTTGAGCGAGTTGGCGAGATGGATTGGACTAGACCGGATTAGGCACGTCAGAAATGTTTGAATTGCTTTCATTAATACGGAATATCTAACGGTTAATATGGAGTAAAGATGGCAAGGTTGCGCTAGGAATGCCATGTTCAAAAATTGTGCTTGTGCACCAGGGAGCCAGGGAAGCCTCGGCCTCGGCCTCGTGACGGCGTCAGGAGATACGTATTGAGCAGCGACTAGTGGCTAAAAAAGGGGGAGGATAGAAAAGACTCGTCAGGAGCACGACACCGGATGAAAGGCAGATGGTGGCTGGCAACTGGCAAGGCTTTGCTCGATCGACAAAGATTTCTAGGATGCAGGGGCACATTCAACACTAAATAAGTGCTAATAAGTACTTCTGTGTGCATTGTAGTTGAACTTTGAAACGTGGTGGGGAAGGGGAGGGCGAAGTAGTGGGCGCTAGGCTAGTTTGAGCAGTTTTTCGAAGACAAAGATAAATACGGAGCCAAGACAAGTCAAGGGTGTACATATGTACATGGGAACAAGATAGAGTCGAAGCTAGTAAGTAGTAGTACGGAGTACACGACTTGCAAGGCGAGGGCAAAGCGTCAAGATGCTCACGGGGAGAACGATGGAGCCATGACCAATAATGGTTTACATGGGATACCCCCTGGACGACGACATCTCGGAAGCAATAAATGGAAATCCCGAGGGTTGAATTAATTAAAGGGATGAAACACTTTTTTTTCATAGTGTCAATGAATATTTACAGCGGCCGTCTGGCGTTCTCCTCCAGACTTTGGGATCCCCGCCCCTGTCCAGGTACCCGTGGGCTCTAAAAATGTGAGCCAGTCATTTGTGGCCAGCAAAACTCTGAGGGTGTGGACCCTTGCATCTATGTACGTATCTCTGTGATACGAGGGAAGGGAGGGACGAAGAAGAAGTGAGCAGCACGTCGACAACAGGACATGGTACAGCCGCCGGGCGCAGGCTGTGGACAGGAGTCGCGTTGGGGAGTTGATGGTTGAGTTAGCCGTAGAATCACCTTGGCCTGTTTGTTGTTAGGTTGATGCCCATTTCGGCACTCGCATCTCGACAGACTTGTTGTGTTTATTCTCTGAGGAATGGCGTGGGGACTCTCTCGTTGACCGAAGCCGCGGCGCTAAATTGTCCAGCAAGAATCGCATGCTCAGAACGGGTCTTTTAAAGTTTCCAACTTGATGTGCGGCGGCTGTTGGAGTCTACTTAGTATGTACGAAGATCAGTAGGCACTGCTTTTGTTCAATACAGGTTAATGATACGACACCGGAATACCTTGGAGTCTGGTACTTACTTAAAGTAGACTTAAGTAACTACCAGAGTAGTAGTGAGGGGGAAGGCGACGACGCAAGGACGCGACGACTTGGAATGCAAGTACTGCATACCTTGTCGGCTTAGCTCTGGGCCTGGGACGCCTGGAATCTGCTGTCGGCCAGGTCTGGTCCGGTGCCTCTCCACAGAAGCCGGAACGCCCGCGGTGCCTGAGCATTGCTCCATGTCCAGGGCATGCTGGCGCGCGGGACCCTTTGGCCAGGCACCAACGTTGAACACTGAACACCAGACGGTCACCGGATACTCTTGAGCCATGTATCTGCACACACCTGCACGCTCAAGCATGTGTGTGTGCGCGCTCCGCTCAAGTCGTGCTGGTTCGGTGCACATGTGCCCCGACCTCGCCAACGAGCCCACCTCGCCCACCTGAAGCCACGCCAAAAAGCCCTCCACCGCGCCAGTGCTCAAGCAAGTCACTCCGTCACTCCGTCACTCCGTCAGTCCACATTGCTTGGAATCCTGCATGCGAGTTGCGACCCTCCACACCATCTCTTGCGGCCACGACGACCTTCCGTCTCATCACCACCGCCCTCATCCTCTCCTCCTACGCGTACCGACGACTCCTTTTTGATTGCGCTTCTACACGTCCCCGGCAAACCTCTTCTTGCTCTCCGTCTACGCGGATTCTGCGACGTCTGGCACGGAGCCGACCACCGACAGCGGCGAGAACGACATCCATCCATCCATCCATCCAACCAACCAGCCAGCCAGCCAGCCACCGCTGCGTACGCGCCCTTCGCATCGTCTATTCTGCCACCGTCCATCGCCCGATCTCTCTCGTCCGCTGGATCGGTTTGCGCCGCTGCCTTGTACTACGACTTCGTGCCGAACTTACTTTCTTAATGGGCGGCGCCTGATTTCCATTTGCGACTCTGTCCGTCCTTTGCCCTCGGCTGCTACTTTTCCGCCCACGCCGATATATTTGGCCCCGTGAAGGCTGTTGGCGACGCTCCTCCGCCTCTTCCTTCTTTCATCGTGTTACAACTGTCATTCTTTCCTTCTCCCTCGCCTTCAGCATTCGTTTTAGATCCCGAGACGCCATTTGCGCGCGACACTACCATTATGCTTGAAGACAAGTACGTCTTAGACATTGCGTGGCCTGAGCTCCCCCTCGTACCACAAGCTGCGAAATTGCTTCAGCTTGCCTGTTTGGACGTCTCGTCACTAATCCAGATGATGTAGATATATCGGCTTGGCGCTTGCCATGTCATCGGCATTAGCTATTGGTATGTTCTACACACCATCTCAGGCGCACACAGACTCGTTTGCTGACTGTCCATTCCCAGGTACAAGTTTCGTCATTACAAAAAAGGTTTGTTTGGCTTCTTTCAGATGGCTCCTCACGACAATAATGGTCCGTTGCATATCTAACACGCACCACGCTAGGGTTTGATTCATGCTGAAGAAAGACATGGATTTGAAGGCGACGGGTTTGTCTACCTGAAAAGTCCGCTCTGGTGGGCTGGTATTGCAACTCGTATGCCTCCCTTATCATTCTGTAACCGTTCTGTCCGTTTCCGCTAATCTCGATATGCGCAGTTGGTATCGGGGAAGTTTGCAATTTTGCAGCTTATGCCTTTGCTCCCGCGATTCTCGTTACACCTCTTGGCGCCCTCAGTGTCCTTATTGGCGCCGTCTTGGGATCATATTTCTTGAAAGAGGAGCTTGGAACCCTGGGCAAGCTGGGCAGTGCCATCTGCCTCATTGGAGCTGTAGTCATTGTCCTTCATGCCCCTCCCGACGAGGAAATCGAGACCATTGACCAGATTCTGGACTATGCACTTCGACCTGGTAGGTGCTTTTTTACGTCTACAATGCCAAAACAATCGTCCGCCATGTTGAGTTAAATGTTAACACAACGTTGCAGGCTTCCTCTTGTATGCCATTACCGTTGTCGCATTTGCAGTATTCATGATCTATAGAATCGCACCCCAATACGGCAAGAAGAACGCCCTCATCTACCTGTCCATCTGCTCAACCGTCGGCTCCATCTCCGTCATGTCCGTCAAAGCTTTTGGCATCGCTCTCAAACTTACTTTTGCTGGCAATAATCAGTTCAGCCACCCGTCAACTTATGTATTCTTGATCTTGACGGCCGTCTGTATCCTGACGCAAATGAACTACTTTAACAAGGCCTTGGCCTCGTTCCCGACTAATATGTGAGTTGGACAAGTAATCAAACCATTGCACAAGCTTTTTTGTTTGGTTAGTAGAACTGATGGGATAATCAACAGTGTCAACCCTCTCTATTATGTGACATTTACCACAGCTACTCTCTGTGCCTCATTCATCTTATTTAGCGGCTTCAACACAACCGATCCAGTCAACACACTCTCGCTGCTTTGTGGTTTCCTGGTCACCTTTACTGGAGTGTACCTGCTGAACCTTTCTCGTGGCGACCCCAACGGTCAAAAACTCATTGCCGGCCGAGGTGGATATGATGCAACACCCACTGACATGGTATCTGGATTCCAAACACGTCGCAGCATGCAAGCCCGGCGAAGCGGAGACCCATCACGGCATAGCATAGGAAGTCTTCACAGCGACAGGGAAGGCCTGATCCGGGCTTACGACGAAGAGGAAGCCGCAGGATTTGGACTCACTGATCTTGCAGAGGAGAGTGAAGACGAAGGTAGCCGCTCCAATGGCAAAGCCAATGGCAAGAAGGAACCGCACGAGAACGGCATTGAACTACAAAACCAGAAATCCACTGAAAGATAGGAATGAGGGACACACATTATGCCGCTGATGATTTCCATTCCCACCCAACAATACCAGGACAGACTGGTGCAAAAGCGACTTTTGCATCCGTCTGGCCTTCCTTTTTGCTACCTCAGCATGTTATCCCTGGACACACATCGCCGCTGTACATTCTCGAACCATTTGGAGTAAGATTTTCGCCGGTCGACATTATCATCATGCATGCACGATACAGATTCCTGCCATTTGTTTTGCCTTTTTCATGTGACGCCAGCAATTCGCCTGGGGGCAGTGAACAAATCTACATGAATTTTTTGGGTTTTTTTAAAAAAAAGTTGAGGGAGAAGCAGGGACTAACGAGTTTTATTTTTCGTCTTTACCCCCGGCGTTCATGTGTCGCTTCTGGTTGATTTTTCTGTTATCGACTGCTCATCATACGGCTTGCTCTTGTTCAAGCTCCTTTTCCTACGGGAGAAATGGCGGCGGCAGCGAGCTTTTTTGGGATTATTGAATGTGGGAAGAAGTGGCTGCGAATGTTACGGATATAACACCTCTTCCCTGTACGACTAGCACGGAATGCATTATATGAAGGAAGAGATGTTGATTGGTTTTGATGGAAGCAATGCTTTGATAAGCAGAGCAGCTAGGGGCACGTCTGGAAACGCTGATGAAGTCAAATATGGGCGAGTTGCGTCCAGGCCGTTTCAAGCTCTGGGATCCGTTTGTAGACTTAGAAGAAATATCAAACCGCCTTTTGCCAAGTGCATCTTGACCTGCCACGATGGTGACTTCTTGCGGCTAGTGTTGACCGGTGTTAGGGAATCGGCCGTTGGGATGCATACTCAGGCCTGTAGCCAGCCGCAGATCTTGCTGTAGCGTCAGGCAGCATATAAAGTCCTCGCATACCCTGGACGACTGCCACTTTTTCACTGAATTGACGTTTGTTTTATCCGGACCCTAACAGCTCCATCATACATAGGTGGCGTTACACAGAGCAGAAGTTTCAAAATGGCTCCATTGCAAGACGTATTCATCGGATTCTCGGGTCTCAATTCTTTTTTGTGGCTTGATCTACCATTACAAAAAAACAAGATGAAACCGTCCAATGCCCTGAGCAGATGCAAATAAGATCAATTGACGCCTTAGAGTAGACCGCCATATCCCTTTGGCTTTCCTCCCCCCTTTCTCGCCTTGTCAGTCGTCTTCCCAACGTCCCATTTGTGTATCGTGGATCATCATCAGCATTTTTGTAAAGAGGATATAGTACTCTGTTGACAACTTTGTTTTCCACAGTCACCTTCCTCCCTCCGCCGCGTGGTCTCCCCTTGTTGTTCCTGTTCACCGCAATAGGTCCCTTGGTTGCTGCTTACTGCTGAGCAGGCTCGGCCTCGGCCTCCTGCTCGGCAACGCGGGCATCTTGGCTGGCCTGGGCGGCGGCAGCCTTGGCGCCGTAGTCTTGGCTGACGGGCTGGAGAACGACCTGCTCCTCCTTGGGCTCGAAGATGGTGACGGCGTCGGGGAGGGACTTGGAAGGACCGGCCTTGCCGTCGGGGTCGGAGCCGCGCATGATCTTGACCTTGATGCCCAGGACACCCTGGCGGAGCAGGACGTGGCGGGTAGCAGTGTCGATGAACTCCTTGGCGGGCTGGCCGGAGTGGATCATGAAGCCGTCGGTGAACTTCATGGACTTGGCACGGGCGGCACGGAGCTTGCCGGAGACGACGACCTCGCAGCCCTTGGCGCCCGACTCCATGATGAAGCGGAGGACACCGTAGCAGGCGCGGCGGACGGCCAGGCCGTTGAGCAGCTTGTAGCGGAGGGACTCGCACTGGGCGACGGCGGAGAGACCACGGTTCTGGACCTTGGCGGCGTACAGAGAGACCGAGTTCTCGGGGAACTTGAATCGCTTCTGGATCAGGGAGGTGAGCTCGCGGATGCGGCGGCCCTGCTCGCCGAGGACCTCCTGGGTCTGGGTGGCGCGGATGATGATGTCCGTGACGGTGGGCGTGACGCGGACTTCGACGCCGGAGTAACCCTCCTCGGCGAGTTCGCGCTGGAAGAACTCGTTCAGCTCGGCGTAGAAAACACCGTCAGCGACGAACTTTCTCCTCTTGGAGCTAGATGAGAATGGGATGTTAGCAATGCCGCCCCCATGCTTCTGTCGCGGTCCATTTGGTCTGCCAAAAGAGAAATGTGTAAATCGATATCCATGACGGTCCGTCCCCGTTGGTGTGCTTGGAATTGGTGTTGCAGCTTCCTTCGGTCTCAATTTGAATATTTCCAGACATGGTCCAAACTTGACAGTCCCCCATTTGTCGCAATATGACGGCATCTCAATTTATTCCAGCCACACCCGCAACATCTTGCTGAAACAATTCCGTCTCCATCGATGCACACAACCTGGCCGAGAACAAAACAAATAGCAGAGCGAGGACGGGGAAGAACTCACATCTGAGCACCGGGGTGAGCCATCTTGTTAAGGGTGATTTAGTAAGGGTGTCGATTCGTAGGGACGAAAAGAGACGGCGGTCGACGAAACGGGCGGAATGGAGGGTATTCGGCGGGCTGAGGTCGAAAGGTTTCGCGATGGACTAACTGCCTCAGAAAGTATCGTCCCTCAATTTTCGGCTGTGGGTTGAGCCCTAAACCTGCACGCGCTTTTTTTTTTTTCGTCTACGCACTGGGAAAGTGGGCGGTGGGATGTGGGGCTTTTGCTGGACATGCCCTTGCACAGCACCCAACTTGCCAACCTGGTTCCTGGCATGCCCGGAAATTCTGCTTTGCCGACCGCCGCCCAGTCGAGGTCGGACGGGACTCTGACGCTAGGCTGCATTGAGCTGCACCTGTCGCCAGCCTACCAGGTGAGCTTGCCTGTAGGTCATTCAGTGGGCAAGAGCACTACTGAGACGGACTGCGCCTGACGTCGTCGCTGCTCACCAACCACTCGAGGATGTGAGCACCCCACCTTCGACAGGTGGTGAATGTGCTCGTGAGACCAGTTACTTCGGAGCTTGGCTTGCAAACTGGTCCCCAATGCAGCATTCCGCCTTGTCATTCCAGTCTCAGCTTCCCAACAGATTTTCTGCAAGTAGAACATTTCTCTTTTCCCGCTGCCTCGTATAATGTTATAAAGCTACTTGTCGGTCAACCACTCTCTCCGAGTTGAAGCGATCTTCCGAGCTTCTGCCACCGATTTGCGCTGACGACTGCTCCAACCGGCGAATCGCGGATACAGCGGCGGGGAAAGCAGCAACAGTTTATGGCGTCAAGTTCTTATGCTTCGTCCTTTTCCTAATTCGGAGTATAACACCGTCGCATTACCTTGAGAACCATTCAAGTACAACAGGTGCCAGGCAGGAAGATGGAAGCCAAGAAGGTATGAGGACTAGACAGGCATACCGCTCTGCGCAACCTTCACCACCCGATGAGGTCTAACATGGCTCGCTTGTTCTAGGTTGTCCACAATGTCAAGGGCATCTACGGTGGCCAAACCACCACTGGCATCCTGCGACTTACAGACTATCACATGGTGTTTTGCGCTCCTATAGACCAACATGCAGGGCCGGCCGACCCTGCAACACCACCCAAGATGAGAGAGCGGTGGCTGACATATCCAATCCTCTTGTACTGCTCCCTTCGTCCAACGCCTCCTACATCTAGGCAGTCCCCGTCTATACGTATTCGATGTCGCGATTTCACTTTTGTCACCTTCAACTTTGTCGACAATGATGTCGCCCGTGAAGCCTTTGACTTTATCAAGTCGAGAACCTGCAAACTTGGCACAGTGGAAAAACTTTATGCGTTCAGCCACAGACCTCTTAAGAATGAAAAGGAAATGAATGGGTGGGAGTTCTACGACCCCAAGGCTGAGTTCCGGAGGCAGGGTATCAGCGAAAAGTTGCCTGATAAGGGCTGGAGAGTTACTACAATCAATAAGGATTATACATTTTGCGATACTTACCCGGCCTTTCTCGTTGTACCTTCCAAAATCTCGGATAATGTCCTCAAATACGCCAGAGACTTTCGCTCCCGGAATCGTATTCCGGTCTTAACCTATATTCATCCCATCAACAACTGCACAATTACGAGAAGCTCCCAACCACTATCGGGCATTACCAGAAGGACAAATGTGCAAGATGAGAGACTTGTCGCGGCATCTTTCTCCGCCTGGATGCCCGGTGGATCGGAGGAATCTACACCACCTGCGAGCCAACAGGAACCAGCGGACAGTAGCATGTTGGAAGCATCGTTGTCAGATATGGAGCGCTACGAAGATGAATTAATCTCGCGGTCAGCCGCCATCTACGATGAAAAGACGGGCGAAACGAGGATATATGGGCGACAGCAGGCCAATATGATTGTCGACGCTCGCCCCTCGATCAACGCCATGGTCAATCAAGTCCAGGGCATGGGATCCGAGAACATGGACAAGTACAAGTTTGCCACGAAGACCTTTCTCAGTATTGGGAATATCCACGTCATGCGCAACTCGCTGAACAGAGTGGTAGAGGCCCTCAAGGACGCTGACATATCTCCCCTTCCCCCAAATCGAGACCTCCTGCATCAAAGCAACTGGTTGCGACACATTCATGAAATTCTCGACGGTTCAGCCATCATTACCCGTAGAATTGGCATCAACCACTCACACGTACTAATCCATTGCTCCGACGGATGGGATCGCACTAGTCAACTGAGCGCTTTAGCACAAATTATGTTGGATCCTTACTTCAGGACAATAGAAGGCTTCATTGTTCTAGTGGAGAAGGATTGGCTATCATTTGGCCACATGTTCAGGCTCCGGTCTGGATATTTGAACCACGAGGACTGGTTCGCAGTCCAGAAGGACGCCTTGGCTGGGTCCAAGGTTCAACCTGGGGAAAATGACGGTCGCAACGATGCGCTTCAGAACGTTCTCACTGGCGCTAGACGCTTCTTCAATCCGACCAAGGATGAGTCTGAGTTGGACACGGCCAGCGAGGTCACTTCTGGAAAAGTAGTCGACGAGGAAGCCACCACGCCAAAGATGGTGAGCCCTGTGTTCCACCAGTTCCTCGACTGTGCCTATCAGTTGATCAAGCAGAACCCTACCCGTTTTGAATACAACGAGCGCTTCCTCCGCCGTCTTCTTTATCACCTCTACTCCTGTCAATATGGAACATTCTTGTACAACTCTGAGAAACAAAGGAAAGATGCTAGGGTTGGTGAGAGGACGTCATCGGTCTGGGACTACTTCCTATGTCGAAAGCAAGAATTTACAAACCCCGACTACGATCCCACTGTCGATGATCGCATCAGAGGTAAGGAGAGAATTATTCTGCCCAATCTCAAAGAAATAAGATGGTGGTATCAAGTGTTTGGTCGCACTGATGATGAAATGAATGGCTCTTTGAATGCTGCTGCCGCTGCCGAGAATGGCCGCCTTGCAGCAGTGTCAAGTTTACAAGGTTCCCCCCGTCCAGATCAAATCTCGCGATCAGCTTCAGGAACACCGAAACCTCCAGGCTTGGGCAACACCCACTCCGTATTGACAGCAGTGGAAACTGGGCACGAGACAATCACATCAGATAACAAGCATTCTGCATTGCGCCGTAGCGCGTCTGCCGAAGGTCCAAACGCCTTTGCAGCCATTCGGGATGGCCTGTCAGGATTGAACATTGGCAAAAGCATACTAAGCAACCTCGGTCGTGCAGAGGCTTCCGGATCAGCCACAGCTCCGCATGCGGAGCAAGAGATGCGCGAGATGACATAGAGAGTCATGTTTCCTGACGAGGACGAGGGCTTGCAGAAGCCTTGCCAAGTCATTGAAACGTCGAATACGATTATTCGTAAATGCCCACGACCTCGCCCATTCCGCCATATGATAACAATTAAGAGTGATAAGTTCCCTAGATGTTCCACCCCGACAGATGGCATCAGTTGTGGGTGGGCAATCGTCGAACCTTTAGAAGAGACAGAGGTGGACGATGCAGCAAGCCCGTCGTATTGCCTGGACTGTCTCCCAAATGCTGGACCCTCCGGCTATATTAGTCACACTACAGTGGAAATGGCAAAATCATTATTCAGAGCAGAAGAGCGGCCAGGCACGAGCTTCTCCTCTGGGGAAAGGCGATCAGCTGATACAATCGTGGTTGAATCTCAAACATGCATATCGAAGGCTAAGTGTTTGGGCAATTGCATGGCAGAAAAACCGGGCGTATTCTAGAGGCGCAGCGAATCGTACATATATACATTACCAGTGTTCCATAGATGGCGGAAACCATAGCGTAGCGTTGATAATGACCGATTATTCAAGCCATTTCGACTTTTTGAGAAATTGATATTTCACAGGAAGTGTTGATACGTTTGGTGGCTCTTTTTTTTTTTTTTTTAACTGTCTGATCTCGTGAATCTCGTCTCTCGATGCTAACACGTCAATCATCTAGGCCGTATCATTTCAAATGCGGTTTCTCTCTTCCACATCTGAGGTCTATTCTACCATCTTTTGCGCCGGCAAATTCTAGTATTCTACTGTTTATAAGAAGACCTCGAGGTTAATCTCGAGCGTGCTGACGGGATATCTATACAATGTTAATAGACGTAGACATGCGTATAAAAAAAGGAAGCAGGGAACGAACCTCAAGTCGAACTTCTCCAACACTGTAGGGTGGATGATGCCAAACTCGCCAATACGTCGGTCCTTGCCGCCCAAGCGAAGATGCACCGCGGCAGCGTGGCCAGGGAAGAAAGTCTCCTCCTTGAGCTCCTCGATCCAGTAGCCATCGGCCTTGGTGGGATTCTGCTTGACCTGGTAGTCGACGCTCTCTTTGGCAGTGAGGCCTTCGTCGTGAGTGAGGAAGGCGGTCCGGAGCATGGAGAGGATACGGTCGAGCAGGCCGTGTACGACCTCGAAACCACTTGATTTGCCGCACCACGCGGCGGCGAAGTGGCGCTCGTTGCGGGCCTTGCGCTCAGAAGATTCGTCCTTGAAGGCAACGTCTGAAACTTCGAAGATCTTGAAGGGAACGCTGTGACCCTTGTTCTCGCGGATGGTCTTGAGGAGGCCGGGCAGCAGGGAGGTGCGGACAATTTGGTATTCCAGGGTCTTGGGGTTTGCCAGACGCACGGCAGTCTTGCCGTCGTCCTTGCGGTTCAACCAGGCAAAGTTCTCATCGTGGCTGCAGAGAATGAGGGGCAAGACTTCGCTCCAGCCGGCCATGGCGGCTTCGAATCGGACAATGTCGGCCAGCTTGTTGATCATGAGGGGGGCACCGATGGTGGCACTTCGTGTCGGGGCAGTGCGAGGCAGCTTGTTGAAACCATAACAGACCGCCAGGTCCTCCATAATATCACATTGATGCAGGACATCGGCACGCGTGGGAGGGATGGAGACTTCGAGCAAGTTGGGATCCTTGTCTGAGGGCCTGGAGTCGTAGGCCATCTTGGTGAGGAGCTTGCAAAGGCCCTCGGGTGTCTCGCTCAAGCCAGTACAGCTATTGAGGTAGTCAACCTCGGCATGGGTGACTCTGGGCTTCAGTGACGGCGTGACACGGGTTAAGCCGTTGTGCTCTGAAATGATCTTGACGGGCTCGACAGTGAAAGGCTCTTGGACGTAGCCGGAAAACATGGTTACCAGCATGTCGAGAACAATTTGCAGCTTGGTCATGTCGGTGGCGGTGATCTCGATGAAGACATTGGTGGTGTTTAAGGTGATCTTGGAGTGCTCGCCGTTGATGATGGGAGGCAATGAACAAACAATACGGTTGGCGTCGTAAATGACGGGATATACGGGGGCGTCGCGGATGATATGCAGGTAGCGGCCAAGATGTTTATCGGTTTCGTAGAAGGTCATGAGCTCTTCAGCGTTCATTTCCTTGGTCTGATTCAAGGGAATAAACTTGATGTCCCTGGGAGGCAGAGCCTCGTAGGTGAAGGGGCCCTGGATGGTGTCCAGATCGTGTGTTCCCATGGACACCAGGGTTCGGTTTCGAGCCAGGTTTTGGTGCAGCTTGTCCTGTAGAGCAATGAAGGATTCATAGCGGTCGGCAGTGAACTTGATATTGCGCAAGACGGCACCAGAGACGTAAGGGCGGACCTTTGTGGTGTCGGGCAGAACCTTGATTACTTGAGTATTGGCGTCCTTGGGTTCGACGACGCGGAAGTTGGGAGGCTTTATGCGACCAAGGAAGATGTTGAGGTTGAGGGCGATGCCCTCGAAGCAGAGCATGTCATAGCGGTTGGCTCCGATTTCGATTTTCAGCTGAGGGGGTTCCTGCTGGCCATCAACAATAGGACGCTCCTGGTCCTCGGTATCTTCGTCGAGCTCGATGCCATAGTCGAAGCAGAGGTCTTCGAACTCTTCCTTGGTAAACCTGTTTGCGAATCAAGCAATGGTCAGTCCATGTGGGCATGCGTACGACAGCCAGGTAGGGAATTGGAAAATATGACGCATGGTGGTGAGAAATCGCGAAGGCGCACAATGGAAAAAAATAGCATTGGCAAAGAATTATACAGGTTGTCGTGGCGAGGGAGGGACAAGGACCAACGGAGGAGGGGCAGAAGCGCAGATGGGAAGAGACATACTTTTTGCCAAGGGCCTCAAAGAGCTTGTACTTGTCCACAGAGATGGTGGGCATGGTTATATTGGGGTCTCAATGCCTCAGACTCTTGTGCCAGTTGTCTAGATGGAAGCGACTGCGTTGATTGCGGTCGATGGCCGTAGAGGCGATGATGAGCGGTTTGGATTGTACGGACCGCAAAGAGGTCCAGAGAGCACATATAATATTGCGGGGTGGATTTTTGGCGTTGAGTCACTCGAGTAGTTTTTGCCCGGAACAGTTTGGTGCTTACATTTCCTCTTCAAGACTGGCTGGCCAGGCCTGTTCCAAATAATTACTCGGGGGGTCTGTCTGTTGCACTTATTGGCCCAAGATGCTTCAAATGTTGGGTCTAAGTAAGAGTACCTGGGCAGCTGGGCAGCTGGGCTTATGACTGGAACATTGAAGCCATGGAAGCAGGCCATGTCCAACACTGAACTCTCGAACTAGCATGAGGGGCTGATTGTTAGCCGACGATAAGCAGACGGTCTGATTACTCCGTAGAGCTGTGGAATTGAAATGACAGAAAGAAGGCCTGAAACACTGGCCGTTGATAAGTCAGCCTGTGCAAAGCGACAAGTTCCATGTTGTATTTGCATCCAATTGGAAGGAGAGCACACGGGCGTATGTGAGATGAAGTCAGCAATGTTCCTGTTGTTTCTGCTGCTCGAGCATCGCCATGTCACTCGCGTCCCTATGCCATGCCTCCAGCCACGCATCCAATGTCCCGCATTGGATCCCACCTCTGCAAAGATGCTGAATATTTTGGCCGTTCCAGTCATGTCTGGTGGAATTGCACGTCGTCTCCTGCTTGTGTGAGGAGTACAGAGTGCATGTGTCGAATCGCCCACCGTGGGTGCTGGGCTAGGCTGGGCTGGGCTGGGCATTGCATCACAGCTGCCCGCCGCGTCTTCCTTCCATTCATCTCTGGTTAAAAAGTACTTAAGTAAGTATACAGGTACTTGGGTGCTGGGCGTAGAGCAGTGACACAGTGAGTACCGCAGCACTGGAGGCTGAAGACGGTGGTCCACATGTCCACCGCCGGGACTGCCACTGCTTCAGCTTCTGCGGCTGGTCGAGTCAATTGACTCGTCGTGCTAGTGCTTGGACACTGCTCATCAGGGCTGCTCAGGACGGCTCAAGGGTGCTGGCACCACCAACCCTCAATCACCAACCACCACACCTCATCCATCCCTCATCTCGTCATCTGCCTTTTCCTCCATCTCGACGACGCTCCCTCCCCTCCTCCCCCCCGACAGACGCGCGCTGTCACTCTCCGTCATTCGCCATGACTGACGCGACCAACACAAACGACGAACTTTATCCCATCGCAGTTCTCATCGACGAGCTAAAGGTAAGGCAGCCAAAAACAAACCAAGCAGCTACCCAGCGCCAGCCCACTTCAACCCAGCCTTCACCTCTCTTATCACCACCCATGAATCGCCTCCCCTTGGCTTCAGAGCCCGTGTTAACCATCATGTCTTTGCTCATTCTAGCACGACGATGTCCTGCTCCGCCTCAACGCCATCCACCGCCTCTCTACCATTGCTCTTGCCCTTGGCGCCGAGCGCACTAGAGACGAGCTCATCCCTTTCCTCGACGGTTAGTATTGTTTTCCCCACGTGCCCACCTGTTGGCCCGGCATGGTGTCACTATCATCATCACCACCATCATCAACATCATTAGTATCAGTCTCTGAACAATCCGAATCCTAACCTTTTCCTTCTCAACTTCATAGAATCTGTCGAGGACGAGGATGAAGTCTTGGTAGCCCTGAGCGATGAGCTAGGCGGCTTTATCGAGTACGTTGGAGGTCCTTCATATGGTCATGTCCTCCTGTCGCCATTGGAGAATCTGGCTGCCATCGAAGAGCCCGTGGTTCGAGACAAGGTCCGCATCTACTGTCCCCCCTCCATTTGGGCCTAATTGCGGCCGCTGCTTGCCAGCCATCACGTTTCGCGCTGACAATCGCGCCACCCTAGGCCGTCGAATCGTTGAACAAGATTTGCGAAAGCCTCGATGCACAACAAGTCGAAGAGTACTTTATTCCACTCACCATCAGACTCTCCAAGGCAGATTGGTTCACATCAAAAGTCTCTGGCTGTGGCCTCTTCACAACTCCTTACCGCAAGGTCTCTCCTCCTATCCAAGAACAGCTTCGCCAGCAATTTGGCCTACTCGTCCACGATGATACCCCCATGGTCCGCCGACAAGCCGCCACCAACCTGGCCAAGTTCGTCAAAGAGATGCCCGCGTCCATCGTCATCGACGAAATGATACCCCTCTTCCAACACCTCGTCCAAGACGACCAGGACAGCGTGCGCCTACTCACGGTGGAGATTCTCATCTCCATCGCCGAGGTCGTGCCCAAAGAGCAACAGTCTAGCCATGGCGTGCTGTTGACTTCTCTGCGGAATTTGATAGATGACAAGAGCTGGAGGGTTCGTTACATGATCGCCGACAGGTTCGAAAAGGTACGTTGTATAACAGGCGCTGTCAATCCTCTTCCTTGGCATTTTTTCCTAATCATCGAAATAGATCGCCAAGGCCGTTGATGAAGAGGTTGTTTCACGAGACCTCGTCCCCGCGTTCGTCAAGTTGCTCAAGGACAATGAGGCCGAAGTTCGGACTGCCATCGCCGGTCAGATCCCTGGATTCTGCGCCTTGGTCGAGCGATCTACCCTGCTCAACGACATTATGGGCAGTGTTGAAGACCTTGTGTCTGACAGCTCACAACACGTTCGTGCTGCCTTGGGTACGCAGATTAGTGGATTGGCTCCTATTCTTGGCAAGCAAGAGTACGTTGTAGTTCCTACACCGCAACCTATTATAGTCTTCGAGACTGACTCTGTTGTAGGACTATTGACCACCTCCTCCCCATGTTCCTCCAAATGCTCAAGGACGAGTTCCCTGAAGTTAGACTTCACATCATCTCAAAACTCGAGCAAGTCAATCAAGGCAAGTACCTCGAAAAGAGAAGCATTGCATCAAAATTCGATAGTTGCTAATAGAAGCAGTCATTGGCATCGACCTTTTATCACAGTCGTTGCTGCCTGCCATTGTTCAGCTGGCTGAAGACAAGCAATGGAGAGTCCGCCTCGCCATTATCGAGTACATCCCGCTACTTGCAAGCCAGCTTGGGGTCAAGTTCTTTGATGAGAAACTCAGCAATCTGTGCATGGGCTGGTTGGGAGATACTGTCTTCTCTATCCGTGAGGCTGCCACACACAACTTGAAGAAGTTGACTGAGGTGTTTGGCGTCGAGTGGGCTAGTGAGCAGATCATTCCCAAGGTCATGGGAATGGGAAGCCATCCCAACTACCTGTACAGAATGACCACATGCTTTGCCATCTCGGTAAGTTTACTCTTCGCTGCTGGGATGCGGTATTCCTCCCTTTACGATTGCAGACTAACATAAAGTCATGACAGACTTTGGCTACTGTTGTTAGCATAAACGTGATCGCCAAGTCCATTCTGCCCATGCTTGACAAGATGGTCGACGACGATATCCCCAACATCCGGTTCAACGTGGCCAAGACTTATTCGGTACTGATCAACGCGCTGCGCCGCTTGCCGGATGAAGGGACGCTGTATTCACTTGAGAAGGAGGGCGCCGAAATTGTGCCTTCACCCAAGGGCCAGGAGCTTATCCAGCAGCGCGTCCTGCCCAACTTGACGAAACTGCAAAAGGATGACGATGTGGACGTTCGATACTTTGCGACTACGGCGGCAGCTGAAGCGACGGGATCCGCGCAGGGCGGGGAGCCTATGAATACATCACCATAGAATGCGATGAGACAGTAAGAGAGACGTAATGAAGCAATTCCGTTGCATTGTCATCCACAGTTAGACTCTGCGCCAAGGAGACAAACAAAAAAATGATCAAAATCCCAAAACCAAGTCCTTTTCTCTCCATCCACATGTTGATTGGGTTGAAAGAAAGATGTCGAGTTTTGTAAAATGGGTTGTAATGTCTGCCCCAGCAATCGGAAATGGTAAAAGGAAAGGGCGGGTATATACGAAAATAAACCAAATCTTGCTAACGATTCAAGATGGGTGTCGGGTGTTGTAGCCTCATTTCACAAAGACTTGAAGGTCACGTAGTTGAAGGAGGAGGTGTCGTGGGTACGTCGTTGAAGGGTATCGTATATGTCTATGCTGTCTTGAAATCTAAAATTTGACCATTCCATCCATACCATTGTAGGTGTTCATACCCTCTTGAAGCACAAGGTACTAATGGTCTGCCCCTTGACACCGCCAAAACTAAAGGTCCTATATTCCACCCTTCCGGCCACGACAAAGCCGCCCTCACTCTCCTTTCCCACGAACCAGTTGGTCAGCTCCTCTTCGGTCCAGTTGCAGCTCGTCACGAGGAAAACGCCACCCTTGCTGACCAGCGGCGCGATGCGCCCGGCGTACAGCTCGCACAGCCGCCTGCCGCGCTGGTCGCGCTGGTCCGACAGCGAAACGGCGTCAAACGTGCCCTTGTCCAGCACCACGTCCCAGCCGTCCGTCTGCTCGCCGCCCAAGACATCGGCGTACGAGCCGCCCACGATGTCCCACTCTGCGAACTCGACCGGAGCCGCGGCCGCCCTCGACGAAGCGACCTGCCTCGCGAGCGCTACGCTCTGCGGGCTGTAGTCCACGCCGAGGGCGCGCCCGGTCCATCCCTCCTCCCGGAGGGCGAAGAGCATCGAGCCGTTGCCGCAGCCGAGGTCGAGCACCGACGCTGTGTCCCTGTCCAGCGCTGCCGCCGCCGATAGGGAGTCTAGGAACTGTGTCGTTTTGCGCTCCGCGTCCGAGTCGTCGAACCATGATGTTCCTGTGTCGGAGGGGTCGGCGGCGTGGTTGCTCAGTTCGCGCGTGTAGAGGGTGTTCCAGCTTTTTTCATGTTGTTAGCTTGCTTTTTGTTTTCTGGAGGGGAGGGGACAATGCGAGGGTAGCGGTTACTATTCTTTGGTGCCGAGCTCAGACGGGTCCAGGTGCTCTGGGTCGGGGGACATGTTGAGCCGCTGCAATTGGTGTTTGTTTTTGGTTTTTTTTTTTTTGGTATATTTGGACCGAGACTACAATACATACCTAGCCTAGGTATGTAACTAATACAACCGCCCGTTGGTGGTTGGTGTTCTTGGGCAGAGCTCAAGTTGGAGGGGTATACGAGAATGGAAGGCGGTGGAGCTGGAGGTGGTGGGGTTGAGGGGCAGCTTTTGCAGGATTTTGAGGATTTGCCAACTTTGCCTACTGTATTGGAGGGGTGGCTGATGTACATACGAATGAAAAAAAAGTAAAGCATGGCCAACATGATGAATGACAGAAAATTGCAGCCACAGAGGCACAAAGACGCAAAATTTGTCCACATTCCTTTCTATTCTCCGCCGTCTAATCCTGCCGGCGGGATATCCTACCATCTCTGAGGAGTAAGCAGGAGGGGTTGTTATATAAGACCATGAAAAGAGCAATCATGAAGATAGTTTTGAATCCAAACACCATGCCCCCAGAAAAACATGTTTGAAGGAAAAAAGAAAAGTGTTAATCAATGACGCAGCCCAGCCCAGATCTTGAGAAAAATAATTCATTCCATGAACAAAAATCGGTGGTGTTTTAATCAACAAAGAAGCCATTGAAAATGGCGTTTAGTAGAAACTTTCGACCATGGTATCCTTCATGCTGGTATTGATGTTGCTGGGGCCCATGCCCTCGCCGAGTCTGAAAACACTTTCGATAACACTGAGCTCAGTCGCTGTGGTGTCGAGGCCAGTGACGGCCAGCCAGTCGTTGACGACCATGCCGGCGCCAACGACATTGCTGCCACGGTTGACACTGCCCGCAACAAGGGGCACCTGTAGCAAGCTGGACAGCTCGTCCTGGTCCTGGATGCTTGTCTTGGGGTGCACGAGGCCGCCCTGGTTGGACAGGCTCATGTAGCTGCCGACAAGGACATTGTCAGCCACGGTCTGTCGAAAGACTTCAACGCCGAGGACGTCGGCAATGATTTCTTCGGTCTCGCGCTCGAGGTCAGGGTGAACCAGGGCAATGTGGTCATTGGTGGCGATGACGTTGCCAAGAGCGGAAAGACGCTCTTCAATGCGCTGGATGCGCACCGAGTCTGGGAGGGAGTTGCGCAGGTGTTGCAATTCCTGGTCTGTGGTGGATGTGGGCACGAGGAGACCCTTTCGGTTACCAGCCGTCAATCGGCCGATGATGCGAGTTCCCGCAATGGTTGTGCGGACTGTGGGCACGACATCTTGAAGCTCTGCCTCGAAGATAGAGTAGAAGTTCTCGCTGGCACCGAGGGCCACCAGGGCATATGAGTTGGTGAGGGTCGAGAAGACTCCGACCCTGTCAAGAAGAAGAGTGTATATGTTAGTCAAGAATTCGGTCTGCACGGCGGGGGCGGGGTCGTTGATGTGTGTGTGTGTGTGTGTGTGTGTGTGTGTGTGTGTGCTGCTTTGTGCATTGCGTCTTTTGACAGCCGCGGGGTCACATACTCGTTGGAGTTCTCAAACTGAGCTCGTACAGCCATTCTCTGGGAAGAAAGCCGTTTATAGGTGTCTTATTTCTGGTTGATGTGCAACAAGAACTGCTTCAGCAGAGCTCGATGGGTGTTGGATAGGAAGGGGCAAAGGCTTGAGAATGCTGCAAGATGGATATGGAATTTTTTTCGACAGCTGGGAGTGGAAGCGATGTGGGTTTAAGTACAAAGTGCGCGAGTGCTCACTCAAGTGCTGCGAGATGAGAGGAGGATGGGCCGTGGGAGTGGCGCTTGGCCGCCGGCGAGCGAACATAAGCGGGTACGTCTGACCAAGCAGCTGCACCAGGAAGGTGCGACCTGCACTGCAACTGCCTACCTACCTAGGTAGTAGGCATCTGGTTGGCGGCAACGACTTGACGCCTTGACTAACAAACCTGTTGCCAAGTTAAGGAGTCATTTGGTGAGCCTGGCTTCTCCGGTTCACGTCTTGGCCAGCCAAGATTGGCTGTTTACAGTGCGGAGATTTCTTTTTTCGCTTCAATCAATGTTCTTTGCTGTCTTGCATATCAACGCCAGCGGCTCCAAAGCACATGGTGATTCTGCCACTTCGACGCTTGCAACCCTGCGCCTCCCGAGATCTACCCGCCAGGCGGAACACTATGTACTCGCGACAAATAGTGCCACAACGCCGTGATGCATACATAACACATCATTCTTAGCCCCCCGTCTTGTCTGTCCAACTACGTGCCAAGGTCGGAAGAGTAAGATTGGAATCTGCCAAAAAAAAAAAAAAAAAAAAAAAGGCTTCAACTACGAATACAAAAGTATCTCTACGGTAATCAGTTCCTGTTGGCCCAGGTTGGCCCCTGCTGGCCCCTGCCGGCCCCAGCCTGTGACTCAATCGCGGCACAAGCCCCTCCCTCGCCACTGCATCAAGTGTGACTCTTGCTCCCAATTGACTTCGACTGCCCCATTGTTTTCATCATCATCATGGACTCACTATTACTCATCGGCCCTTTGGGCAACAGACATCGCAACAAAATCATTTTGAGGCCGAGCATCCTCGAAACTGCCTTAAAAACAAAATTGCCTTCATAGTTGTCCGCCGTGTCGGCCTCCGTCCTTGTCCAGCCAAATAATCATAATCCAACGCCAAACGGCTACCGACTCATCACCTCCCCCATCTTTCATTTTCAACCACGATATCCTTTCTTTCCCTGGTATCAATCAGATTGTGCGCCCGTCTTCGTCAACAGATGTATGCAAGTGGTCCTTATTTCCTTTCCCTCTTCCTCCTCCCCCCCACTCCCTTCCTTTGCCTCACTTTGATTGCCTCTTGTCTCATGTCGGTATTCAGCCAATTGATGAAATGAAAACAACACTAGACATGTTCACCCCCAGTACAGTATGCCGCTAGATGCCTTCGCAATATGCTGTATGCTACACGTGACTATTTTCAGAGTGTCCAGACCGGTGCCTTCATGAGCACCTGGCGTCCTCTGACTTCTAGAGCGACGAATCCTGCAAACCGTACTCTGCTGAACTCGTTGGACAGTCCTGAGGTATCTTGGTCAGCATTTGTCGACTCTGTCACGGGGGCATTGCTGTCTTCTCTGCAGAGTCGACCTGCGCCGAGAGCTCTCTTTTGCAACATACCGGGCTTCCCCTTGTCTCCTCGTGGCTTGCCACCCTTGTCCTTTTCATCTACATCATCTTCGTCTGAATCTGAATCGGCATCTGCATCCGCCTTCTGCCCCTCCAGCGGCGGTAACCCAGCCTTTTCAACTTCCATCATATTCGTTTGTACCAAGTCTCCTGGTAATGGGTACATGATGGACACATCTCGACTCTCCAGAGGTAGGTTAGCTGCAATAGCCACGGCCAGCTCGGCAATCATGGACGTACTGCCCTCCACACCGGGCGGGGGCGGGTTAACGAGGTGTTGATGGAGGTAGGTTGTCAGGCTCTTCGTAACCTTGCCTATTAGCATCCCTCGGTTGTCAGCTGCTGCGTTTGAATTGAGTCGCTTTTGAAGTCCATCCAAGGTGGCCATTCTCCAGTTGACAACCTTTGTCGTGTGAGCATTGACTTCCTCCTGATGTTGCATAGTATACGAGTTTTCCCGGATGCTGAGTTCAATCTCCTTGAGTTGCGAGCTGAGCTGCGTGTCCAGAGCCGGGTGGAAGCACTTGTTGAAGACTTCTTCCACCAGCCACCTAGACACAACTGCGCGCCCAATGGCTGTCATTTCCTGCTTCCCAGTCTTCAGAGCATCTGCACTGACAAAACTGTTAATCCATAAAGGGAGGCTGCGCCAATCCTTTCGAATATTGAAGGAAAGGTTGTTGATGGCCCCATTGAGGCGATTGAACCTCGTTGAGTATTCATTGTCATCCCAAGCCGTGCGTGACTGAGACATACGCTGGTTGGCCACAGCATTTTGCAACTGCTCAACTCGGCCGTTCAGCAATTCAATTTGGGTTTTGCCCTCAAAGTACAACCGCTTTACGTGCTTGTATTTATTTGCTGTCACGTGTTAGCTTATACTTCTCTATTGCTGCTTCTAAGACTAGAATGACATTAGACAGATGAGTGAGACTAACAAAGTTCCTTGAACTGCTTGTCGAGGTCGGAGTCTCGGTCCGAGGGTTGGGGGCTATTTCGGCCCTGGTCGACACCTGAAGACGTATCAATAGACTGTGAACCCCATTCACCACGATAGCTTGAATTCGGCGGCGCACCTTGGCCGGGAAGTGGCGGTATGGGACCCATGGCATTCAAAGAGACGCTTCCTTGGCGCTGGTATCCCGGTGGTGGACCAGAAGGGTCAACTTGTCCGCGAAGAACCTTTTCAGCGTCCTGGCCACGACGACCGGTTTGCGGTCCGCCTCCAGGAGCTGGCGGGGCCATTGCGAATGGATCTTGACCCTGCGTGTTCGCTCCTAGAACGGGTGGTTGGTTGGCAGCAATATCCTGAGACGGAGTAGATGTGTGAAGGCTGGCCGCCTGGGATGGCTGCAGTGGGTGTTGCTGAAAGGCAGACCTTGGGTCTGAATCGGTTACGGGCGATTCGTGAGACAGTTGAGAGATAGTCTCGGGGTTTTGAAGCTGCTGGCTAGTGCCAAGCTGATTCGTGATGAGTCGAGGATCCCCGCCAGGCTGATAGGACCCCGGAGCAGAGCCGGTGGGGTAGTGGAAATTGGGCTGTTGATGGCCCTGCTCGGATTGCTGGTCGTAACCAGCACCGTGTCGTTGCTGCTGCTGCTGCTGGAGTTGTTGCTGCGACTCGTACTGAGCCTGCTGTTCCTGGATTCGGAGCGTCCCTTGGCGTTGCAGGGGCTGCGGTTGCGGTTGCTGCAACGGGGGCGGGGTTTGTTGGTTGCGAAGCTGTTGATGTTGTTGGTGTGGGGGAGGGTGATCGGGTGGTTGATAGACCTCGTCGTAGGGTGACGTTTCGAGATGTTCACTGGAAACCTGGCGGATGCCGTTGTTGCTCAAAAGAATGCGAGAGTCCTGTATTGGGGAGTCAAGGTTAGAACCGTGCGTGTAAAATGGATGTTCGTCGACCTCGCCAACTTCACGGAGCGGTGACGGCTGTTGGCTGCCAGTGCCTTTGGGTTGCCAATCGCGGTCAGGGGAGAGCTGTGTCGTCTGGGACGGGCTGGTTTTCAAGCTAGGAGGGTTGCTCACCCTCTTGGACGGCCTCCGAGCAAGTCCAGTTGTGTTATCGTAGGGGCCCGGAGGGTTGTAGCCAGAAGGCGGCGGCGGCGGCGGCGTCTGCTGGTGATGGTGAGTGTCGTGCGAGTCACGGCTGGAGGTGAATATGCCCTTGATTAGTTTGCGAGTCGAGCGTTTCTGGGGAGCAGGCGCCGGGGCCGACAGTTGCTGCGGCGGTGGCGGCTGCGGCTGCGGCTGCTGGTGATAACCACCACCGCTTCCTGGGAGGTCGTCGATGGACCCCGAAGCGGTTCCGTAGAATTGGTGGTGTTGCGGTGTGAGGGAAGCTCCGTAGCGCTGGCTCTGTGAGCGGCTGACGGAGGGGTCGAAGTCTACTGGCGTGGGCGACTGGTGGCCATCAAAAGCCGGAGAGACACCCGGGCCCGATGTCTGCAGCGAGGAGGGAGGATTGACCCCCGAGGACTGAAGATTGAAAAGATGGACGGGGGGAGGGGGGGGCAGAGGATGATGATGCTGTTGTTGTTGTTGTTGCTGCTGCTGCTGCTGCTGCGTCGAAGCAGGAGGCGCGCGGGCGTCCACAAAAGTGTCGAGGTGGTCGCTGGAGCCCGGGGCTGTAGCGGAGGACAGGACCGGCGGCAGGGACGTCTCAGAAGGCGAGTCGGCCTGGGCTGCACCAGCAGTCAGGGCACCACCTCCCTGCTGGCCCTGCGCTTGGTGCGCTTGGACATGGGCCGGGGCCTGGGCTTGGGCTTGGGCTTGGGCTTGGGCTTGGGCTTGGGCTTGGGCTTGGGCTTGGGTTTGGGCTGCGCCAGACAGCGCTCCCGGGGCCGATGCTGGTGCTGGTGAAGCCGGTGCTGTGCCAGCCGCAGCTCCCGTCGACAGCTGCTCGGGCAAGGTGTGCTGCGATCGGTTGCTGTGCTTGCTTAGGCGTCCAAAGCTCGGCATCCTCGTCAATGGGCCTGCGCATGCGCTTCACCGCGGAGGACTCGGAGAGTGGCGGAGGCGGGTCGCGAGGAGCGAGAAGCGAGCAAGGGGACGCGCAAGGACGGCGATGGTGATGATGGTCGACTCTGATGCTGTTCCTCGAGGGCAAGTCTGCAAAAGGTGAGTTGTCTCTGACGCCTTGCTCAACCGTCTGCTCCTTTTTTTGGCTCACAGCTCTGCCAAACCCCTCACCTCCAGGTAGGGACAGCTTGACTGGTTCAATCGAGACTGGGGTACAGAGTACTGGGAGCATAAGCGGGCTGGACAAGCCGGCGTCAGTGTGACAGTCCAAGCCAACCATCCAGGAACGGCAAAGCGAGACGGAGACGGACCACGGGTCCCCGTTGGCAAACTTGGGGAGGCTCAGTCCGAAGTGATGGATGGATCATGCAGCCAGCGACAACGAGAGGGCTGTGCTGGGGCCTCTTGGCCTCCTGTGTGCTCGCCAACCCGTCAATTCGTCAAGTTGGACAGACCCGATCCCTGCTGCTGGACAAGACGGTTGTCTCGCCTGTCGCGTTATGCTGCGTCGCGCAGTTTGTGTCGTGGGTTGGTTGATGCCCTGGTCCTGATCCGGATCGTGACGATCCTAGTTGCAAGGCGCGAAGCTCCACGTCCACGGAATTAGAACAGACCGGGCAAGAGGCACGGTGACGATGACGAGCATGAATGATGGAGGATACCTCGGACACAATCGCTCTACTCGAGAGACGAAGAAGGAGGGGAGGGCGACCACACACGGTCAGCACTCAACGATCAAATTTCGATGAGGCTGAGCATATTTTGCCTGCTTGGGGGAGCTTTCTGATGCCTCACTTTGCCCGCTCCCTCTACCCAGGACCTCCTGTCGCTGAACCTCGAGAGCTCCGACCTCTCCTTCCATCAGGCAGACACTCGGCTTGGAGCTTGAACTCATAGAGCTGAGCTTGCGCCACTCAGCTCCCACCTCGCAGCTTCTCTGCAAGTCCAAGAACCGTCTGATATTCAACGGCTGAGTACTCCGTAGCGGCGGTTCGGATTGGAGCGCCCTGTGGATCAGGGAGCCAAGGTCATAATTCAGGCAGGGTTTGATCCTAGATGGGGGTGTTTCTATTATTGGATTACTGGATCTTCAATGTGTGCTCCGTCATACGACAACCACATGGGTCTAACTGTGCATTTCATCCTACTCCTCCGTCAAGATTTGCAGTTGCAGATGGGCATTGAAAGGCATTGCACAGGCTGACGGACCCTGGGAAGCCAGAATCAGCGCTCATGTCCGAAAATAGCGACGGCCGAATGCAGAGACATCTTCTGTAACACAGCGCATTGACGTCCATGTGCAGCATGACGAAATATTGCCTCTACATGGTCAGTGTCGTCATTGGGATCTTCATTAGTTGATTGAATTTCGACGCTTCGTATTCCATGTCTGGAGGATGGGCAAGTTGCCTTCCCTGTCAGACTGCGCATCATATAAATATCGACTTCATCCGGTGCCAGGGTTAGCAAACAAGCCGCACATAACGCACACAACTTGAACCCAAGGCAGAATACCAGTTAGGCTTTCTTTTGCCTCTGTTGAAGACAAACAGCTTGTGGCACGGAGGAGTTGCGTCCATGCTCTCGCCAACAACACGCCGTTTTGAACCCCAACATGTTGGTGGCACAAATATCACTGTCAAACCCACGACTACATAACATCTAATAATAGTGACTTGGGCACAACTTGACACGGCATTCTGCATGCGAAATGGCCAATAAGGCTGGCCAGCAACGAAGCGTTTCCCGCCTGCTTACTCCGTACCCCGAGTCATGGTGAGTCATGGCGTGTGTTTACATTGTAATATTATTCGCAATCTACTCCGAACAAGGTACATACTTCCAGTATCAAAACGCCTGGGCATGTTTTTCAGTGTGTCTGGCCTTGAATGGTGATGTGACAGGCCGCATGCTTTCATGCCGTGTTGCTACCTGCAAGCGGCAATCTTACCCAAACACACACGGTCGGGTATATGAAGGAACTTCCATAGTACCCAGATGGTTTCGTTCGCCATTCGACTTTATTTTTATTTTGTTCATCTTGCCCAATGTAGCAAATAGCATGCATGTCCCGTGATTACTCTGCTCTGCGGCCGTCCAGTTCCACAGCTCTAGCTACCCTACAGCTAGGCTCGATTAACACATTGACGTTCATTGACCCTGGCTGGTCACTTGTACGTGCACTGAACTTTTTCTGGTTGAATTGTTTCGCGTCTTTGGAAGTCTCCGGACAAAACGTGTTCTGACGTCTGGTTAAATGCTTTGCAGCGGTCCCGGGTAGGGCATCCTGTATCGCAGCCAGAAAGGACATGGAGCGTGGGCAGCCATCGGGGCGCCTAAACCCCTAATGGCATGTCGGAGGTGATTAAAGATGAAAACTCAAGACGAACGGCAATGAGGCCGCCAATAAGCTGCTAGCAGCACGATGCCTCCACAGTACTGACAAAATGGTGAATGCAATTGGGTGGCGCGCGTGGGTTCACCACCCCGAATTGCGATACCCCAACATTGAAGTTCGTGTTTCAACATTCGAGTCTCCGGATGCCATTTTGCGGGGGAGAAACAAAGTTTCAAATGTTGGGGGGAATTAGCGGATGCCGCGGGGAGCGCCGTGCACTGACTTATTGGCCGAGGTCTCCTTTCAAGACCAGCTGACATTAGCAGACACCAAGTACACCGCACATGTGGTTAAACAGTCCAACTCTCGAGTTGGTCGACGGAGCACACCGAGTCGCCGCCGCCGAGGGTCCGATGGCTGTATCTCTGGACCGTTGATAAGAGACGGGCCATTTCCAACCCCAGGCACTCAACCCTCCACCCCGTACTTTCGAGTTTGAACTCAAGCCGTCAACGTAATCCATCATGTTGCCCTTCTCGCCCGTGTATCTGGTGCTCGCGGCCTTTGTCCTGGCAACTCTTCAGCTGGCCCGGTGCCTCGCCTCGCCGCTCCGAAAGCTGCCCGGCCCGACCATATCTCTCTTCACGTCTCTGGTGTTGAAGTGGAAGGAGATCAGTGCCGAAAGGACGCTCTATATTCATGAGCTGCATCAGAGATACGGTCCTGTCGTGCGGATTTCCCCCAACGAAGTGTCCTACACTTCATGGCCGGCCCTCAAGGAGATATACTGCTCTGGCGGGAGCGGCTACGGCAAGTCTGACTTTTACAACCTCTTTACGATTTACGGGAGAAGGTTTGCTTCCTTGTTTCTTATTTCTTTCGGTTGCCAAAATTTTCAGGAGGGATGTTCTGACACGTCTTGTTCAAATAATAGGACCATGTTTACGATCCTGAACAAGGCAGATGTAAGTGGTGAGACGGTGTAGCAGCCAACATGCTCTACTGACGACAAGGCCTGGTGGCAGCATGCAAAGCGGAAGAGGATCCTCGCAGACCGATATGCCAATACAAACGTCATGCGTAGTGTTTCCTTGGACGGCATCCAGGCGCGATCCAGAGCCTTTTTGCACCGCTGCACTCAGGCGGGTGATTCTGCCAACGACATCTTTGTGAGTTGACCATGGCCAAGTCCGGTTTTTCAGAAAAAAATAAATAATAATAAATGAGACGGGGATGCTGACGGCTCACAGATCTGTATGTTCTTCTAACAAGCCTGTTCGCTAAAACAGCTTCCTTCCCACACGGCTAACCATCATCAAGCTCTACATGCGTATGCGTGTGATTGCATCACTCACCATCTGTTCCACCCCAACGGCTCCGACTGCATTGGGACAAGGGCAGACGAGGACATGATGCACCAAGTAGCGGCAGATGACAGTCTGCAGAGTAAGCCAACGTGTCCCTGCCTCGCCCTGAAAGCCAGAATCCAGAATACCACAGATATGCTAAAACAAACTCCTCCCAGATCGTCTCATCTCGCACTACAGCCCGACGCTGTACCGCCTGTTTGCTGGCATCCTATCCTTGTTCGTCAAGCCGCGATCTGTGCCCCTTGCCGACAACTACGTCTTGGAGACGAGCAAGCGCACCGATGCGGCAAGCTTCACGCTCATGAGCCGGCTGGAGGAAAAGTCAGGCGACCTCGACCACATCGACATGGCCGCCGAATGCCTGGACCACATGGTCGCCGGCATCGACACCACCGGCGACACGCTGTGCTTCCTCATGTGGGAGCTTTCCCAGCCTCGGTCGCTTCACCTGCAGCGCAGACTGTCCGAGGAGGTACGAAGGAACCCCGACGCCGGCATCGACCAGCTTCCGTTCCTGGACGCCGTCCTGTGCGAGGGTCTTAGGTATTACCCTGCCATTCCCATGTCGCTGCCTCGCCTCGTGCCACAGGGCGGCCGAACCATTGACGGCTTCCACGTCCCCGAGAAGACCATCGTCAGCTGTCAGGCGTACTCTGTGCACCGCGCGAATACGGACGTGTTCCCGGACCCTGATGCCTTTCACCCCGACAGATGGATGGCGGCCGCGGGGGACGCAGATAGGCGTCGGTTGCTGTTTGCGTTTTCCAACGGCGGCCGGGGCTGCATCGGCAAACAGTGAGTTGCGTGCCTTTATTTTCGTCTTGCTTCTTGTCCCTGATATGCCACACCCGCAGGATGCTAACGGCATTGGTTTCCCGTTTCTAGCCTTGCCATTGCCGAGATGAAGACCCTGCTCAGGGACGTCTACTCGCGATATAGCACGACGCCGGATCCTTCCATGACGGCAGAATCCATGGCCATGTCGGACCAGCTCATTTCGACTCGGCCATTGGGCAAGAGATGCCTGCTCCAGTTTCATCGGCTGCCTGATGATGTCAAGGCCACGGGCGGCTCTGAGTAAATTTAGCCATTGCCAACCCCAGGGTCGCACAAGGTCGGTCTGAGGTCGTTGAGTCGATGGAGTTGTACGATTTTCTAGAATAATCCGAGCCCCGCGCGATTACATGTTGTAAGTTGTGGCCGGGATCTTAAAGGCCTTGAAGGCCTTGAGCGTCTGCCGCCGTAGAAACGACTCCACGAAGGATGTCCCGTCCAGCCTCACCTTTCTTTCGGCATCGATTGGAGACAGCGGCCCAGATACATGACGGCTTCTGGAGACGGAGACACATAGAGAATAGCGAACCCGTTGCAGCGGTTGTACGACTCTGGTTGCCATACGTGGCGCAATGCCTGCGGACGCCAAGGGGCCATTGAACCTCCGGTGTGCCCAATTTGCGTTCAGGATGGTTTGGTCTGATTGGGCCTGGAGATTCTTGGGCAGCCGTTTCTTGAGCACGAGGATAAATGGGCTGCGTGGCGTGGAGCGTGGGACGTGGCAGCGAGATATCTCGAGATGTTTGTGACACTGAAAATTGGCCGACCGAGTCTGGGCACGACTGCACGCGTATGTGGGATGTTGACATTGTACTCGCGGGCTTTGGATGGAGTAATGGAGCGGCGCCATCTGTATTGATAGAAGAGCGACTCGTGCCGCTGTCAATGTTCATGTCCAAAACGGCAATGTCGGGCATTGTGCAGGCATGCCTACCTGGTAGGCCTTGATCTGTTGCATCATCATGTCGGCGGTTGGCCTGCAGGACGAATCGGCGACAGTTCCGAGGACCAACTACTAGTAGTAGTAGTACATGATGCAGATGCAAATGCATGCAGAAGCGGACATGGACACACAAACGGACACGGACAGAAGACGATGAACCAACCCGTAGGCAAGCGCCTGAGCCAAGGGACTCACTCATGTTCGACGTACACAAGTCAGTTTTATGAGCTTGCGGGCTTTGTCTGTGTTCCGTGTTATCGTCATGGTGGTGACGACGGCACTGGGAACTGCCACAAAGAAAGCAATTGTGAAGGGAGAAAGGGCAGGCAAAAGGGCAGAAGACATGATATTATAAAGTCAATTATTATGCCCTTGCGGAGGCGACCTTGTGCCTCTTTCTCCCCCTGATTCGGGGCACACGCGGCCTAGGCACGTCTTGGACATCGGGCGACCTAACAACCGTTTGTTCGGCTGGCTTCTGGTTAGGAGCTGTTCCTGAAGCTGGTGTTTACTCATCTCCAAGAACATGTGAACTTCTCTTTACGCGCCTTTCTCTACAGGCCTGCGGTTAGTTTCTTTTTAGTTTTGAACTTGAGTACCGACTCACCGAGGCACTACATCTAGGTACCTACCTAGGTACCTAGGTAGGTAGGAGGTAGGTTGGTAGGCATCCCCTGGCCCAGTCACGTGATCGAGTCACCGGCAATGATTGCTTGCACCACAAGGTCTCGATTTATTAATAGAATTGACTTCATTTTCTGGCTCTGAGTACGTGGCTGCTGTGTTCACAATTTCCGCAGTGCTTCGTGCGGTTGGTCGCAGGCATTGCCTCTGATCTTGTTTTAATCGCCTGGTGTCATCTTTTCTTTTCCTGGCAATAATATCCATGCTCAACGAAAAAGGTCACGATCAAATCAAGCAGTAGGTCTTTCTATTACGGTGAACATATATACAAACGGCCTTGTTCTGTATTTGTCATTGAGACCCCTTGTAGCTTTTTGTGTCACTTGTCTGCACAAGCACAAAGGCTTATGTCAGGACCAGCCAGGCAACTGCCAACGCCACCTCACCTCACCTCGTGCCTTCCTGGCACTGCATTTGCCTGGTTGCCTTCGAAAGTTCCGGAACCCCACCTTGCTTCTCTGGCCGAACGGCGAAATCTCTGCCAGAATTTCCAGTCCACATTTTGTCTCTCCGTCCCTCCCACGTCCCATTCACTTTTTCATCCTGCCTTTTTCTCCCACACGCTGACACCCAACAAAATTCACCTTTGTTCGGAGATAAGTCTATTGTCCGTCGCCGGATTTATCGCTGCAATCGCAATCCTCGTTTACCACCCAAGTAAAGCCGTCGTTTAGCCTGTTGACTCTTCCCATCGGTCGCAGAGCAACAGCCTCAACTTTCTTGCCCGCTTTCCGCAAGCCAGAAACACACACAACACCTGTTCATCTTGCTCTCGCACTCGACTACGCCGAGACTTGGTTGAAAACGTCAACGATTAATTTCTCCCCTCGTGCAGACTTTGAAACTTCCTCACTGTATAGCAGAACCAAGAACACTTAGCGACTATCGGGCGCATATTGCTGTTTATGTATCAGCACGATCAGCTCACTCTACCCAGTCCCCTCTTCAAGCTGCAGTTATTTCGCATACCGCGAAAACCTTGTAGCCCAAACATCAGTTCCGACGGCTGAAGACTCCCAAACTCGAGTTCATGCCTACCCTACTGTTTACCGAGATACCGTCCCGTTTGCCCCATGTCAAACATAGATCGTCTTGTTGAGCCCTGATATCTCCTCTTGCTCAACCGTCTTCGTCAACTATTTCCAAGCCCAGAAACCATCTTCATGCCGAACCCGTCGCTCTAGAGCCCCTTGCAACTCGCTTCACAGCAGATTCTCACAAACAACTTCGACTTCTCGTCAACTCTTATACCACCTCGACAAAAACACCAAAAAAAAAGAGCCACGTCTTTGTCTTACCGTGAAACTCGCCATCATGTCTCTCATCAACGTTCGCCGCGATGTCAGCGACGCCTTCTATCGTTATAAGATGGAGCGTTTGCAGACCAAAGTCGAGGGAAAAGGTAACGGTATCAAGACCGTTGTTGTCAACGTTTCCAGCGTCGCTGCGTCTCTTGCTCGTCCTGCGTCATACATCATGAAATACTTTGGCTTCGAACTTGGTGCCATGACCAGAGATGACATCAAGGACGACCGTTGGATCATCAACGGTGCTCATGAGGCTGGAAAGCTCCAGGACCACCTCGATGGTTTCATCAACAAGTTTGTTCTTTGCAAGAGCTGCAAGAACCCCGAGACCGACATCAAAATTGACAACGACCGCATTCTCTTGGACTGCAAGGCTTGTGGTCAGCGTACCGCTGTTGACCTGCGCCTCAAGCTGAGTGGCTACATTCTCAAGAACCAGCCCAGCAAGAAGAACAAGAAGGACAAGGCTGAGCGTAGAGCAGCCAAGAAAGCCAAGCAGAACGGCACTGCCACCGAGAACGGCCATGCCAGTGGTGGCGACGAAGGCTCCGAGAATGGCTCCAACGAGAATGAAGAAAATGGCGATGCTGTTAGCGACCATGAGTTCAACAAGCTACAGGCTGAGGCCATCGAGGATGCTGCTGTCAAGGTCAAGGATGACGAATGGGCTGTGGATATGAGCGAGGAAGCTGTCAAGGCCCGCCAGGCTCAACTTCCCGGTGAGTTCAAGCAGAAGCTGAGCCTCAACGACGAGGACGACGACGGTGAGGGCGGCAACACTGTCTACGATGAGTTTGGAACCTGGATCCAAACCGAGGCTGAAGAGAAGGGTGGCATTGACGGGGTTGACTCTATCAACATCTATCTCAAGGCTAAGGAGATGGGCATTGAAAACAAGCACCGCACTGTCCTGGTTCTTGCTCAGACTGTCTTTGATAAGGATGTTTGCGTCCAGATTCCAAAGCGCGCTGGCATGCTCAAGCAGGTATGTATATCATGAGATGTGCTGGGCGTATTGAGCGACAGAACCGCATACCATTGATTTACTAACATGTTTGGCAGATCGTCAACTCTGAGCGTCACGAAAAGGCGCTGCTGGGAGGTACTGAGCGTCTGCTTGGGTCCCTGGCCGAGTCGAACCCGGACTTCTTGCAGCAGATTGTCAAAATTCTGCAGCTGTACTACCACCATGACCTCATTAGCGAGGAGGTGGTTACCAAATGGGGTACTCACGCCAGCAAGAAATATACTGACAAGAACACCTCTCGAAAAATTCGTCAGGCTGCCAAGCCTTTTCTCGAATGGCTTGCTGAAGCCGACGAGGAAGAGTCTGATGAGGAAGAGGATGAGTAATCTTAGTCATCATTTGTCTCCTCTCATTGGGCTAGGATGTTCTTAAGTTGTATGGTTGGAATGATGGAAGAAAAATCATACCAATATGAGAGACTGGAAGGAGATAGGGAGGATTTCTTTGTCTTCAGACTGCCTGTAACGTTGTGAGATTAGTCTATTTCTAGCTGTAGGTCACCGCTTGTTGTGGTATTGCACTTCACAGAATAGTATAGTCGAGAACAAACGCTTGCATCCTGCTATACTCAGTGATGACTTCTTATTTCCACTTGTTTTTGATGATCAACCGCCATGAAATCAGATGGCCGAGGTCTTGAACGGAAATGATTTTGATAGATCATGGCCAAATGGCTCGGTATTTAATAATTCTACATCCTCCTTGAGTGCCCATGTTTAATTGTCTACTGCACCGCATTATCGTCATTTCCTTCCGTCTCCTTCTCGGGTGCATCCTTCATGCTCTCGTCCTCAGCTATCTCAGCGTCAGTCCCAGTAGACGTAGCTGCCGCCATAGTTGATGCTGCTTCATCTCCCTGCGGATCTTGGTTTTCTCCCCCCAAAGTATGGTCCCCGTCTCCGCCTTTGCTCTCCTCTCCGTTAACCTGGTCTTCCTTTGAAAAGATGTATTCACTTAGTGACTTGGTGACGTCTTCTAATCCGTCCTCATTGGTGACGGTAACGTCGAAAAGTTCTGAGATGTTAGAATCATCTAATTCCTCGGGTAGTCTGGATAGAATGCCCTTGATGACGGTGTCGTCGTAACCGCAAGACGAGAGACGGGCTTGGTATGCTTCAGTAGGCGGGGGTTTAATGAGGATATAGCGAGCTGAGAAGTCCATGTCTCTGGCAAATTGGGCGGCCTGCCGCGTAGTGAACGGTTAGTTTGAAGTTGGTATATGTTATTGATTGTGAATGTTGTAGTTGGGATCAGTTGCGGGGATGGGAATCATACCTCGAGGTCTAGCTCAATGATGGGGACTTTGCCAGACTCGGCTATCGAATCAATGACTTGACTGCTCGTGCCGTACTCGCTGCCATCTCTAGCCCCGTACTCGATCAAGCGATCGCCGTCGCGTAGCTGGTTGAATTCCTGAGCGGAGACAAAGTGGAAACTCTTGCCCTTGACTTCGCCCTCTGCAGGCTCTCGAATCGTGTGTCGTACGACTGTTGCAAAGACGCCTTTGTGCTGCTCGAGGAGGCCGTTGATAAGGGCGGACTTGCCAACACCCTTGGGTCCAGATATGATAATGGGACTCCGATTGTCGGGCATGTCGTCCTCAGCTGCTGCCTGCTCATCGTCGGCTTCGCCTTGGTCTTCGTCTTGGAGCTCGTGGAATATGATGTCTATTTTCTTGGAGTCGTCGATTTTATCAAATGATGCTAATTTTGAGCGGGCCGCTATTCTAAGAGCTCGCCAACTCTTGCTTGCTTTGCCAGCTATGGCGGCGGCCTTTGTTTGGTCGTTTGTTGGCATCTCGATTTCAAAGTCGTCATCGGCAATCTTTCTTTGAAAACTTTCAAGTTCTGGAAGTTGATGTCGCTCAGGCGTCTTAAGCTGGTCCAAGGAAGATTCGTCGTTCATGTCTCGGAGGAACTCAAGAGATACAGATCCCATTGGCGTTGGTCGCAGTCGTTTGCTGGTTGCTAATTTTTGGGCCGTGGTCCTCGCCTCAACAAAAAGCTCTGGAGAGACAGGGTCTCGCTGAATAGATGGACAGGATGTCATCTTCCAGAATACCCAGTTCTTGTCTCGAGCTAGGACGGTCTCGACCATTCGATAGAAGTATGGTCCGTCGATGCCCCTCTTAAGGTAGTCTGATATAGTAAACTTCATCTCAGTTGCCCATTTCGTCTATGACCTGGTTAGCAAACCTAGGAGTACAACTGTGACGTCTCTATTGTTTGATGTAACCTACATTCTCTTCGCTCAGCTGATCGTTGTAAAGGACTGATTTGTTTAGCGAACGGGTATTGAAGCCGGCCAACTTCTCCCTTGTCTCTGTGGAAAGCGACAGAAGAAAGTCCGTGATGATGAGTGCCTGTACCAAGATGTGCCGTCTAAACGAGAGATCGCTAATCTGTGTCTCTAGTTAGCCAATGTTCACCATACGAATTGTAGGGGAAATAATGGAAGTATCATGCACACCTCAAGCTCAAAGAGATCTTTGCTGGTCAAGTACTTTGGATTGAATGCTTCAGGGGCGTCTTCAGGCCCCTCGTCGTCCCTTTTCCGCTTAAGGTTTCTCCTTGGATTTTCCAATGACTTGGATGGCCCTTCGTTTTGATGGATGGCCTGGAAAGCTTTTATGGTAATATCTAAACGACTCTTGAACTTGTTGAAGTGTGTAGTGTCAAACAGTTTGAGTGGCTGACTGAAGCTCTCTTGGAGAGACCAAAATAGAGGATAGAGACGGTCCGGATCATACAGCTTTTCTGAGTTTTTGGAATCAAAGCCGACACCCTTGTTCGATGCTTTGGTATCCGTTGATGACTTGGGAGTCTCCGCAGGCGTGTCGACCTCCATCTTTGACTCTGGCTGCTGCTCATCCTCTTCTGCCGACTCCTCAAAAGTTGTTACATTTTCCACGTGGTATTCGCCTCGAAGGTTAACAGAACTTCTATCACCTAGGGGGAAGCTCTGAAATAAGAAGATGTATACCCGTCCGCAGAAGGCCGTATCCTCGGCTCTTGATAGGCGCCGCAAGAGTTCGTTGCAGCTTCGCAGAATTACCAGATGCTTTTGTTTGAAATGTTTAGACATGATGCGTTCACGACGTGACTCGAGATAGTCAAACACTATGCGACATGCCGAAATGGTCTGGCTGTCGAGCAGTTCTTCGACGAGCCAAAACAGTAACGCCGGATCGCATTGGCCGTCGTCGGACAATATTGATAAAATGTCGAGTAGATTCCACATCTTGACGAAGTCGGGTGATTGGATGGGAGTCGCAGCCTTCAAAAATCAGCGTCGATACGAGTAATGCCGGCCCGCGGGTCTTGGATTACTTACAATGAGGTTGCCAAACAGGTCCCGCGAGGCGGTCTCGATGATAGCAAATTGCTTCGCCTTTTCTTGTTCGTGAAGGCTAGGAACTTCTCCTTCTCCGTTTTCCCCGGTGGCGGCATCGCTGGAGAAACACGCACGTACGCGACTGGCTATGTCTTTGAAATCAGACTTTTTGAGGGTGGGTTCGATTGTAGCAGTCGATTTCACGACAGCAGCCTCAGCCAGGAACTGATCTAATAATAAGCCGAATCTGGCGACTGCAGAGACGCCTGGGTTTTGAACATGGAGAGCCGGCATCTTGGAAAATGCGCTGCGGTTCGGTATCGAGGTAGGCACGTTTACCAAGGCTAACTCTTCGTGAGTTGTGTGATGCAGCCTTGCTGCGCGCGGCGGACGAGGGTCGTGGCCTGACAACGGCTTCTGTTGCCTTTGTGCCGTTTGTTACAGGAGCCGGTCACTGCTGGCCGCCGCATGAAGCAGCACTTTTGTGGTGGAAGAATTACAGTCGGGATCGTGAGGTAGTTGTACGGTGCGGAAGGCGGAAGGCGGAAGGCGAGGCTTGATAAGAAGCCCTCCAAGTTGGCGTGGGTTTGATTGCTGGAGTACTATTTGAACCTTGAAAGAACCGGACAGCCTGGATGACAATCGACTGCATGGGGGCCAGGCACCTAGGTGCACTAAATATAGGGCACGTGTGGCCCCAGGCACTCTGTAGCTCCCGTAGCGTAGGCTGGGGCCTCTGGTCAATCAATGATTCAATCAATGGGCACCTGGGTGCAGCAGACATCGACCAGACCAGTTGACCACATTCAACGGTCTGGTAAGACAGCCTGGCACTTGAGCGCAAGACAGCACCACAAGACAGCACAAGACAGCGGGCCCTTGTGGGGCACTCACCACTGTGAGGTCAATAAACCCAGGTGCCTTGGCCCTGGCTGCCGGTGGGTCTTATGCAAGGCTGAAATTTTAGTCTCCCAAGTCGACGCCATCCAATCGATGGACCTCTGGCAGTTCATTCTTGCGACGACGTCTGCATGTTGACTTTTCCACCATCGACTCGCAGCTTTGCTACTGCGCCAACGCCGAGCTGTCATCACTGTCCTCCCCTCATGCTGGAGCTCTGAATAGGCTCATGACGCGAACAGAAAGTCACAATGCCTAACGCCAAGCGCCTCAAGGGCAGTGGTGCAGCCAAAGCTGGCAAGGCCCGTGAGCCCGCCATCAGAGTCCAAGACGAACGCCCTACCCCCGCCGAGGTCGAAGAAGAGGAGCACCAGTTTGTTCAACTCGCAAGGAGTCACTGGTTAAAGCCAGGCAAAAGGACTGTCAAGTCCAGGGTCAAGAATGATGTTCTGAAGCAGGGCATTTGGGATGTGCTGGAACAAGATGGCTTCCAGTATAAGTCGCTTCTCCTTTTGGAAAGCCTGCAAACATTGGAGAGGTAAGCTTAAGGCTGTAGCACTCGTAATCAGACAGTCTCAGCTAATATTGCTCATGCAACAGCTATCTTTGGCCAGGATATACCGACGAATCGTCCAATTTCCATGTTCTTTTGATTGTACTGATAGCCAACGTGAAACGTCGCGAACATCTGGAGACATGGAGTGAGTATAGAGAGCCTTGCCAATTAAACAGGGATGTTCCATCTGACGTTTCTTGCAGGTCTGTTTGAAGATAGACCCGATCATTTCTCGTCCATGTTCCGCCGAGTCCTGTCGTTGTTGCTCGATCGTACCCTCTCTACTTCTATACGGACGCACCTTCTTGGCTTCTTGATTTACGCATTCCAGAGCCTAGATTGTTCCATTGTCAGAAAAGAATGCGCACCGCTGGTGTCAATAGGAATCTGGCAGAACCTGTCTAGCGAGACCCAACGAGAGACCTTGCTGGACCAAAATACCCACTTGCGAAAGGCTTGGAGGGCATCCCAGAAGCGTTATGACGCAGCAGATGGTGCTACCAAAGCTCGACTTCGCTTCGAGAGATCTTGGCTCTA